AATACACGTACAGAAGATATATATATAATCACGATTAATCTAGATGGACTTCAATAGTTAGGGTAAAAGCGATCTTTCACCAATACCATAATAAAATAATAATGATAATATTATATGCATTACGATGTAGTTTTGACACATCCGATTTCTTGGGTCTGTTCACGATATTCTATATTCAGCATACAAATTGCAAAGAAAACATATTCACAAGTAGCACAAATAAACCACTATCATCGTGTTTATTATTTTATTCAATAGAAAAAAAATCAATAAAGCCTTGATTATAACTCACGTTGTTCATTTCTATTATGATCTTACTCCAATTCTATCGTATTTAAATTGCCCTAAATGGTATTCAATAACTTTATTATTTAGTAATATGAATGTTTCATCAATCTACTATCGAAGAGATATATAATATCTTATATCTATATTCTTTAGGGATGACCGTGGAGGCTTCAGCCCTTTATAAATTACGAACCAGTTCAATGTAGATTGTTGTTGTTTCGACGTCACTTGTTCAGTAGCCAAATCTGCTCTGGCTCATTTGACATAATTACTCTCATTTATAAAATTAACGATACATTTTGTAGAGTAAATTCAGTTAAACTATTCCGGAATTTTAATAATAGTATAAAATATGTAATACACATATATTCAAATGGACCTAAGTTTATGTCTAGTTGTATTATTAATTTTAAATCATAAATAATAACTTATCCAATATTACATGGTAAGTTAACAAATTGTACTATGATAAGGTGGGATTTTACTAAGTAAACATAGTTTGTCTTATAAACATGGGCTCACCGTGGATGAGCTCATACGAAAATAATATATGTTCAGTGTGAATTCCCAGACGTATAGAGAAGTTTGTAGAATCTACGCGAACAATAGCCAGAGAAGCTTTAATTATATTATACGAGGATAGCTGTACGCTATTCGTATAGCTATCATAAAACATAGCTATACGATTTTATGTATTGTGGTTACTCACATGTACAAGAGTGTGTATGATAAATAGTTACATATGTCACAGAAAATCATACAACAAAATCTATATATTCACTGTGGTCTATATATAATAAAATTTTAGTATTATTAGATTATAGGTATAAATTATTTCCTGTGTTGGATCCAGGATACTTATAGGTATAGGAAAAGATAATCACCGTAAACTTCTCGTTATAAAATGTTTTATTTTTATTTAATTTATTTATTTACTTAATACAGAAAACATGTGTACTAATTTACTGAAGAAACGATAATATTCACAGAAGTATAAAACTGTGTTGCGAATATTGACGCCCTCCACCTAATATATATAATTCCAAAAACTAAAAAAAATACATGCAATGTCGTTACCCAACAAATATTTAAATTTACCAAAAACAAAAAAAAAAATAACTTATAAACAAAAAGAAAGAAGGCACAAAACAAAAAGAACCTATGCCTGTATTTGATATGTATATGTGTAAGCATTATGCGTATGTGTGTGTGTGTGTGTGTCTGAATCCTATTAATATTTCTTATGTAATAATAATTAATCTATTTGTTTATTATATCTCGATATCCTAAAAATACAATCAATTGTAATTATATAGAGAATACATTTATAACCTTTTTATGAGGTAGAACAAAAATAGCCCATATTTTATTTCAGTTTAACAGCATTTTGAGGTTTAGTTACAACGTAGTCACCGACATAATTTTTCGCATATGTCGAACAGTTTTGTGATCATGTACGTGTATATACAATTGCAACTGATGCAACTGTAAATCGTGTAACTTAAATTATAAGAGCAACTATTAAATTATTCGGACCGAAACGCAAACCTATCAATTTTAATCTATTACAATTGAGAATTCTTAGGAACTGTGTTACATAATAAAGTAGTCGATCAAACAAAAGAAGCCAATAACTTATTTTATATAGTAATATACATTTATATTAGTACTTACGTAAATCCTCGATAATATAGAACAACGATTATTACGACCTACTTACGAGGTGTTTATACGGGTCTCAAGTTACCCCTTGAAAGCGACAACGCAACGTAAAAATAAAGTATTTAAAAGGATCTCTACTCAGCGCTTGTCCGGAGTTGTTTGCTTCGTGATCTGGGTTTTATATATCCCTATTTTCAAGTAAAGGATTCCTATGTTATATATATGTATTAAATTCAAATTGGATTATAGTATAATAGTCACTATTATACTGAACGTATTATGTGAACGTGAATGCTATATGTAATCCCTAAAGACAAAAAAGCTCTATAATATTACTTATTTTTCGGCTAATACATGTCAATATGGATTATATCTAATATTGTACACGTAGCGTACCTATTTAATTTGTGCCGCTTAGAGTACTTAATAATGTCGGATATTTCTGTATAGTGTAGTAAATATAGAAATATCAGACCTTTTCAATTATTTTATTAAATCAGTAGGCTTATACATAAAATCATCCAACGACTAACAAATTTGTATTGACTAATGTACTATATGTATGTCCTTATTTTTATTTGAGTTTCTATTATTATTTTTAAACATTTAAAATAGTATTTGCCTACTCATTAGTTAGTGGTCTGTAGAACAATAGAAAATGATTATGTATATATATCTAAATAGTTTACAAATGCTATGTAGATTATACGTTTAATAATTGAATACTTAATTCTGTATAAAAAGGAATGCTTAGTTTGATACAGACAAAATGGTGATTTTCACATATTCTCACTTTAACTCACGTTAAACTTGGACTAATGGTAAATCATTTACACTACCTTCACGTTTACTTAAAACCCGATGCTATAAATCTATGTAGTTTCTCATGTAATTTGGATTTATGTCTGAAAGATGGTGAAACGAAAGGGGCCGCGAACGCTTACGACCCTTTTTATTTTGTACAAAAAAAATCGAGATTATGACGAACTTTTCTAAGTTATATGGCTTTAATGGCATGATGCAGAACAACTTGTTTAGGCATTTCATTAATGAATTAAAATTTAAAATAATATCATCACTAAACAATATCAAAATATTGTTTAGTGATGATATTATATTTTCTATAAAACGAAAATTTGGACTGATTTTCCAAATATAAATAAAATACGCGTAATAACAAGCGAAAATATATATAGTCTATCTAATTTTTTCTAGATATATATTAAACAAAATGCTCTGGGCCGAATATGAAAATATATGGTAGGTAATAATAACTTTTTATTTATAATACTTATTTTATTTCTAATAATGTGAATACAAAATTAACAAAAAATAAATTTCTGTCTAATACTTATTAACATTTTTGTCGAGGGATATGTGGATATATACGGTATTTAAATAACAGTGTAAAACACAAAAACTCTGAGGTCACTTGTATTCCTAATGGGCACGAGAGGAAAACAACGCTTTTAACATTTATGTATGTGCTCCACATTCTTCTGAGCACGTGTTTTATGAAAACGAATTAGGAATTGTTATTCCGATGCTCATCCCTTTTACGAGTAAAGGAGTAGGGTGTTTGTTGTCCTGTTTGTATCGATTTGCAGATTGTTGTGTGAATCATATCATAATAAAAGTAAAGCTCCCGTTCGATACGATCGTTCGACAATATTTATACGTTTTGCTCGAACAAAGTTACAAAGCATACTTATAGCATGATTTTTTTGTTACATCAAATCTCTTAATCAATATAAATTTTTGTTAAATATATAGAAAACTATTAAAATACCCCCTGAGACGTTGTTACTGTACATCGACGTGATACAATGTTTTTGGTCGAGATGATTCTACTGCAGTATTTTAGAGTTGTGAATTTTAAAAGGGAGATACTAGCGCGCTTACACCTTGTCGTTGTCGTTTATGCTCGAAAATCACTCCTTTATCGCTGCACGTTGTAATCTGCCATCGCCCCTCTTTTTAGTTCTGAGTATTACATCTACTTATACTCTCAAGGTTTTCTGCAACAGACAGACAATAAATTGGCATTGTATTTTCTGAAAGCAACTAAATCTGTCAATTAGCATCTAAATCAGTTAGATTATACAACCACGAATAGATAGAAAACCATTATTTTTCTTCCTTGTAACGATTTATAATATGTAGGTATCTTATAATAAGGGTCACTCAAGCATAATGGTAACGTTTTGGTTGCGTTACTTAATAGTCACTTCACTCTTCTTTATTCCGAGAAAATGTATACCGCATCCTCATCATATTTGTCACATACCAATGAAAGGTTTGTGTTGTAACCGTTAACAAAAAGCGGTCAAGGAATGTGGTGCTCTATCGACTCGCATATTTATAGAGGGTTGGTGCCAACCCGAGCAGTGAGATGCGGGCACAGATCAGCCAGTACTCGCTTTCGCGGTGAATCTGGATCCTTTACAAACACACCCATACATGTGCACACAACCATACAAATCGGCAACGATTACTCACAACCGCGAAGATAAGCTTCCATGATATGCTGAAATGGGTTTTGTATATTCTTTATAAGAACATTTTGTAAATTTATTTGTTTGATAGATATTTGTATTTCAGTAAGGTCTTTATAAAATGTCTTTCTGAAATTGTTCCATTAAAAATCTTGAATATAATATATGTATATTTATATATTTTAATCATTTACATATATATGTACCTACTATCAGCTGCGTCGACCATATAGATGAATACCTTAATTTCAATTTTAATATTGGTATAATATATAATTTATGTCTTTAAGTAATAATTAAATTTATTCTTATAAAGTTTAGAAATATTTTGAAAATACATACGTTTAATAAATAATTATTTAATCTACCTAAAAATCTTCAAGAGTAATAGCTTAATTTCCATATTGGTTGTTTTAATATCATTAATTAAAGCCACCACGACAAATACAAAAGAGTCGCGCGTCGGGCGGCGATTCTTTGGCAGGGCGGCGCGGCAGGCGTGCGCGGGGCGGGGCGCGGGCGCGCAGGGCGGCAGTCAGCGCCGCGCCGCGCCCGGCCCGGGACGCCCATCCTATATACGAGCCTTTACGTAACGATGGCCGAGCCCGTAAGCTGATGGCCGCGTTCGTCTGGTGGCTGGCGGCCTGCTGCCTGCTGCGCGCCGCCACCGCCGGCAACCCGGACGCGAAGCGCCTCTACGACGACCTGCTTTCCAACTACAACAAACTCGTCAGGCCGGTCGTCAACACCACAGACGTACTACGCGTCTGCATAAAACTAAAACTTAGTCAGCTCATCGATGTTGTAAGTTTCACCAGCCACGTAGCGACTACTGACATGTTCTGTGCCTCTAAACCTTACGAACGATCTATTTTATATGTACACAGTTGAAATTAATGCATCTCCGTGGCGTGCACGATGCAGTATTGTAGACTGACCTACATCCAGTAAGCAAAGTGCAGGGAACGCATACCTTAGTTGCACTTGCGCGTCGCATTTGGAATTTAAATAGACGTGAATCAAAATCAACGCCTCGGACTGCCGACCCAGTTTCCGTAGGACACTTGAAGTTTACAGAAATCTTATAAATGGGTTATACGAAAACATTTATAAGTGTCGTAAAAGCGTGGTTCCAATATCACAAAAGTTCACTAGGCGCCGCGCTGTCTCCCTATATATTTCAAATCGGATTCCATAAATCACCCGAATAAAAGGAATCGTATATTTTAATATTTATTCCAAACATCTTTTTGATATCAGAATTTATTGTTGATAATATAAAATAAATATTCGGCATGGGTACTTTAATACTTGAATAAATATAATATATAGGGAAATATACTTAAACGATTATTAACTTCAATAAACTCAGGATCGAATATGTTATAATTATTTACTAAATAACAATGTACATATAATTTACATCACATAAATCAACAAAATTGTATTGTGGATCTGATATTAATGTAATATATTTTTTTCATAATATTAAATTGACATTATGTATAACTAGAGTAAGTAGTAATATTTTAAATTCATGAAATAATAAAGTATTTTCAAATTTATTTTACCTTTTTTTATCGAAATGAATGTAATAACGCTGAATAATGTTGTGGAGCACAGCTAAAATCTTGCTATGGTCGATATCAGCAAAGACATCCGAGGCATTCTATCTTTACGGACAATTCCTCACTGAATTCATTTTTATAACATATCTCATATACTCTAATGGCGATTTCAAAATAGCATTCAAACATCATAGGTTTTATCTGAAATTAATTTAATGTATATTTGAATATATTATAGTATGTTTTGTTTCTGTTACATACAGAAATACATAATTTATGTTCTAGGTAATTATCAATTAAATTAGTGCTATTATCATTGCACGTGCAAAATTAAAATTAATTTAATTGCATTTGATTCCGTATAAGAAGAATGATAATGATAATGATAATGATTCCTTAGGAATGCCAAAAGACATGAGAACCAACCCGAGGATGGTATCTTTGTGTACAAAGACGCATCTCTATAAGGAACTGTTGCCTATCAATTTTCATCGATTATATTATTAGCCGTTATTTGCCATTTCAATAGTATGAAAACAGGAATCAAGATTTTTTTAACGAAGTACTTCGGTCAAAGTAGTGGTGATTATATTTATATAATATAACTTTATTATAGGTATACCGTTAAAAAGAAACTTCATTCAATGAAATAAATTGAATGAGATTTACTATACATTCTCGTATATCTTTATAAATTGTAGCTGACGCAGTTTACTTCGTAGCGTACGATAAAAGCTTTCTCATAAATCCTTTTCAATAATGTTCTTGGATTTAATGTTGGTAAAGGTTACTGAAGCGTGATTAAAAACAATCAGCGCTTATTTATTTATAAATGGGGTATTTAATAATTCATAACAGAAAAAGTATTTTCTCTTAGAGTATCTGCATTTAACATATTTTAATTCGAAATTGTTGCTCTGTTTTGGTTACGGAATGGGCAAAAGTACCGACAGTTCGATCTATGGATTCTATAAATTATCTACTTAATTTACGCACGTGTCTCTCTTTCTTAATCGTATGAGATTAATTATCGTTGAAGTGTTGTGTTGTAACAAATATAGTATATAAAAAAAGCAAGGAAGCCGATGCTTCTTACATACTTAAAAGTTTGATTTTATAGATGGATTAATTAGTTGATAACTAGCTAATTGTCTATTTTCAATATTGTGTAAATCAATGTTCAATAATTGAGAATAATATAATATACGTAATTGTAGTAACTATAGTAAGTATTTTTCGATAATATACTTACCAAAATTCAGTATGTAAACAAATAATATCTTGAAAAGATGCTCTTGTTCTTAAAAGTTGTTCTACATAATTACAATAGCTATGAATCTAAAATTGACTACAATTGTTTTTATTTCGGTATTTCCTCTAAAGCAATGATGAAACTTTACAAATTATATTTACATGAGGATTTTATATAAATTACCCCAATTTATATAAAATGTTAATCCTCATGTAAACATAATTTGTAAAGTTTCATCATTGCTTTAAACGATTTACCTACCAATAGTTGTAAATTTATGAATTAGATTAAATCTGGTGTTATTTTATTATATTTCATAGAACTAAAATCTATTTATTGTATATATTATTATGTAATTTTGGCACCAGAATTGATAATTGTTGTGAATTAGTTATAGTGTACGGTAGGGATAAGTAGGTAATATTATCTCATTATATATCGCCTGTAACCAATCTACTACATTATTATATCATATCCCATTAATTCTATTAATACTAAACTTATTAAATATTATAACACAATTCAGTCACCCGTAAATGGTAAATCTGATTTGATTTAAAGTTGGTATACATACTGATAAATTTGATCACAGCATTAGCAAATAAGCTCACATTATTCTAGTTATAAGATCCCTTGGAATAATTTTCAGCTACTTATTTAGAATATTTTTTGTCCGCGTATGCCGTTTGTCCGCGTATTGTGCTTGAAGATAGTGTGGCAAACCCTTTTCACATTTGTATAGATTTATTTTCGCATTAATTTTGAATGTTTTTTTACAATTTTAAGAATTGTCTCATGTTCACTGTTTCTGTTCATATCTACATTACAAGTAGTAAGTATTTACTATTTTTTAACGGTTGTTCCATTAATCTCACACATACAGTCTACTCATTCTATCGACCACAGATTACATAGACATATAATAGTTTACGAAGACTCTTAATTAGAAAATATTCATAATTAAAATAAAATTATAATATATCTCAATAGTATAATACTATTAAATTATACTATTGAGATATATTACGGTATAATCGGAATTATGGATAGACAAAGAATTTTACTTAGTATAAAGTTAATTAACAAAGGTTAACACTCTTGTTTATTCTATTTTAGTAATTTCTGATAATGTATATAAAATAAGCAAAGAAATCCAATACGAATTAAATATACCAGGGAGTGTCGCCATGGGATAAAATATTTCTAAAGAAATAACCGTATTTTACTATTATATATTTATATAAATATTTAATATATTTATATAAATATTTAATATATTTATATTAAATATATATATATATACTATATTTATATAAAATTTTAATTGAAAATCCTTTTTTAATTCAAGAAAATTCGATTCGTTAGGTAAATATTTTGCATAGCCCCTAATTTATTAATGTGTTTTAAACATCTTTTATTTGGAATTAGCTGTTGTTATAAACCATAAGCAAGCGAGCAATAAATATAGGAACTGGAGAGTTCTCAAATGCAACCTTACAACATACGTTATAAAATTCTAATTATAATAAATTATAGAATTCGGTTTCATTTTAAAACCTACATCTTTAATATAATGTATATTATGAACTTAGATTTTATGTTGCTAAATAAAGTACTCTAGAAGGTACATAAAAAAATATCAATGCCACTAGAAATTCCACTACTCTGTCACCTTTTCACGTATTACGTTCCGATTCAATACGCGGATAATGTTATATGCTCAACACTCGACATATCCAATTTTATTTCATACCAAGTTAGAGTTTGTAGAAAATCGGCTACATTATCCGCAAATTCCCCATTTTTAGTTATTTCACCAAACTGCATTGAAAGATGTGCTTCGGTTAAAGTGTTCAAAACTGGAACTACAGAATAAGAGGCATGACATCTTAGTTCCCTGGAATGGTAATGCTTGAGTGCTATCACGAGCGTCACATTAAAACGTGTTGTCGTATTGCTGTTCATTTCTATAGACCACTATTACCACTTACTTTCAAGTGGGCCGTCAGTTTGTTTACCAATCCAGTTATACTTGTGTATATATGTACAGTGTTAAACTTAATACGGATTATACGTTATGTTGAACTCAATATAACGTATAGTCCGTCCAGGAATACAGACGTAAGGATATTTATTCTTTTATTTTTATTATTCAACCACACCTTAAGTTAAAAAAATCTGAATACGTAAATAGAGAAGTCCGTAAGATTTGATGTATGTACTACATATCGAGTAAATCTCTTTCACATCAAACAACCCAAAAATCACTATTTGGGTTAAAGATATATTATTTCCCATGAACAAAATCTAAAAACAAAAACTAAAATATTTTGGTTTTTGTTTTTTTCCCAACAGAACTATCACTTTTACAATTGTTAATACATTATGGAATTTAAATTGAATATGTGAATTTAGAAGTGGATAAATTATTGTTTTTATACATCACTTTAAGACCCTTTTTTTATCTACCACATTTACACTGATATCTATGAATAATTAATGAAGACTTCTTTTATTTGTAAAAAAACTTGAAAAATATTAATAAAATATACTTTATTGTTCATAACAGGTCCATAATAGTGCAAACGTTTAATACAAGTTAATATCAAACATCCATATATATTGAGAATCAATAGGGCCAAACTATTGCTACAGAATTCATTAGTCGGCTATGAGAGAACTTTGTCATTAACTCCTTAGTTTAGTTTCTGGTTAATCTCACGATAAGGTCAAGTGGTTAAGATGTTAATAGTTGAAATAAACAAGCGAAGCGAAGTAATGTAGAGTCACATGAACTAATATATAAATTTTTTTACACATTATTGCGAAAACTTTAGATACACCTATTAGAACGTATATTTATGTGTTTATTGCCATATATTTTTTTTGGAAATATTTATCGTGTCATTAGATATCATAAGCTGTTACATACACGTGGTGACAGATTACAATGTGGAAGATAATAATAATAACTCTTTATTATAAAAATATTTACAGAAAAACAACTTAATATAAATATACGAACAAAAGGCCATTAAAGCAATCTCTGACAGACAATATTTATTTGATAACACAATATCTTATTTGTGCTTGAACCATAATTTTTTATTATCTTTATATTACTCTATAACGTCTATAAGAACAAGATATTATCGTAATTTCGTAACCATTTTCATTTCGAGTAACGTGAAGTTAGGATTGAGTCGTCGAAAATTTAAAAAATCCAACATTAGGTACATCAGTAATTTTTATTTAAATTTTGTTTCATAAACTGGGAGATTTAGACGCAAGAAAATGTATACCTACTAATAATAATTCTGTAAATTTCTCGAGCTGAAGATCAAAGTCTGCTGTTGTCGTGACAAAGGTCAATATGTCATGTCACACCCGTTCGACATGACACCGCATTAGAAGTCACTCTTTTAACCTTTTTATACCTTTCCATATTTAGGTATTAAACCTTCAATGAAATATATATATTTTCGCTATTTCTTCAACATAATTTTCGTATTTGTTGTACATATTTTCCTCTCTGAATTAATTCAATTTGCATATTATGAATATGAAACTTTTACCCTCCAAATAGTCTTACAATTATTACAACTTCCGTAGCGCAGTGACGGTACTTTGTTAGAACAAATTTAATAAAAGATCTTTTCAAGCTTAACCTTTATGGACGGAATATTTTCTGGTATTTTTTTCATACAGCTAAGTTCAAACAAATAATTAATAACTAATAATAAGCATATAAAATATTTGTGTATAATAATAATAATTGTAAATTAATTAAAAATATTTTATAAATTAAATTTTATTATCTTTCTTTTCTTAATTGCTGTATGTAATATATTTGTAATTTCTAAGTAGTGAGCAATCTACTCGTATAATGGTTTGTGGCGACCATGTACCTATATAATATGTAAAGCGTTACAACTTTCGTTAGTATTATCACATGAAATAGTTATATATGTAGAAACTCCGCTACACTATACTTACGGAACACTTTTTATAACAGATAATTATAAATTATCATATAAGCGCTCACTAATAAGAAATAGTAACACATTTATCATGAAGAATTCACCACTTTTTCTAACTGTATTTATTTGTATTCACTGTTTAAATTGTATTTGAAAAACATTAAGAAAAAATTGCGAGAAATTAATTAAATTATAGAAAAACTCTTATTATCGGTCACATTGGGATGTTTAAAAAAAATCATTCATACCTATAATAGAATTAATAATCGCAGTATGTCTATTACACTTAATAATAACTAAATACAGTAATTTTATGACTTTTTATTCTATTATATTCAATTTAATTTTTACATCATTTGTCAAATATAGATTATGATTTGCCAGTCACACCAACGCATTCGTAATGACGTTTCATTAATTTTATATATAGGTATTAATTTAAGTTTATGTACTTGAAGTTGTTAAATAAAATAAGTATTGCGATTTAATGTAATTTTTATAGGATAGAATTTAAAGCATGGCAGTGTGTCTTACAGATACACCGTTAACAATTATTATTGTCATTTTTGTTAACGGTGTATCCTTTAACAAAAATGACAATAACACTTTATATAAAAATAAACCACGAAACATCTGCAGTCAAATATTTATGATAAATAATAACAAGATTCAGGTACGTGTAATTGTAATAATAAACTACGAAGCACATACGTAAAATGATCGTATAAGTCACATCTATATCACAACCCATTGTCTAAGATATTTCGGAAACACAAACATATTTAACAACTAAGATTCTCTTCAAGAACTTCCAAATTTTCTTCTAATTTAAACCTTTGTTTATTATTCTTTCAGATAGGTATGGTATGTCAAAGTCGCTATTTACCCATTTCGACTTGGTAGAAACCGAACATTCTTAGGGACTTAAACATTTGAACAACGTTTTAAGCAAGTTAATGGAGGATCAAAGATGCGGAAAGACAAGTAAACTAAGTTGATGGATATAAAAGAAGTATTTACCATTAGAGTTTTGAGTAAGTCAAGGTCGGCTTTTAATAATTTAGGTATATACATGTTTTGTAAAGGCAAAATCAATTATGATTCTTTGCTAAACATTTTTCTACAATTCAACTATAAAACAGTTTATTTGTATCTTCAGTACAAAGCCTGTTGATCTGTGATAGTGTGATAGTTATGGTGGCCTATTGAAAATATATACAAAAATTCACCCTTTCTTTAGCCTATATATTTAATGACATTATGTGAAAATCTCGTAGTATTTCCATAACCTTAACATGCAGACAAACAGACAATTTTCGTCTCGTCACGATTTTATTAGAATAAAAGTAAATAATAAGATATTTTTTTATTAAAAAAACTATGGCATGTCTATCAACTATCACTACTGTTTTGGATTGACTTTAAGAGATCTCTTCTAGGGATATGTCCTTCTTTCTAAATTAAGTAATTACTGTATTTTCTGAGTGCAATAAAGAATATATAATAATAAATTTCCCAAAATTTCGTTGGAGAATCTTTCATTTGAGTTTCAACAAAAAGATATTCTGAAACTAATATAAACGGAACGTAATAAAACGTCTAACGCATTTTGTTTGTATTCCCGAAAAAGTAAATGAAGACAAAGTTATCCCCGCCCATACAAAGACTTAGCGTCCCGGTTGTCGTGAGAGAAATCTAATATCCTCGGGGAAAACACAGACGGTGATAGGGCGCCACGGTGGAAAATAAAATATTCACTGACACAGATTCTGTTCAGATAAAACCTAATATATTGTCCAGAGAGTCAAGTAATTCTAAAAAGATAACTTAAAAATTTCATTTTAAAATAGGCACAACTTAAAAACATATATACATATTAATTATTTTCATAAAATACAGACTTTTTAGTTTAAAAAATGTTTTTTTTTCATATTTACGTTGTTTTGGGTACATTTCTATTCTATATACAAAATTAAATAATTAGATACTTTGTTATATACTATGTAGTGCTTCGCACAAGTTTCGATTCAAGTATGATATAAAAAATATATCTAACTAAAGATTTATTTCTTTCAAACTTATCCTCCGTCTCAAATACAACTTTAGGGAACAATCAAAACTTTCGGGTCCTTATGTAAGATTTTTATGTTCCTATAAATATTATTCCTTCTTCCAAAATTCTTTTAAAATTAAAATACAGTATAATTCTACCTTAGTGAAAATCATATCAGAATAAATTTATTTTAATTATATTTTTTTTATAGGTAATTAGGGATCCGACCCAATGGGATGATTATGGTTTGTTATGATGGTGCTTTTAAAGTAAATAAACTTACGGCTATCTGTTTAGGATTGATTTAATTCGAGTTTTTTGTTATAATTCTTTTTAAGAGAAGGCTGTGTGTAACTTGTGTATCACAACTTCAAGTGATATATGTTCGTGTATTTAATAAAAACTTTTCTTACAAACAGAGTAACTACGCACATACAGTTCGTTTATTATAGTAATAAAAATGAACTGGGCCCCGTGTCATTGTTGCTGAGTAGATGTTGGATTTTACTTCTATATATACCGACTTAGTTTCTACGTTATCAGTAATATGAAATTGTCGATTGTAAAATTTAACAAACATATATTAAAATAATGTGAGTAAGTGTTAGTATTTGAAAATGGCAAATTATTTTTATGTGCACCTATGGCACTGTAAACACTCTTAGTTAAAATGAAGGGTCGGTTTAATATATGTATATCAGTTGAAAAATCAATACCACTTTCAAATTAAGAAGTAAATTATCATGAATTTGTTAACTGTTCTAGGACTTTTCAGTCCTAGAACTGGATTGTCTTGAAACATTATAGCTATATATATGTATGATTAAAAAAATAGGATACATTAACGTATTGTTCTGGTTAACTAGTTAGATATAACATATTTGAACTAAAACATACGACAGCACAGAGTGAACATCATACACGATTTTAAATACAACTTAAAGTTAATCAATAGTATTAGAACATACATATATAACCTCTAAATGTCGAGGTTTATGTCACTAGTGGTCGCCTACTGATTGTAATTTGACCATAATTAAATTAAATTATAGGTTTGAACATTATTAAGGTTCTATTGTCAAAGATGTATAATCTTTCTATGAGTGTGTGTCAAACAGGTACATCGTAGTCAATTAATTCAATGTATTGCTTAATTTTAAATATTTTATTAGCGTTCTACACTCCTCTATATAAACTGTAAGTGTACGAAGTTTCATACTTCTCCATCTGCAATTTTCATGAGAGGAATCGAACCCGTGACGATCACCGCTGTCATGTAATCATTTATACAGTAGAACAGCAATTAATTAAAATTATTTTATACAGAATCTGAAGAATCAGATAATGACAACAAACCTGTGGGTAGAGCAATCGTGGTACGACTACAAGTTGCGGTGGGAGCCGCGCGAGTATGGCGGAGTCCACATGCTTCACGTGCCCTCCGATCACATCTGGCGACCCGACATCGTATTATATAACAAGTGAGATCTGCACACAACTTCATTCTACCTTTTTTGCTACTATATACATTCAGTAAAGACTAAACTAAAATCCTATCGGGGTTAGCAATGGTGCGAAATGAAAATGTGGAATAAAGTATAATACTATATAGTAGATAATTTGTATTCACATTCAGTTTTACATAGTTGACATGCACGTTTCCCGACACACATAGTATACACGAAAATATGTACCATATTTACTTTTAGTTTTTATTTAAACATTTAATTAGTAGCCAATTAGTTTATTTCAATATAACTAACAGACACAAGACAATATACGACATAGCAACTAGTTTGGTAATTCTAAATTAAAAATCAACTTCTATAACCAAATGTTGTGTGTTTACTTTTCAACACTTAAAGTTTTAGTATTCCGAGTAAAAAGCAAATATTATGATTCAATGAGTTCACAGTCAATTTTCTGTAGATACATACACTTCTTGTGCATGTTTATGGGGCAAAGTAGTACACACGCTGAATATTATACGAGACATCAACATACGTGTCTGAAACATGACATGGTTACTATGGTCCTATTTTTAATGCAACTGGAAAATACGTAGTAGTATTCCTATGTAGAGATATTACCTATTATAACATTAATACAACAGTAGGTATCTGTTTGTTTATTTACTTTCACCATAAATAAAGTGTCTAAAATAAGTTATACCTTTTCAATAACTTATCATGGCGAACTTATTTATACTCCAAATATTTTATCTATTTGCAACACGATATTATAATTTTTAGATTTGATTTTTGGCTTAAATCACCAGAAAAGTAAATAGGTTAATCTATTCTACAATGCTTATTCGCATCGTTGCTTTCACCCGTTTATTAAATAATTATAACCACAGTTAAATTTAAATTACTTTGTTTGTTTTATATTTCAAATATTTAGTACCCACCTTGTCATTTAATTACGTGTCGCATGATTAGCTGAACGAGTGAAATATTTGAAAAATACCTAAAAATACAGACATTAACGTACAGGCTAAAAAATATGTAATATAAAGGAAATTATAGTAATAAATATTATAGTAAATTTATAACCTGAAAATTTCATGAGAACATTGTAAGTCATTTTTATGATTATTTTTTTACTAACAAAATATAATAGTAATAATAACAATTTATGGAACACCATTTATGCATACCGACATATAATATGTATATGTTATCTTAAATATTTTTTTGTTTATATCCGTTAAAATTTATGTATTTCAGTGTTTTCCTACGTGTTTTAGTTTACTACAATAGAATTAAATTATAAATTATTTAGAACTATTTCAATTTTATAAATACTTATATCTTTATAATTGAACAAGAGGGAAACATGTTTTCGGTCTTTATTTAATTTAAATTTTTCTTCTACTTCGACTTTCAAATTATATAAGATCCATTTTCCCTCATTTAATGAAGATCAGCATCGTAATCTAATCATAAAATCAATTGTCCGTAAACATTTGAAGTAGGATTTATCAATAAACTTACTACGTATTACCAGGATTTAGAAAAAAGGAATGTGAAAAAACTACATAAGTATTTATATAAGGGTTGTTTACAAGCTAAAATATATGCATATTTTTAACTGGTAATACATTTCATTAATTTAGATCATTCATATTCGACAATTTTGTATTTTTTTATTACTTAAAAGTACTAAAGTATTGCTATAGCACCTTACTAAGTAGCGAGATAAAATATTGTAAGAAACTATATTTTTGAATCTAATATTTATTTCTGATATTTAGCATAATTTAATTTTAAATATGTCATTATCTCGAAAATATACTTTTTCATTTCATAGTAAGTACGAGTACCTAATGCAATACCAGTAATTGAGATTATTTTTTTTGCGTATGTTCGAAACTAAAGCCTAATAACAACAAAATTTAAGAAATATATACTAAAATTATTTTTAATTACCATGTCGTAATATTTTACTCGTTCAACTAGTTCGCCTGTATTTATATTTACACTCGCAGTAATTCAATAACATTGGTAAACTACAAATAACATAAAATATTACATTTAACAGAACTGTCTATATTATCTACTCCCTACATCAAACTTGTTAGTTGTCTATATCAGAATACTAGAAGAAAAATACATTTTCAGAGTAATAACTTCGTAGTCGTGATAGATATTTGGAACAAAATCTGAATGCAAATAATTAAGTAGTAGATATACTACTTTGCAGCAGAAGGTGGGGACTATATATGTAGTAATGTGGTCAGTTCTGTTATTTCCATTACGTTTTTCATCGTTCCAACTGATCTCATAAATTTCATTTACACTTACAAAAAGAGGCAACGAACATTGTTGGAAAAGCTGACAGAAAGTTGTTCCTTGAAATAGAAATGATGACCGAAGTGTCACAGGGATGCCACACATAAAACGTTTTTACTACATATAACAGCGAAATAGGTAATAGTTTATGCCGTATATATTATACATACAGAAACCTTAAACGACAAGACGAATAAGTTTAGTACATTACATAAAAGCACTATCTCTAAACCCTACTTTTCTTCGCTAATGTTAGTTGTTACACATTATAATAAAATAATATCGTTTATAAATCTGTATTTATAACTTGAAGTAGTCGAGTACGTGTACTTTTTAGAATTTGTGTTATACTTTTTATTTTTTTTTTGTTATGATCTGCTTTCTTATAACTCTTTCTAAAACCTTCCAAAAGGCTGTAATCTACGTCATACGTAATTTGAGACACAGCTCTCTAAAAAACTGTGAGACTTCAATTTGTCTTCAACTCAATTAATTTGGTTTGTTTTCTAAATCGGGTAGAGTCTTCAGTTTTTGCTTGCTTTTTATATATTTCAATGCCAGAAAAAATATATAATTACATTTTATTTTTAAAACTACTTTTAATATTTGCAGATACTAGAGCAAAAATTATTAGTTTTTTATCAAGAGACTACACTAAATACCCTCCAGGTACTCCACTAACTCAAATGCTTAACGTACACTTTACAATAAATACCTCACTTCTGTCATTGTATTTTATGCAAATAGATTATGTAAAATGAAACCATTTTTACAGAAGGTCATGCTGTATTAGTTTGTACATTTCAATATCAGTACTCGCCTGTGTTAACCGAGTGCATGATAAACGAATTAACTTTTATTAAAATATTATCTACTAAAATATGAAGTTGATTTACTTTTGGGTTATTACCCTGTTTTTTCCCGTCGTAAGTTTTATTTAATTTATAATAATTGATCTTTATCATAAAATAATACTATATTGATTTGTACATCGTTTCACTGTGTTCCTATTATCTGTTTTAGGTTATTGGTGACCCTGAGATAGTGCATGGACTGAAAAAAATATTCGAAAGCTTGCAGTTTGGTATAACGAAATTGTTTAGTCATGTGAGAACTGATATAACGGACGTATTTAATAACACTATAAGTTGCGTAGACCGTTTAATAAATTCCTTGATTCAATAAAATACTAAGTACCACCACAGTAAGAATCTTACGACATTCTCATTCTCAATATTATAAAGTTATAAGTAAAAAACTAGTCTTACAAAACTTGGAAAGACATAAAAAATCTTGTAAAAGTACCACCAATCTGTTTGAGTTATATGGCACCCATTTTGTTCTGTCCACCATCTTCAAGCGACAGACTTTGATAAATGACCCGGACAGCTATCGTTACTCATTTCCGATCCCTCCTCTACAACCTGTGCTCGCCTTTCCCGGTTAATGTGCTCCTTTTTGCTTCTAACCCCAACCTTAGAGCAATACAACAGACGTCCCTTTGAATCACGGTGTTAGGGATCTCTTTATCGATTTCCTTACCCTCATCACCATCTTCATGTGATCTGTCATTTTTATAATTATCTTCTAGAATAGTATGTGTTTCCGATACGTTTGGATGTTTCTTTGTTGTATTAATAATTTATACACTTAAAACTACATATAAAAATAAATTTTAAATTTTAATACTGCATGTTTCTGTGTGTATCTGATATAACTATAATTCCTATAAATGCAAATAATTGGCCACCAGCTATCGTTGTTGTCGGCCGTCGTCGTCGCTATAATCGCCATAAATAAATGATGGGATAAGTGCATTTTCCAGATCTTAGCCGCGTCGTCGAGCCTGTCAAACGAATGAAATATAAGATAACAACATCAAAGAAAGTTTGTAATTATTTTACAAACTTTATGGTTATATTTAATGTGCTATAGACAGCCACCCAACTAAAACTTGAATTAAAAATAAAATTTCATTTACAAAATGAAACGTTTTAAATCATATTAATAAAAATAACAAGTAATATTTTCCTATTATTCTAATAAAATTTTGAACAATCCGACATTCGATTTAGCATAATAACGTTATTAGGTATACCAAGACTATCTACACATTTATCGTCACTAAAATTAGTTCGCCATATAATATATAAACTTATGAAAATATTAAAACCATTTATAATAATTTAACGATCATCCAGCAAAATCTATACATACGTGTAAATACGTACACCTTAATCGAAATAAAAAAAAACCGATAACATAGCATACCTACATCTGTATACACAGCAAAATAATGTAAAATTACAATACCTGCTAGGTAGGTAGAATTTACGTCATAAAATTGTTATTATAACTTTTGTTTCACTGAATCGTGTGGTAAAGTTACTAACCGTATACGCATATATACAAAACATGTAGTACACATCAACGACGTGACTAATTGATTACCAACACATAACATGAAGGTTTCTCAATAAATAATGTAAGCAGTCGGTGCTACGCTTAAACTCCGCCAATTAGGGACCGCGTGCCGGCATGTAAATGTACATTAACATTACAGTGCCGACGGCAACTTCGAGGTAACGTTGGCGACCAAGGCGACCATCTACCACCAGGGACTAGTCGAATGGAAACCTCCTGCCATTTACAAGTCTTCCTGCGAAATTGACGTGGAATATTTTCCGTTCGACGAGCAAACGTGCGTTCTTAAGTTCGGTAGCTGGACGTACGACGGATTCAAGGTAATTGCGTGGAGTGCCGTCACTGCTCTCGCTGATCGCTCTGTTTGTCCGCAGCGCCGACGGCAACTACGAGGTGACGCTGATGACGAAGGCCACTGTCTACTACAACGGAATGGTGGTGTGGCAGCCGCCCGCCGTCTATAAGTCCTCCTGCTCGATCGACGTCGAGTTCTTTCCTTACGACGTGCAAACCTGTGTGCTTAAGTTAGGCAGCTGGACGTATGATGGTTTCAAGGTGACGCCCCGCCCCGCTGTACGCTGCTTGGTGCCGCGGGCGCGGGCCGTAGCCGTAGGGCCCGCCGCCCCGGCCGATGTCCATGCAATAAATAGCTTGTTGGCTCGAACGTAATTCGTCGTGTAATTATTATATTACTTTCTGTCCATGTGGTATGTTCACACTTTTACATATTGAATGTATATTACAACGGTGCTAGCGTAGAGGCGTAGAGCGCGCGTCTCGTGCCGCCGCCGCGCCGCTCGCTCCCCGCCACGTACCAGCTCCATTAGCTCTGACATGTTGCAAGTTTACATTTCTATTGCGATGGTGATGTTTTAAAGTATGTGGAGTAGCGGTATGTCAACGTGCGTGACCTCGAATGCTCCAGATTATCCTCGGCCGGTTCCACTTAGCTCAATCGGCCTTCCTCGCTCGACACGGAAAGGTATAAAATTTTAACTGCCAGGTGATATGGGATGCAAATACTTCACTCGTTCCGTTCCCACCCGACACGTCCTTTTCCGCTTGAGCCTTTCCGCGCTGAATTTTGAATTCATATCCGCAAACGTTTCTATAATGCGGTTAAGTAGTTATCTAATTACTATATTACTTATATTTGTAAATTATCAACAATATGAGCCAACTACGCCTCGCGGCGCGGAGCGGTATCACTCGGAGTACTCACACCATCCCTTAGCTGGCTCCGCTCGCGCCTTACACACAACACAATCATACACAAAAGCTTGTTGCATGTTTCCCATACAGTTGATGTACACACAACTCACCGCATGACTCCGGCTTGACTCCGACCCTCTTGCATTCCCGATCACGGCGGCCGCTAGCCGCAAGACACGGTCTTGGCTCTTACACAGCTTTACACGATACCTACACGCGAACAGGTTAAGCACAGCACGTGAAATAAACAAATATGAAATTCACACTTTGGCTCAATATACACTTTCGAGCATAAACAATCATCATGATGCATATTTTATACCTTTCCCTATTAGCGACTCCTATTGGCTGTACGAATTCGGTGTCGCTGGCCACCCATTGCATGATTTTCAACTAAAAGAAAGACAAATTATCCCACTCAAATTCAGACACGGAGTCCAGCACAAAAAAATAACTAAAATACCTAGATGTTACAGTAGTATGAATGTTTCCTCGATTGAAGTATGAGAGTAGTTTACTTATATTTCAGTCGATGAAACGTTTTCTGCATGCTAATACTACACCGAAGCCAAGCTTATTCTTGAAATCAACAACATTTCCCGTTATTGTTGTAGGAGATATAAAATAGATATTGTTTTTGTGGAACAATTAAATAAGAGCAGAACAGTGGAAAGATTGTTGGAATCAGGAGTATAGCTTGCTATATGGACGCCCGCCGCGTCCGCGCGACACACACAAGCGCGGCGGAGCCGGTGCTCCAACCAACCTCTCTTTCAAATTTTTTGACGACTTGCATGTGGCAACTACGTTATCTTGGCGATACATTTTAGTGGCTGTCGGATAACGTACAGTTTCGTGCGATTAACGTCATTAAATGCGGAATACGGAGGCAGTTTCCATCCCGTACTCTCGTCGAGAATTCCACGACCTTTTGTTATTGTTCGGTGTTTTCTGTGTTTTACGCGTTGTTATTTCTTCGCATGTTCGAAATATTGTTGTGGCATATCTTCTATGAAGATTTATGTTACGATTTGTCGTAAAAGGTTTCTCACAGTTTAATTTGTCGAAACAGGTACATCCTACTTGGCACACTCTGTGATATGATTTAGAGGCATCCTCTGCAAAGGTTTATGTGACCAAAATTATATAAAATATTGGAACGCTATAGACATATAGTTGCACATTTATAAAGTCTCTACGATAGAGTTTAATATGGTCTCGAGATTAGGTATTCTGCAATAATATTAGCTATTATTACACATTGTGTGACAGGGTGCATGTATCGAATAAATAAATTTATGAGACTAAACTTAATTTAATAAATTATGACAATAATATAAATAAAAATACTTATAATAACATCTCAAGCACAATAAAATGGCACTATTGCGATACAGCAAAAATAAATACCCATGGACATTCTCGCAGTCTATTAAAAATATTTCAATACAATATTCTATATAGTTACTTCTTTTTGCTGTACGTATTTGGTACCCGTTAATGTTAAGTAAAGTAGAACTAAAATCGTCATCATAATCACTTGGATATCTTTTATTAAAATTTATCACAGTAATTGTACGAAATATATTTGAATTTAAATATTGCTCATTGATGTTTGTATGACATTCTTGATGTTTTATTTTATAGAAATACTTTTGAATATTCAATGTAGAATGCTGTTCGTAGGTAATTAATATGTTATTCATATATCATATAAATTAAATTTGAATAAAGTAAAAATAATGAATGCTTGCAATTAAACGAAGAAAATTAAAATATTATTGGTTTTATAAATATCGTATACGTTTTCTAAGTATGTATGTGCATAGGTGGACTTGAGGCACATGGATGAGCAAGCAGGCAGCAACGTCGTGTCTGTGGGAGTTGATCTCTCAGAGTTTTATATGTCCGTTGAATGGGACATACTCGAGGTGCCAGCAGTAAGGTACGTTACGCCCCGTTTCCATAACACTATGTTTTAAAAGGCTTTTTTGTGTTACCATAATAGCAAATAAGTTCACGGCTTACCTGATGGTAAGTGGCAACTGCCATCTATGTACCTAATTACCAACAAGGACAATACGTCATCATAACAAACAAAAACATCTTACAAACTAACCTGCTTGGTGACTGAAATAAAATATCAGCCAAAAGTAGAAAATAATGTCTTATCATAAAGAGTTATAATATTGTGTACAATTTAAAACAGGTAAATATATCACAAAAAACAAGTTGTAAAAATTAATTGTACAAGAAAATAGAAAATAGTGTACAGATAGACATAGGACTTCAGGTTCCTTTTGAAAATCACCTATATTTTCTTTTTGAATATATTTTCGATAAAATGTTACACTATTTTCATTATCAAAACAAACAATTGAGTGCCTTTTATGTCGTACAACAAGGGTTATAATGACGTAATACAATGTCTTGATAGTAAATAGTTCCTGTACTGCATGATAATTTCCAAAATTCCAACCTATGTAGAGACCTACCAATCTATATTACTCGTTACTGACCTTTGTGACATGAAAATCTTTAATAATATTACTCAGTAATTTAACAGCCGCACTTTTCGGAAACCGTCTCACCAACTACTAGTTAGAAAACGAAATATTTAAGTAGGTATTACACCTATGTTTCTTAACAACAAATCTCGAGAATAAGGTATGTAATGAGTAAAATGTAGCAGTATGTACAGAGAATCTCTATTTATACATGTATATAATGGAAAGTTAATGACATGCTTTATGACATTAAGATGTCAGGATGTCATTACGTTTACCCTATATCAACATACCTATATATGAGGTAATAAAGTGAACGCATGGCTGTCTTTCAACGATAATAATATGTTTCCTTACTCCTCTCCCCCATATCCGGAGGCTGTCATTACTATACATATATCTATTAGATAAGTCTTTGGAGTACACACTCAATTTGGTCAACCCTCATCTAGTTACATACACACTATAAATATAGTTCTTTCAAATATTTATTCCTGAAAAAGTAAAATGTATGTGTCAGTAAAATTGTAATATTTTCTACGTATGCGTATTAGATTTTTTTATGAGTCATAAAGGGTATCTTAGTTTTCCTTTTAGTTTTATCTAGGTAAAAAAAACAAAGTACCCTTTACCATTTCATAATCAGGAAGTAATGCGCTGTGCAAAATTACTCATATCAAACATCAATCGTAATGCTACTTGCATATATGGATATACGTAAAGTATCAAGTCTGTGGTACACTTTTTACTTCAATTGGTTTTTCTGCAAAGAATCCCAAGGCTATTCCTACTCAACCAATAATTCATAGCAGTAAGCAAAACTGTATACGTAGCATGAACTCAAAGTGAGTAGAAAAGAAGAAGGAAAAATAGAAGAATTTACCTGTATTAGCACCTCAGATTAAGCGGACACGTAATTCATAATTACAGTTACTATTAGGTATGATAATATTTTTATTTTTTTCACTGCATGAGTGCATCAATAATTGAATTATTATTTCTGTATCGTTTTATAAAGCACAATGACTTTTTGACAGATATGGTTATTTATTTGCCTTTTTTAAATAAATTATAGAATTGCATGTATTTTTACGGATACATTATCTTTGTGTAGACATATTACTATATCTATTGTGACGACATACTACTTTGAGAATATTTGCATATTTAATACCCTTTTTTGCATTAATTATGCATTTATATTAATCTGAATATATTCATAAATAACGTACTATCTCCTTTTGAAATGTAATTGAAGTATACGAACTGTACAAATAATATATTCAAATGCAAATAAAAGCTAGAGACATGAAGACAATCAAGCAGTCATCGGCCTCTAGTAGAGACGCGGTCGTCACCCGCCCACGAACACACGAGTGTTGTTATTAACCTAACATCACTTACCTCCACATCACATTTATGACGTGTATCCGCTTGCTACGAAGCTTTACTGAAAGTGCCTCATTTCGCACCTTTATCACAGAATGTAATGTGCCATTTCCTACCCTAATTTACCATACCTTGATAGGTATGGTAAATTAGGGTAGGAAATCTAAAATTAAATTCGTATTCATATCTTATTCCTAATTATTATAAAGATTACTATAATAGTACATCATTGTATTATGTAATAATAATATATGTAACAATAGCCATAAAGTTATGTGTCAAGAAATGTATATTTCAACAACTTCTTTATTATAATAATAAAGTTAAAACAAAACTGTGTAAACAAGAAATTTGGTGGATATAAGAACGTCTTTGTTCTGTCTCTCTGTAAAACTTTCAACTATATGTTGTGAATTGTGGAATAATAATAATAAACTTTATTCACGAATATATCTATACAATGTTTTGCATTTAGTACTGGGTTTTCAAATAGGTATTAGATCAGTGCTACGAAAACCAGTTACGTGCAACATACTATAAACATATATAGTAGATGGCTGTCTAGAAATGTAATTGTATATGTATGTATGTAGAGGACTGTAGATATATACATAAACAGGTTAAAAAATAGACGCATATTTTTGTATAGAAAATAAATATATATAAAAACATGTAATTTTTTCTCACATACACATTATGAGGGCGGTCCGATATTCAATGATATATATTATTATTAATATTTACAAAGTTAACTACTAAACTTCAATAAAACAATTGAATAATATTCTTATATATCTACATGCCTTAAGATCTAATCAAGTCTTTATGCGAACACAAATTGTATTTTAATTACCTATTCAACCGCGCACATTTTTTAGAATCTGTCCTGCTTTCGACATAATTGAATAAAAAAACTGAAAGAAAATGAAAGACAGTCTCAAAAGCGTATTAAATTAATTTCATTTAACGACACCTTTTTTTATAAAATGCGGCGTTTAAAATTCGTTGGTAGTACCACTTTACAAAAACCTCGAATAAAAGATTTATTTACATTGCAATTTTCTATCACTTACTTATCACTGATTAATTTGTTTACTTCATCTCTTATTTATTTTATTTCAAATTTAATCATTTTATATGGTTATTCCATATAAAACATAAATATGAAAAGAGTACAAACTTTATTTAAGCATTAACAATACTAGAAAAATATTATGCAAAATTCCCCTTTTAAAAAATGGGAAAATACAATTGAACGGAAATAATTCGCACTGCGACGTTCATACATAGAGAAACACAAGAGAATTCGATTAAAAAAATCCTTCCAATTTGTTCTTCTAATTCTGACTTTTCAGATGTAGAAATTCTTATCAACCCTGCATCAAAACATATGTATATACCAATGTCCGTATAGTTATAAGCTATTTCTCAGATGTCGTACCGCAGCGTTAAATTGGAAAAAAATATTATAGGTAGTATTATTGTGAGTTATATCGCGCTGTATGATTATCATGGCTCGGCGTAGCATGTTATATGTCAAAAGAAAAGAATAACGAATATTCTCTATAGCTACCTATTCTTGTTAGCGGTAAAATGTTATCCCATGAGAATTATATACAACCATTCGACGATTATATTTATTATATTCAATGCCGAAAAAACGACATTAATGATTTATTATTTTATAAAATAGAAACTGAACACAATTTTTTACTTCTCTCTATTAATCAAATTTGTGTGACCATCTTACTTTGCTGCCCATAAAATGAAAATATGGTTTTATAGCGCACTTCGCGAAATTACTTTTCTGTCTTCATCTTTAATGTTTGTGAAATTAAATTATTTAATCTTCAATACACCGCAATCTGATTATCGAAATACATAAAGATATATATACAGATTTTTTTTTATATATTAGATCCAGTTTAGTTCCATGACTGTTATTTGTTAATTTTTTACTAATTTCATATCAATTGGAGTCGGTTTTGTAAATAATATAAAAATTGTCATATCCCTGAATTAGTTAGATATAATTAGCAAGTTTCACATAGATTTCACAATAATAGAAGGTCCCTATTCTTAAGAGTTATTTTTCATGGTGCATTAATATAGACTTTTATTGCAGGAATGAGAAATTCTACACGTGTTGCGACGAACCTTACCTGGACATCACGTTCAACATAACAATGCGGAGAAAAACTTTATTTTATACTGTGAACATTATTATCCCGTGTATGGGGATTTCATTTCTCACAGTGCTCACATTTTATTTACCTTCAGACAGCGGGGAAAAGGTATTCATGCGTTTATTATTTTACCATTATCTTTCAACGCCCTTCTACGTGGTCATTCACAATTAGAAAGAATGCCCCAGTTTTACCGTATCTTATGGTTTTTTCTCTCGTAACATATATAATAAATCCTGTATTTCTAAAAATAAAATTAATTTTTATACTATGTAAAAACGAAACCTTTATTCTTCCTCGACTTAGATAAACGAGGATATCTACACGTGTTCAATTTGTAGATAATCGAACGTTTTTCTCAAGCGTTCGATCATTAATAATACTCACTCGTATGACTTGTCACAATTTATGACATAATTTAACTATCGATTACAAATATTTTAATGGGTGGACCACATGTCATAAAGATGGTGAAAATGATGATGCTGTAATATAGATCAGAATTATAGCATAGTTACAAAATTAAAGAAATATAAGTAAGTAGATACGTAATACTCTCAATAAGATCTGTGAAAATTTGAAACACGTAAACTAATATTTATGCACATCATGCATCTATCTATTCTATATACTTTCTTGTTAGACTCAGTAAAAAATAATATTTCAGCGGTGTCGCTCACGCTGCTCGTACTAGGCATGAGCGTGACATGTTTCTAATGAACTGTCGTATTGAAAATGAAATCAAATGAATTTACCATTTACCTTTATGGCTTTTAGACAGTATATGTATATATTTTTTTTTTATAAAAAAGCATTTTATTTATAAAATCTTAATTTACATATATAATGCATAAATACAAATAAATATTTAATATACCTACATAATTCGAATTTAAATAAAAATATATAATTAATGGAAATTACGAGTATCTATTATATTTATTTATACTTACTTCTATGTTTGTAGTTTGTTAGAATTAATACAGACCTTTTGCTTAATGCAAACTATGAAACTCATGCAAAAAGTTCTCTTTATGCACTTCGAAGTTAAGTGTATGAGTTATTTATTAGTCATTACTTAGTCACTAGTTATTGTAGATATACAGAAAACGGCAGTAGCAGAGCCCTTTCTCATCGCCAGCGGCTAATAGTGAATATTAAATAAACTCCATCCCCAATAACTCATACGTGTCATTAATTTCGTATTGCGTTTAATAAATGAATCAAATAAATTGGATAGACAGCTAAGTAACAACGTGAATAACATTGCAAGAACGACGTCGTTACGTGGCCCGTGAAAAATTACTCCAACATTATTGGCTTCACTTTTCCGCTGTTTGAATACCAAAAGATAGATACTTTGAGACTGTAATCAATCAATATAGCACTAGACTTGCCATCATCAATGGAAAATATAATTATTACTTGGTTACTAATGACGTTTAATGCACAAATTTCTTAATCGTAGTTGTTATAGAGTTCAGAACTAAAAAGAACAAACGTATCCCTTATGGTGCAACCTTGCTAACTAACACGGCTGGCACCGGCTGTGAATGTATGGTAAAATAAAGAAATAACTTATCAATCTTGTAGTAATAGTAATGTATTTAGTAACATATATGACACAACATTAGAAAAACAATGTAATAAAAAAGATATGTCAAAAATTATAAATAAAAAATATATGTTTTAAAATAAGAAACTCCTATAATAGGAGGTCTCTCGCCAACACTAACCATTGAACCTTCTGTTACCTACAGTATTGTAAATCTATTTTAGAAAATACAGCTTTGTAAATATTATAATACATAAGAAAAACTGTAAAATTAAGTCATTATAATAATTAATGAAACAGAATAATAGACATATCTTTAATTAGATTTGTTATTATTTCCAAAGATAGGAGGTTATCGTGAAATTGGAACGTGTGGAGCTTCGCTAGTCTAAATAGAAATATGCCCTCAGCGTATTTCCGCGGTAACAAAAAATGGAGGGTGGGGCGACCATAAATTCTTACAAGATTTAACCTTTTGATATATTGGCATAAGATTCAATGTCTTTGTTTATAACTTTGCACCTACTATAACTAGAAATCTACGTATAAATTCTTTCGGTGAAACAATATCTTTTATCAAGACATAAAAATAACAATGTACCTATCTTTAATGCAACCTACTTCTGATTTTTGCTGCATTATTAATTTGGTGTAACATTATTATATCTTTAGATATTACTTTTCAAATTGTATTAAATACTCTCTACATATCTAAATACTTATCTGTTAATATTAAGTTCTAAATGCCTAATTATAATATTTTTCATCATTATAATATTTAGTTGTGTTCGTTTGATTGAACTATTATTTTTGTTGGCAGGTGACGTTATCGATATCCATATTGATTAGTCTCCACGTGTTCTTCCTACTGGTAGTTGAAATCATCCCTCCGACATCGCTTGTTGTGCCCCTATTGGGGAAATACCTCATATTTGCTATGATACTTGTCTCTATCAGGTAATTATTACTAATTATGATCTGTAACATACGTACGAATCTCTAACATATATCCGAAATAATGTAAGTCCAAAATATTTACGTACCGTGCCTGCTAAATATGAAAATTTTATATATCTTTTATTTCCGTTCTAAAATAAATCTATAGCCCTCAAAACAGAGGTTTTTTTCGTCAATTATTTCCAAAATTCGAAAATTTCTAAGATGATTAAGAAAGATGTGTTATGAAACTTAGTGAAAGTAAGCTGGGGTTTCACGGGTGGATTGAGAAGTATCTACCACTCTCGCAAACCTGTAAAAAAACAGTATTTTCCACCCAATTCAGATTATTATCAAATGATATGTAAACTTATACATTAAAGATAAAAAATTGTTTGTTGGCTATAGCGTGGTGCCTATTATGCTCAAGAAACCTACTAAATTTACCTATATATTATTTTTGGCTCTGTAGTATCACTATACTACAGACGCGACACTGCGCGAGGGCAGACAATTTAATAAATATAGATTTTAATACAGCAAAAAAGCTATATTTTGAAACTGGGTTCTAACTTCAGTCCTAATTTGTTTTTCCATTTAACCAAGTTAATATAGTGTATCACAGTAGCTGTATTTTATAGTAAACCTTGGTTTTGTATATATTATAGCCAGTGCATAATAATAATCTCTTAGTGGAGCTGATGTTTTATATATTTTATAGTTAAATTTATAACTTGCCGTTGTTAATAAACGTTATTATATCTAGAATTTTATCTTTAGAAAGATATTATGATCGTTGAATTTTGCTGTTGACACGTTGTAAGCCTTTTACCAAATATATACATATTTTACTTTTATAATACACTATATTTATTTACACTGCGGATTAAACCTCTAAATCTCTGACGTAAAAAGTGTCTACTATGTTGTTACTGCTTATCAAGTCGCATCCTATGAGTGGTACCTACAGTAACTTCTATATGTAATAATAACATTGTATTCCTGATGCTATTCATGCGTGTAGGCTCATGTTTACTGCTTTCCATAAGTCGAAACTTTGCCTTATTGAGGTTCTTTCTATTTCTGTATTTATTTATTTAGAAGAATTTATTTAAATAAAATACTCTTATTAAATTTCATTAACTTATGAAATATTTAATTATTCGATGTAATATCACTTTCAGCTATTATGAGACTTCTATTTCTGTTTCTACATTTTGAACTTGTAATTGACAAGTTCAAAATGTAATATTCCTCAACTTTATTAATTAATTGTCGGGGATGTGTAGTTATAACTGCGTACATATTTGCACACAGTTGATTAAAGCCGACTTGATTCAATAAACCCCAGTTTATAATTTGTTTCTGTCAACAAAGTTGAAGATCTTAATTAGCAACCGAAACCTATGCACATGTGTATGTATATTTTATTAAATGTAAGATTGATTATCTAATGAATACATTTATTTACTATTCGTGTCAAATTAATAAGATAGGTAAACATTATTAAATAGTTACTATTATTCAAATTCAAATTCAAAATAATTCATGTAGGTCCACTACAGACTCTTATGATATGTTAAATCTACCGTCGTCTATTTGCTTTACATGTTGTTAATGTTATTTTTTTCATAACTTCAAACGTGATATAAATACGAGTTTTGTAAATGTTTAAAAACTAGTAACCACAATAAAATTATATAATTACATATAGCGTCTATTAAGTAAAATGTGTACTTTAAATGAATAATCCTTATAAAAAAACTAAATTACTTATTTAAATATGGCTCGGTCGGACCGTTTGCAATCTACTCAATTACCATATAAATTAAAATCCAGTTTTCTAAACAAGATATTTGATTACTCACTTTACGTTCAAAGAAAATTTACATTTCTACAAAAATATTCCATATATCTAAAAATAAAAATCTTTATTAAACTTTGAAATTATATAAAGTAAGTAGGTTGTTTATGTCGTTATATAACTATTAAACCTATATAAGTGTGACATGAATTCTGTATTTTGGCATTATTAATTATTATTGACCTAATTATGAACTAGTAAATACAAAATTAATGTTAATTCTTACTACCCAGAGCTTACACAGAGCGTGTGGTAAACGTAATTAAGACAAAGTCATTTATTTGGTCGCGAATTCCGTCGTGCCCGAGAACTACATATGTATTCGTATACATACGACTACCTTAAGTTCTCTTCGACTTAGTTCTATCCACATACACTCCTCCGACAAAGTTCGCTCAATAAATCTTGATTAATTGCGATGTCTCTGAATCTGCTTGTGTATATTAAACTATTATCTTCTTAGGCCAGAAGATTACCTAACATTTTCTGTTAATTATTGAAGATGCAACAGCCGGTGATACATACAACTTGGTACTTTATTTATATGTATAATAACTATTAGGTAGATAAAACTTTTTTTAACAAATGAGATATTTTATTCTTATAATAGTAATTCTAACTTCTTTCAACCACATATAATAACAAGGTACTATACCTTCTTATTATATGTGGTTGAAAGAAATAATAAATTTACTTATTGATATAAATTGTACTTAAATATACATATCCGAGCTTAAAGTAGGTATATGTAGGATTATGGATTATAGAAAACAATTAATAGCTGATAATAAATTGTTTAAAAATGATATAGCTGGTAGACATAAAATTAGAAGTTTTTTTTAAACAATATTTAAATAAATAATGCTTAAGTAAACATTGTTATTGTTACATCATATTATAAGTAATGTTACAATTAATATAGAAATTGACCTATTTGTATCTTCTCTATTTTATTGTGCATTACTATTCCCATAATCGATAATTGACGTGTGTAATTGAGGTCATATTATTACTTATAATTAGACAAAACCATCACCAATCCTTTTAGACTACGTTGCTACCATGTTCATGTAGACATGTAATTTAATAAAGATGTCATGATAAAAATATACAAGCTGATCTTATTATCTTTACATAGCATAACAAAGTCCACGGCGCTGTTTGTTCGCTTATATCTTGTAAAATATGCAACGGAATTAAATGCACTTTTCACTTGCACGTAATAGATAGAATAATTCAAAAGGTATGTTTATACATATATATAATTCATGCGTGTTATAGGATAGAATAAACCGAGAAATTCAAAGATTTGTGATGTATCCATGCAAAATAGAAATTGTAAATTGTAAATAAATCCGTAAATTGTAAAAATAATTAATTCAAACGAAACCTAATCTGACGTTCCTAAGTGGTTTATATATTGATATTGTATATAAACGGGTGGGTTTTCTATTACAAATAATTTTCCAAAGGGTTACGACAACTAATGTTGTATTTTACAGCATATGCGTAACGGTGGTGGTCTTAAATGTCCACTTCCGCTCACCACAAACGCACCGCATGGCGCCGTGGGTAAAAAGGGTTTTCATACACATACTGCCCAGACTTCTCTTCATGAAACGACCACAGTATAAGTTCGATACAACAAGGTAAGTCATTTAAGATTTTATTCTATAAAGTAAACCGATTGTATTCCAGAAAACAATTTGTGTAATATCATAATTTTGGGTGACTGATTGGTGGAAATGAATGATAAGTTTTTAAAGATATACCATGAAATAACAATGAAGCGTAATTATATACTTATATAAGTGATGAGTTTAGTATGAAAGATTTTTTGTATTATCGAAAAAGAATGGAGATCTTTGAAGAATGAATAAAGTGAAAACTTTTTTATTAAGTTCTGAAATACATTTAAACACGTAGATTCTTACAACATGGCAAAATAGTTTTTACTAACTGTAATTATAATCTAAAAATGTTTACAATGTAGCAAGATGAATAGGAACAAAATGTTGTAGTTGGGAATCATTTACACACTGATAGCTACTTGGTATCGTAATTCACTTAGCGAATAGATGTCTATTAGTGAGCCAAGTGATATAATAGACGGGTGGCCGCCTCGCTGTGGTTTCCGAACATTACGTAAATTGATATCAGTGGGGGAAACTAAATGCCTGAAGCGCAATACTATAGCCGCATAAGCTATACTGTGATAACTATAAAAAGCATATATAAATTATACAACCCTTGTTTTTAAATTTAGTAAATTAATAAAACGTTAATATGTAATTATTGTCGGCCAACCTGATGTGAAATCGTAAATGTCACCTATAAAGATGCCTCACTACGGACGTCACATTCACATGTCGTAATGCCGTGTTCTTATCCTGTAATATGTAAATCTATTTCATTATCTCATGCTCCACAATACAGCTTAAAGTAAACTGCGGCTAAAATAAATTAAACTGAGTTAACACAGACTTATTACGAAGTTTATCCTATTAAAAAAGAAAAGTGGTGATAGTAATTATATTGAATATACAGTCTCTCTATTTTCTAATTATTCCTTTAAATACGTACGTACGTAGCTACTTCAAATTAAATTACTCAACTCATAAGTTATCAGGACTTAAAGATTACATTGTAGCTTTAACGAATTTTCATTTAATGAAATATGTCCTGCTCTATGTGCCTTACAGAAGGCCTTAATTTAATATTCATGGAAATATATTTAAAATTTTCAATAATTTTATACTTAATAATTTAATCTGTAAAATAATTATTGTATTCAATCTCAAACCCGTATGTGGCTACTGTTTCACCTACAAGATACTCTTATACGACGTAAAATAGCTACATAATAACTCACTAATTATGTTAAATAAGCAGAAAGTTCATTTAAATCTAGAGTCCGAGTGATTAATGAATAAATTCCACAATGAAACAAAATGAGACTTAATTAAAACTTGTGGAAAAATGTACGTACTTTCTGTGAATTATTGTTCAATCTATTTAACAAAAGATTTTCTACACTGTTCGTCGAAGCTACGTGCGATAATATTGCTATAACGTGTTGTTTAGCGACTAAATTGAATATACAATTATCTTTTATGTAATTACTTGTACACTAAAGAATCGCACCAATTTTGCACGTGTAGAAAATATATATACCTACATATGAAAAATATGGTTGTTACAAGTAAATATTTTCCGAATTTGTGTTCCCACACTTTTTCGGGTCAATATGTACCTATCTGAAATTATTCTAAATGCTCTATATTAAATTATCGGTAAGTAAAGTAGATACCATCACTCAATTATGCGTCCCTTACAAGATACTAGTTTGTCAGTGTTTAACAGTGCTAGGCCACTACTAATCATGTCAGCGGACAAACTCGATAATGTAGAGGTTTACACTAAAAAAACTAAAAATACATAACAAGAACCAGAATAAATAAGAGTAAAACTGGATAGAAGGAAAATAAGTAATAAAAATGTATAGACAATATGGACTGCTTTTAGTTTTAGACCACTATTATTGTACAAATATAGAAAATATATAAATATAGATAAATCATTCTACTGGAATGCGAGTAAAAGCAATTTTTTTATATATTAATCAACGATCAGTTAAGGCTATAAGCTGATGTGTTGAATGCTGCTTGATTGGTAGGCGAAGAGGTCAGCACCTCTTTTGCCTTTCTACATTATATTCCTCCTCTTCAGTCTCTTGACCATGTGAGAAGGCTCCAAGATCTCCACCAGTGAATTAGACAGCACAGCTCTTGGAGCTTAAATTGATTTGTACATAATTGAATAGATATCATGGTTTTTAACTAATTTCATTATTAGCATACCTAATCCTACACTAGCAGGTGTTTAACGAAAGAGACTAATACAAAGTGGTACAAACACTAATAGTACAAAATGTTTATCGGTCGTAGGTCTCGATATACTGCGTGTGGCGTCGTGGTCCGGTGCGGAGGCGCAGCTCGGCCGCTCTACCCTTACAGACTAGCGGCTGCCGACGACGACTGCTGTGCTCCGGGCGCTTGGCCGCCGCCCGCCGCGCCTCCGCCTCGTCCTCTCACGCGCACCCCCAGCAAGGAGGATTTAACACATACTACTTATCTTAATTCAGGGCAAGTTTCGTGTAACAATATTTTTATTCGATTTAATCATTATTCCTCTCTGACAGAGTGACAACTAACATTTATTTTACGGACTATAAGTCTAATACAAACAAGGGCCCTCGGATATTTAATATTTTAGCGGGCGTGATTGTGCAACAAAGTACGCACAATACCTACACCAGTAGAAGAGATGGAAAAATCAAATTTAAAAATATACTTATAATTATAATCCGTTCCGTTCCGTGCTCCTAGTCGAGCGTAGTTCTTATATGTTTATATCCTCTTGTTGTGGGATAGAACCAGCAGCTGAGAAAGTAACATCACTATATTAATTCGTCGCTGGACAACCAAATAACATATACCTAATATAAAGGATTATTGATTACATGTGCTATATTTTGATAATTATTATTATCGCTTGGACCTGTAGTATGGGTGATAGCAACCGCTTCGGTGGTAGTTGTGTGGTGCACGGATCGAGTGAGGGCGGGGCTGGGCTCGGACTGTCCGGTGCGGGCATGGGCGGCCCGGGGCCCGCCGACGAAGACACTTTGAGCCCCGTACCGGACCCGCCACCTGGTTTCAGTCATTCCGCCTGTCCTCCAGAAGTTCACAAGACTTGTTTCTGTGTCCGATTTATAGCAGAACACACAAGGATGCTAGAGGATTCTACTAAGGTATGTATTCTGTTTTAGATAAGATAGTAACACAAAGAGCGACATATTTAAGATATCCAAAGTAATAAAAGAAATTTAGTTTAATAATAGTTATAGATTTCGTGAAATTGTTTAATGGTTGTCTCTAATATAGGTACGCTATGGGATCATTAGTGAAGAGCGAAAGGTTGAGATAAAAACATATTACTTGGTTATTCTATTTTAATTATAGATATTAATTAATTAATTAATTTTATTTAAATAACTTTAATGCACGTCATACACAGGTAAAAAGTACATATGGCGGACTTAACACCTAATGGTATTTTCTACCAGTCAACCATGAGTTGTGCAGAGATAAGTTGTTTGCGGTGCAAACAATATTATAATATTTTATAGAATATACATGAATAAATATATATATATATATATATACACATGTAAATACACAAATATACACAAAAATATATATATACATATATATATATATACAAAAATATACCATACACATAAATATATGACCAATAATCTGACAATGAATTGAAACTGAAATGAATCTGACAGTGATTACAGCCGACAGTGTAAGCATATTACAATAGATACAAAAATATATATATGATTCGCCTTGTAGTAAAAATGAAGAAACTTAATGCTAAAGAGAAAGATATATAAAAGATAATATATGATAGTATACAAAATTATATTAATCACGATTATAGGTTAAAAAATCTTAACATTTTACCCTCCTCTCTGCCTACATACACCTATAATCTAAAAATAACTTAAAATTATACTTAGAGAAGTATTACATAAAAAAGAGTGTTTTTTGGACTTTTGTGGTATTTGTAATAGAATTTGTTCATTTGTTTAACTTTTTAACGCATGAATTCAAAAATTCAATTTACAGCTTAAATTATGTTAGTGAGGCTGTGAATGCGTAAGATGGGCAACTCATCGTGAGTCTTCCCTTAGGGTTTGAAAGCCCTCAGCACTTACCATGCGAACGAGGTCGCCGATGATAAGAGGTTGTTTATAGTCCTTATGCCACTAGACCTGCAGCCCGTTTTAAGTATAAGTAAACCATAACACAGCTTGAGTTATATTGAAATACTAACTGGCATTACGTAGCGATGCCCGAGTGCATTCGGACAAAATGTGTTGATTTACGAGATTATCTTATTTGTGTACGAAATTATATTCTAAAGCACTAGTTATTCGTCACAGAGTAATACTATAATATCAACCTCTCATACTTTTGTCTTAACATATTCATTTTATAGTAGAATAAAATCACTCTCATAATAATTTACCTATGTAAACAAAACTAGGCTAGCTAGGCTAAGTACATTATGAAATCATAATTAAATGTCCATAAATTGGACAAATTTCACTAGACAGAAAAATGTTTAAAATTTGTTTGTTCCGCGCTGTTTAGCTTGAAATGAGTGTCATGCATATATATGGAACTCAATATGAAATACTTCTTTTATGAAGGTTATATAAAGGTAGGAAGTAAAGTAAAAGTAGTAAGGAAGGTATAAAGTATGGTAACATATTTAACAAAACGACTATTTGTAATCCCTGAATATCTCACTAAAATCTCGCCCAATGCAGTTCATTAAAATGTTCTTAATTTTTTTTACATCAACTACCACTATTACTATGATTACAGCGCGCGGATAAATAATAAAGAAGGTGAAAGTAGATTAGAAGGTAGATAGATAGATAATATTAATAAAATTGCATCCAAATAAGTCTCCATTATCCCAAAAGTATATACAACTCCTAAGACACTCTATTAACGATAACAACTCAGACTGGTTATTTCATAGTCTATTTTATTTATCCAGTAAACTTTTAAAAGTATATTGTGTCTTGGTATATATTATCATATGGGCGCATAAAGATTTGTCGATGAAAGCTTCAAAAGGACTGGAAGAGCCTACTTATCCCGCCTACAGGCCCGCCTCTGCTCGAGAGCTTTTCGAGTGGATCTGTATATAATCATTCTTATGGAAAAATACTTTAACAGTCAGTAGTGTGCCCACTACTGACTGGTAAAGTATTTTTAGTAGACTAACATTTATTTATCAATTTGTGCATGTTGATACCTCAACTTTTCATACCGTAAAAGCTTCACATTTAGATACGTATCTTATTACTTAAGATGGGTGCCATAACGTTGTACATCACACGATTTTAATTTTATCACTGTTAGTAACTCTATAAGTATACCAAAAAAATACTGTACTATACTTAAATTAATTTTAATTTTAGATATAACAAAATAGCCTATAGTGTTTATTCTCTATATTCACCCTAAAGTTAATTCTCACTGTTTTACGTACTCCTATGTAGAGAGATACAAGTTGGTTAAAGTCTGACGATTTCTTTACCACTTTTACTTTATCACGATATTGCTTGTATAATAATAAGATTTGAATAGATTAAATGGAATATTTATCATCGTTATTTACGGTGGAAGTCAAAGGATGAAGTAATCACATGGATATCTTTATTTATATACATAAGCATAAATTATATAGTTTTAATTCATTGCGTTTGTTGTACTTTACTAACCGAAACACTTAGAATAGAGAAATTGTTATATTAAAGGATCTGTACTTTACTAAAAATTGGATCATCAATCATTCATATTTAATGAGCACCGTCTGCACGCAAAAACTGATAGGTAATTTGGGAAAAATATGCGGCTCTATGATTGCCTAATACTTTTTATATAGATAAATATCTAGTAGATATACTGGTTTAATATTTATTTATATACAAAGTACTAGAGGTAAATAAGAGTATACTTATTAAATGGTTTAGAAGCAAATTATTTTAGTTACCGTAATAGTCAATAGGTATACGAAACAGATTGTTATTCTAAAATAACATTTATAATCGGGAATGTACAGTGGTAAAAAAATGAAATTATTAGATATATATTGGAAATTTAGAACGGTGGCAAAAAATGGCGGGCGATGTATACTTTTTTGCATTTATATTCAACTTTAAAGCCTCATAAATCAGACACAAATCGCTTATATCAAAATTTTCAAAGTAATTTCTAAGGGTAACGCAAGTGTCCTAGAGTCTTCTACTTGAGTACCTGTCATCTGTATTACAAAATTACACTAAAGAACTAGTATCAAATTTTTGTAAGTCCTACAATGATTTGCATAATTTTCATAGCCTGCAGTATATAATGTATTTATTGAATTGTGTATCTAAACTTTATTTTATTTAAAAAGCTAATATTATTCCATTACTATGTAGAAAATTCACAATAGCTCTACGACTATATATTTTCCCCTCGCTGTTGTTTTACAACACGAACAGTGAACAGGTGCATGTCTAGCGAGAGAAATGCTTTGTTTACATTGCCCTTCAGCTAGTCAACAGACTGTCGTAATTAAACGTGTTCTCTATTTATTACTTTAGTAGGTAGGTTGAAAGTTCACGATGACAGTTCAGTATTTACATATTCAGTTAAAATTTAAAGAAAGCTCCTTTTTTCTATGGCTAGAACATGACAACATGACAATATTTTTACGGTCTACATTTTTGTTGTGATTAATTAAAAAAGTATCACTTGGTGAATTATCTACTAAATTCGTTAGTTATTATGCGGGTAGACAAAAGTACTCGTACCTAGTTGATGGCTGGGTCGATTGATTCACTTTATTTATTGACATCAAAAGACAGCGAAAGGTATTTTCTGTTTGACATCTTACTGGCCCTTAGGTCAGGATTTATTTTAATAAATCCTAGGTCGGGCATGAAATGTTTTATTTACTTGGTAAAGTTGAAACAAAATTACCTTCCCGTTTTTTCTTTATTTTTACTATTTGTCGTTCAACAAGTTCAACCCAAGTTTGAATTCTCCTGATTGAATTTTTTAATGGAACTAAAATGAGGTTACAGGTAAAAGAAGATTGGAAATACGTGGCAATGGTGCTGGACCGCCTGTTCCTTTGGATATTCACGTTGGCTGTCCTGGTGGGCACCGCTGGTATTATATTGCAAGCACCGACGCTGTACGACGACCGCGTGCCTATAGACAAACACTTCAATCAGTACGCCACCTCGTCACTGGTGCGGTGTCCACCACCTGCGTAATAACATAACTAAATCTAAACATACGTAGATGTGTTTTCGTGTTATACGCAACTCACAGTCTTTTATACAAGTATTTCACACGCACACTTACAAGTGAAGAACACATTTTCTTGAGTATATTATGTTTAATGTTTTAATGATGATTATTTTAATAAACAAGTCGAGGTATGGTATTCCGTGTAGAATATTAGGTATACGGAGGCCTGACATGTGTTTTGATATATTATATGAATGATATTTGTACATTTGATTGTAAGAAATAAAATTGTGAACTAGTATTTTATTTCTTCGTGATACAATTTAAACTATATTGATATATTTTAGTCGAAAATACTCGGCTATTACTGAATTCTTGATGTTATTGTTATTACTTTCTCGGCTATTCCTTTCTAAGTTAAGCTAATCCTCCTAAGTTAAAGATTTATTTTATAATATAGGTACAGCGTATATTTACCTACGTAAAAACGCAAAAACAGTTAGGTAGTGCTGTGATTCCAAATTTTATGAGTAGTACATACCTATATAGATAGATGTTGCCCATAATGTAGAGACAAGGAGTTCATTCTGAAAAACCTTTTTCGCTTCCTCCGCATTCATTAATCTAAATATATAATGGACGTGTTAATATCTCATTGGCACAGTTCTTAACGAATTTGTAAGTTATACGTGATTACCTACCTATTTAAGAGACAGATGTAAGTAGCTAGAAATTACATCTACGTATGATATTTTGTAAACTTGCTAATAATGGTAAGAATCAATACAAATGCAACAATGGACTGTATTTATGCTATAATTGAATAAAATTAGGTATATAACAATTTATACATCTACAGATTGATGAAAATGACGTAAATAAGTACATACCTATATATATAGAACTGACATTGTATTAAAAGAACATTTAAATGTTGTAAATTGTCTTACACCTTCAAAATATGGTCGAGTAGAACTGTTCAAGCAAGAACATAGTTCTCCCCTTTGTCAAGGTATATAAATAGGAGTTTTGTACATTATATACATACTTCACAAGTCATTAAAATAAAGAGATGGAGGCATGGATACACGACAAATTACAGCATATAGTACAGTACTTTGTACTAGACCTAACGCACACCCGTCCCGCCCGGTACGTGTTCTATTCACGACACGACACGTACTTTATCGTTATATAAAATTAAGTAACTATTTCTCATATCTCTTCTTGCTCTGTATTAAATACTAGATACTAGGTTATAAAAATCATGCAACATGTATTAAGTATAGTTTTATTTCTACTATCTGTGAAAAATATACGTTACACGTTCCCAAATCTCGATATCTAATCGTGACAATAAGGCATAGCAATCGATTTAACAGAAAAATTATAACGAATGATTTAAATGTTACTATATACCCACAACTAATGTTACAGTTTTACCTACAAATAAGTTTGTTTATATTTAAAAATATTTATTAATCAAATCATTTGTCATTTTATGCAACACTCGGTAAAAACATTGTGTAAACCAATTTATACGTATTAATAAATTATGTACTATGTCTAGATAATTCTAGATATAAGAAAACGAACGAAACACCACCAAAATAATATTGTCTGTGTTCAACATTTTATTCTAATATACTATAGAGGTAGCGTATGTAGTATCAACGTTTAAGCTCCCATAATTGAGAACATAGGTACCAACGTATTTCCTCATCGCATTTCGCTTAGCGCGTATTATTTTATTCATATTACGATAAATTAAAGTTAGCGCTTGTAGACATCGAATCAAAAGTACGAGTATATAAAATTAAGAGAATATGGCACTAGTTGTAAGAATCATTTCGATTACATACCTACAGACATTAGATTACACATACCTTTAAACCTTAAAACTAATTCTTCTAGGTTAGTAATAATTTGTCGTAGAATAGAACATGTACACTAAAGATAAAATAAATATCGATTTTATTATTTATAAGGAATTATAGAATTCGATACCAAAAAAATGTCGCCATGAGCGTTTATTACAGATTTTTAAAATTGTTATCTTAAATATTATATTAAATATATATTTATTATACACATAAAATTACTTAACTTTTATACCACGATATATAACATTTCATATGAAGCGGTATAAACATAATAAACAATAATGATCTGAACAATCGTCTTATAAAAAATACTATATTAATCAATTCATATAAAAAGCCTTATCTATATCGAAGTTTTGTTGATTTGATGGTATTCATTAAAGTGATTTTGGTATGCAATAACATTTATAACGTATTAAGTTGGACCTATGCCTGTGTTTTGACGTCTTTAATACTGTGTTGTGTGAAGCAGCCACCGAATCCTTTTATAGTAACAAGTACTATAAAATCAACTTATTGCACCTCTAAATATGTACAAAGGTATACCTAATTGTCTCCTGATATTTTTCATTAAATTAATTTAATTAATTATTGTTTGAATTACTATAATTTTAAGACGAATCAAATTTATTATTATTATTACGTTTATACCTGCATCAATATATTATTTATACTTTACTACTTACTTTTTTAAGTTTAACATACTCTATGAAACAATTATCCTTATGATAAATAAGTACAATTCAACATAACTGTTTACTTTAAGTGATGATTGCTCAATTTTACGAATGTGTGTCTATATATTTTTCGGTACAGAAATTGTCAAAATAATAGAAAAAAAATATGTTTGTTACATGAGTAAAATTTCATGAATATTATGATTTCTTATCTGTTTTACAATGTTTAAACACATACCTAATTGTTTGTAAATATTACTATTAGGTAATCGATTTCTATTATTATTAATTTGTAGGCAAAGGCCTTATTAAAGCCGTGCCAAAATATTTGGACAGGAATTGAACGAAAATAGTGAATTAATAATTTAATAGATACTTGAATGAACAGTTAAATTAACAATTTTAAAATTAATTGTACAAAAACTAAAAAAATAATATAAACTTTGGTCCTAAAGGCTTTTCGTGTTTAGGTATATATACATTTAAGATTTATTAATATGCACTCGCGAAATTAATACAGATGTAATTTACGAATAAATGTCGGTACGAATGATAGCTAGGAAAAGTATTGGTGCATAGTTTAGCATCCCTATAAAATTAATATTAAGAATAAAATAAATAATTTAGAAACAATTAATAATTAAGCACATTGGACTGCTCGCGGTAGAGTAGCGCAGCTCAATTGTAGTGAAATAAGTTTGTAATTACCTATTTATATTGTTAATAAAACCGTTATACATAGACATATTCTTTTTAATCATAGTTACCCTGGTATACATAAGTATACCTATACCTACTTAAAAATAAATAAATGGTTACTTTAATAACAAAATGTCATGTTCACTCAATAAACTCTTTTATATGACATCGCGGCATTCGTCTACATACATGAATCTGTATTCTGTACACAAAATATTTTCAGATTGGTTGGCTTAACTCGACTCGACGAATAGAATAAATAATGTACACTGCCAATGCCACTACGTCGTCATGAGCCAGTATATAAAATTACCATAAAATTATTTTGTAGTCATATATTTATATATAACCAATTATTAATCAAAATTAAAAAGTTCCGGATTATCAAAAACACTAACACCGACATCTTTATTCTTTTTGAAATATTCATTTAAAACAGTATCTGTATGTTTCGTACTTTCGACAAACCGAGTAGCATCTTCTGCTGCTTCCTTCTTGGATTTACTGTCCTGTCCAAATAGTTTGAAAAAATCGTTAATATCAATTTTATCTTTGCTTGATTCCGAAGATTCCTCTAGTTCTTGTTTATTTTTATCGTGTGTTAGTTTATAATCAAAATCTTTAAAAACGTGGGGTACATTATTTTCTTCTTCATTTTTGGTAACATCTTCAATATCAACATTTTCTATATGTTCATCTTTTTTCCATTGTTGAAATTGGTTTTCTACATTATTTAAAGTTCTATTTGATTCACTTTCTAAATCGCTTACAATATTTTTGATTTTATCATCATCTGACGTATTGACATCAGGTTTGTTTAAATTTAAAATGTCTAAAGCTTCATCGAGAACATGACGAACTTCCTTAGCTTCTTGACTATTTTTGTTGTTATGTTCAATTTCACGTAAAATTTTTAAATCACGCCAAATACTTTCAATTGTAGGTTCATCCGAAGTTGAATGCTTATTATGGAATTTTATTCTTATTTCATGCGGCATATGATCGAATCCACGTTTAAACAAATTACTTATTTCCAGCAAACGATTTTTTTCATTTTGAAGTATGCCTTCCATGGTCTCTATTTTTTTATGAGCATCGTGTCTTTCTATTAAATTGAATCCAGTTTCGTTAGCTTGCACAATGGACTCTTTTATTTGTTGAGATAGTCCGTCAGATAAATATCTTTCATTAACATTACCAATCTTGATTTGCGGCGAAAAACTGGTATTTACTTCAGTCACCGTACTTTGATCTGTCGACCCTCGACATCTCTTATCATAATCAGAAGTTTCATGAAACACCGGATTTAAAGACAATACTTGTTTTACTGCCAATATAGTACATCCTATAGTTTCTGATACATCAGTAACAACGTCACTCACCAACTTGCCAAAACTATCTTCGACTGACGATACAGCTCCGCGAAATTCATCAAAAAATGAAGCAGGGTATATCTAGAACAATGAAAACTATTATATGTAACAGTCTCTCCCAATATTTTTTTTTATACGTAAAATTTATACGTAGTATTAAACTTACCGGTACAATTAAAGTACAAAACATAACTGCAATACGAATAATTATCATTATTTACTATAACACGATTACAATTTATCAGTAATAATATCTATAATTTCTGCTGAAGGAGGGAGACTTATTAATTTAGTTACTACTCGTCTTACGTTTAAATTGTTATTTTACGTCTATTTGCCCAATTATCACGACACGAGTTACGGTACCGTCAAACCACTTGTTTCAATATTTGTTGTCACACTGCCATAAAGTAATTGTATTTATTATTTTTGTACTCCACTACATTTTACAACTGTATGTAGCTTCTATCAAAATTGTGCTACAATATTCCTGCTCAATCTATTGTGTAGTCACTAGTCACATCAGACAACTAAAAATCCTTTAATTATTCCTTGATCAGACTACAGACTATCTAGTGATACTGGGACGAAGATTTTTAGCTTCAGAGTGGTTACCTAACCTAATGACAATTGCTACTTTTACTGAAATCACCACATCATAAATATGAGAAACAATTACCTTTCGACCTTCTTATATATATATATATATATATATATATATATATATATATATATATATATATATATATATATATATATATATATATAAGCATTTCATAAATAAACATGATAGAACACGAATTCACGGTTATGAAATGTTTCTATAGAGTGCGAAAATAGTAATAAAACTATGAAATAATTAATACTTAGTATATTTGTTAAATTATCTTACACTCCTTATTATCACAAAAAATTACGCTTAGGTATTTTTATAATTGCTACTAATTAGTAATATAATTAATAATTTTCATTCATAAGCACAGTTTTAACTATATTTAAATAACTATAATCAATGAATATACACGTAACAGCTCAGGACCCTCAAAATGAGATGATATTTTATGTACCAATATTTATTGTAACACCACGCTACCAGGCATAGATCTTGCTCGACTTCATTAGTCTAATGGAAATTGTAATTAAGAATGATTAGAGAGCAAATAATAAACAACAGAATTAACGCAACTCCTTACAATTACAAATTCCTATTTTATGCGTATTACACAAAAATAATCTAAAAAATCATTACACGAATTGTTTTATAAACAAATAATAATAATATTACATTAACAGTATCTAATTTGATATTCTTAGTTGTGGTGAGGCTAGTTTTTAATATTTTTTTTAAGCAGCATAGGGGTTTCTAGAGTAGTGTTAATCCATTTAAATTATATGGTGTATAAGCCGACAAAAAATAGCTCTAATCACACATATTCCTTCAACCAGCTTCGTATGTAGTATTCCCTGTCGCATCCTACAGGAGTGTGTATCAACATAAAACGTACCAGGGGGTCTTGACAATAAATAAGCACTATGTGGGATTGCCGCAATTCGTGCCGTTAACGAGCTAAACGCACGTGCTGTTTTCTTTTTTTTTTTTTCAAGATTAGGTGACAGTAAATGCTACGTAGTAAGCAGGCATAGAATAAAGATTATGGATTTATGATTAATTAATGAAATAATGGTTTCACTTATTAAATATGTAACAAGCCTTCGACAAGCTTAAAATAAGTTCGAGAAAAATCTAAAAATAAAACCTGGCGCAATTACTGATGTATATCTTACAGCAATAATGTGGCAATAATACAGATCGCCACAAATAATAAAAGATTAATCTTTTATGATTATATATTATTTTTAATTAGATGAGTCAAATATGATCAGAGTAGTTTACATAAATTTTGATATTTACCAGTAAAATTAATTCCAAACGGTCATTTCGACATGTATTATACTTATTATATATAAATAATTTCTTTCGTAAACTTACTTCTGTAAACTACGTTTTCTTTTATATACGAAAACTTTAACTGTTAAATAAAGTCTGAATATTGCTTGTTTGGATTTTCTATACGATTGTGTATGTATTTACAAGTGTTTAAATATTTCTATTGGCAATTTCGTACTACTAATACAAGCTGTGCTTAACTTGCGATTAGATGGTATATACAAGGTTTTTATTCATTATGTTTATATATAAGTACCTATAATTATAATTTGAGATAAAAATAAAACTATAATGATGTCAATACAATCATACCATTTACAACTGCAAAATTTCTGAAAGAAATGTTTACAAATTAACAGACTGACAAATAAAAGAGCCGATTCTAAAGAGCTATTCTATAAAAGTATCATTTCAATTTGGCTAAATTTAATCGCTGTCACAACCAAATATATAAAAGTACTAAAGGCTGATACAAGGGAAATTTCAATAACTAAAAGATAATATAATAAACAAATTTAAAAATAATCTTTTTAATGATATAGGTCCGTAAAGTAATACATTGTCTCAACTATCAATGTAATATATTTTGAATTAGAGATAGATTCAAGGAATAGCATTTTTGGAATCGACTACATCATACTCGTAAATTAGTGCATTGTATCTGGCAAATACATAGGTATACAATTATACATATATTATATACAAATATGTCTTGAAGGAAACACTTAAAAACTTCTAATTAATATTTGGCACTTTTTGAATACATTTACATCGATGTTAAATGCTAAACTTCATGCAGTCAATATCATAAAAATTGTGTTGTATTTTGTCACCAACATTGAATTTATAATCACAAATATGTGTATATTACACATTTACTTACATCAGAAAAACACATTAATAAATTATCAGGTTATTTTTTTCGTATTGAGCACTCTTATATGTAAAAAGGTACCATATAAATAAAGTATATATTTATCTTCTAAAACTAATGAATAAATCTTGTATAAATATTTTTTTTAATTAAATTGTCTATCTATAATAAAAAAAATACAAAGGCTTATATGGTAGCCTATTACATGATAAACAAAATATATAATTATTCAAAATTAATAATTGCAATAAACAAAGTAAATACACGTATCAAGGAATGTAACAAATGACTTTTGTATTTTTTAAGCAACAGATGTTTGTATAAAAAATGATATCTATAAAAGCAACATTATTATTTCAAAGTTTATAATTAATAATTGTAATATTAGTTTATTAGGCTCATGACTTTCATATCATAAAATGAAACTAGTCCCGGTGTCCGACTTTCAAAACATGCAATCCAAGTGTAACCAACAGTACACTTCAGATAAAATGATGATGACTATTTTTTATCGCAATATCATTCAGATTTTAAATTATATAACATTCAGTTTCCCTATTTATATTTATAATTTATTGCATACCCATAATTCCACATACACATCCCAAAACGTTTTTAAGAAACTTAATCAGATGTTGTCTTTACAAACAAATATACATGACATATTTGTTCGTAAGAAAGACAACATCAGAATTTACTTTCTTAAGATAAAAAAGGTAAGTAAAGGAATCTATTATGTTTGGTATTTCAAGTGATTCAATGATGACAGTAGTTATGTTTAGTAGAGTTAGTTACATGCAATCTTAAAAACAGCTAGGTAAGAAAACGGATAAGCGCGCTCTAGCGTATATGGTCATTTGCTTATTCTAATTTAAAACACAGTAGTATATGGCAAAAAAAGGTTGTGTCAAATCATATTTCTGACTGATTCTCCGGTGATGGCAACACTTAAATCAAATTAATTCAAGAGATGGCGATAGGTTCACTCGCCGCCATGCTCTTTTGCCCCTTTGTGTCTCACAAATTAACTACTGAAGACATTTTCAGTAAATAATATGTGTAACACAAAGTGAAGAATGAATTTCCTTGGTGTTTACGTAGAAACCCTATTGTTTATGCAACATTTTTGACACAACTTTTTTTGTGTTCAAATTCAGCCATCTAGGATCTCGCATTCAAGAATCTCACATTCCATCTATTCCCGGGCTAACGTGGACAAGTTAAAATTATCTAAATATACATCAGTAACTACAATATCTCCATGACTAAATATATAGTAATATAATATAATTTATAATATGTTCTTTCTTAACATATAAAATCTGAATAATTTCATATTTAATGTAATTATTGTGATTAATTTGATACTTGTTTAGAGAAATATTAATAATAGATTAATATTTCGATTTCGATATGTTAACATTAATTTGTAAATTCAATTTTAACAATAATATAGAATAAATAAATAATAATGTGTTTTTTTATACACGCATACACATTACAGTAAACAATCTTAGCATCTCTTTTTGTGACATAATAATTTTTAATAATACATTTCATTTTGTTTACTAAATATGTTATGTTTAAAAAGATATTATATGTATTTTCTACAACCGATATATCCATTTCGTTATTAACGTATTACATGAATAATAAATTAATATCAAACTATGCACAGAATTAGAGTATTATCAATTCTGCGATTCAATACATTTTCTAAGTATCGGATGACTTTGTTCATCGTTACCGACAGAAGTATGGCGAATAAATATTGGTTGGTTTTAAAATATTGAATATAAAATGCTATTTTTTATGTCGCCGAAGGAAATTGAATTCCTCAAATTGTTCTTAGAACTATAGAAGAATTGTCAAATATAGGCCATATTTGACAATTAATCAAACCGTATACACACATAACATGTAGTAAAGTTTACATTTCATTAAAAAAACATTTACCTTTGCATATGTCATTAAACCATATCATCCCATCAACCCTTCTTGCTATAACAAAAACACTCTGGCTAACTAATAGCAATATTCTAATATAAATGGCCCTATAATGGTAGAATGTAAACTGGCTTTTTAATTATCCCAAATTCAGAAGCTAAAACAAGCAACTTTGTAGGTGCATACGTAAGCTGCGGCGGGGGTAAGCCACGCCGCGATATATACGTGAATTTTCTACTACACTCGTATGTTCAGAGAAAATTCTCATACTTCTACTGTTATATGCCTTAACTTTCTCCGAAGGGCAACAAAGGCATCCGATATAGCTAATAAGAGATCACTATATTAAATATATTTAAAATTACGTTTAGAGAAAATCCTTAACCTTGTTTAAAGAATATAAAAATTTGTATAAAAATATTTTCGCCACAATAGTAGATAATAAAAAATTACATTTTAACATATGAAAAGAAAATTTGTTTGCGTCGTCACACTACATGCATTAGTTTCAAACTTTTTCACTCATTTTAATATTGTTTGGTCATATATAATATCAGGGCACTGTTGAACCATTATCCTTGTCCTTTTGACGTAAAGGTGTGTCCTCTGTTTGTAGGGATGGGGTAATGTCTATGACTTCTTCATCTCTTTTGGGTGGCACGGGAGCAATTATATTCAGTTTGGGCAGCGGCGGTATCGGGGGCGTCGCAACATCCTGCGGTGCCGCGCTCGCTGAGATACCATTCGTCATCCGCTGATAGTTCTGTTTCCACTTGTTCGCCGGCGGTGTATAGTTCAGATGATCATATTCTCTCTCTGGAGGAAAAAGAAATACGTCATGTTATGGTAAATATAAAGACTAACAAAATAATAAAAATCGTAGTGTATTTCATTACGCATGTTACATTGTGTACGAAAATTTTTTTCTGGTAAGTAATTTCAATGAGTCTCAAAGAAATCGTTTCATCATTTCAATTAAGTTGAGACAAAACATTATAACAAATTTTGTAGCATGTATTTTCAAGATATAAGTTATATACAAATAAAAAAATGATTACCATATCCTTCCTTGTGTTTTATTTCATCATATACATGTTCCAGTTTATCATCATCAATGGAGTGATACAAATTTGGATTGTTGGCGTCTGCGTCTTTGTTCTTCATTGACAACGAAATGAAGCCTATGAGAATATTAAAACATATTAGAAACAAAAAAATAAAGAATATTATCAATGGAGGATAAATTTCAAAATAGACCAGATGTCTAAATATGGAACGATGTTTTAAAATTATTTTCTATGAACCATTTGACAGTTGTTGACGCGAAATAACAAATTTAATAGTTGCATTTGACAACTATTAAATAGACTGTAAATGACTACAAAACTGTATAGAGCAAGAGCCCACGACGGCCAGACATATGTCTTATTAGTAAATGTGAAAGATCTTGTATGTGTGCCCTAACACAGGTAAGAACGATCCCCAAACATGGGACCTGGATCGTGGTTCCTTTTGCAGGTACAAAGGTGTAAAAAATTTCATATCAAATTAGTTTTATTTTATTTTAAGAAACTTTATTTTTTCATATATTGTTCGTAACAGTATTATAACTTGCGCTGCTCATTGCCAGACACTTAGTATGGCTCCAACCCTCCGTCGGACCCCCCTAACCTATATTATTTTATGAATAAACTTACGTTATTTCTATAAAGCTGAAGTTTATATATATTATTCAGAGAACTCTTGGGCATCTTGCCTTGCCTTGGCTCTTGGGCTAGTAGATTTTAATCGCAAATAATAACGGGATTATGTGGAATATATCTGGTCGTTAATTATGTAAAGATGTTATTAACATGCCCTAATTTTTACTTCACTGTTCAAACGCGACCAATAGGTATATAATAATAACAATTATACTTATATATTTACTTATTGATATTAAAATAATATTATCATCTTACTATCGTTTGAGCCCGAAGCCTTCATCCTTAACTTCTCAAGAGTGGCGTTGTTCATTTTACTTCCGTTACCGAGATTGTTCAATATAGTGTTGTTGATCAAATTTGTTGCATCGTCCTCTCGCTGGGGTCCTTGGTACGAATACACCGGGTTGTCGAAATGTTGTTGCTCTGATCAAATTAATAAGTTATTAGCTATGTGTTTTTTATTTATAAGTATTAAATGAGCTGTTGACTTAAGAAATTACGTATTCACTCATCATATATAAAGACACTGAAAATATGGACTAAGACTAATTAATAAGATAAGTGTCAATCTGTTCATTTTGGTTTTAAAAAGTTATACATACCAGGCTGAGAATTGGGATCGGCGGTATAATGTACGTGTGCGATCTCCCGCTTGAGACTATTTACACGTCTGCGGTAATACAACAGCACCAGTATAACAGTAACCACAAAAATCAATGCGAATATTACTATTAACACTGTCAGTCCCGCGTTCGAGTTACCTACAAAATTAAGTATACAATAATATGTGCGTAGTATATTAGAAATATTATGATACATAATATTTTAATATATTGTAACATTTATATATGCAATATATTTAGATGAAATAATAATAATCCCAAGACAATTCACACAGCGCTCTCTAGATCCAAGTTAAGCTAGCTAAAGGCTGTATTATGAGTACTAGATAACTGATACAAATACATAGATATAGATCAATATAATCTATAATTTATCTATATTTTACGAAGAAGACCTAATCATAGAAGAATGTGCTGTGAACTTTCAACAAAAATAATCCTATTGTACCTTTATTACTATTTAATTTTGTATTTTATCTGGACATTAGTCCATTTATTTAGAGAAACGTAGATAAATAAATTAAAAAAATTTACCATTAATAATTCACTAGATATTTAAATATATTTCATAAAGTTTTCGATTCGTTTATATCTCAATTTCTACGATTTTGCATTTATAATATATGCTATAAATTACCCTCAGCATGCTGGGTCACTAATGTGTCCCTAGCAGAGATGTCGCATTTATCACCAATGAAGTTGTGGTGGCAGACGCAGCCCTTGATATGGTCGCACTTCCAGTTGCCTTCCGATGAACAGTTGCAGGGTGTTATGCAGTGATCACCGTAATAACCCTCAGGGCAAGCTGAAATATACATTTATATTCGGTACTATAAATTGTCATATAGATGAACATGACAATATATTATCTGAATTTTAAAGATTCTATTGCCAGTGTACAGTAGTTTATGAATCTGTATTTGTATTATCTATTGATTTAGCTGTATTATTATTTAGTCTGTGTGTATTATATTCTGTATTATCTAGAAGTAGCTAATTATTGATAAAAAGCTGTTAGTAATAATCATACTATATTATATTAGTTCCCTTATCTACCTAATCTATATTATTACATGTAATTTATTGAATTTATTATTTCTGTAAGTAAAGTTAAAAAATTTTCGACGTATTTGCTCGTAAAGTGGATTAATTTCAGCGGTTTCCATACATAAAGCTGCTCATAAAACACGCAGGCTGTATAAACGCAAATAGGGATATTATAATGAACAACCGCACTGTTTGCTATTTTTCAAATTACGAAATTTGAAAAAAGGCGTCCAAAGTGCCAAAATATCATGATTTTTTATTCTGTTTCATCGCAAGCCTATCATAATGTATCGGTGTTTCGTTGACGTAGTATGCCGGGTATGCACTAATTCAAATTAAAAGATGAATGCTTGTGCATGCCGGCGTACGCGGTGGGTCAGTGTGCGTGTGTGTGGCAGTAGACATAATGGTAGTGAGGAGCGGTACTGACGGTCGGCGCAGTGCATGCCGGCGTACCCGCTGGGACAGTGTGCGTGTGTGTGGCAGTAGACATAGTGGTAGTGAGAGCGGTACTGACGTTTGGCGCAGTGCATGCCGGCGTACCCGCTGGGACAGTGTGCGTGTGTGGCAGTAGACATAGTGGTAGTGAGAGCGGTACTGACGTTCGGCGCAGTGCATGTCGGCGTACCCGCTGGGACAGTGTGCGTGTGTGGCAGTAGACATAGTGGTAGTGAGAGCGGTACTGACGTTTGGCGCAGTGCATGCCGGCGTACCCGCTGGGACAGTGTGCGTGTGTGGCAGTAGACATAGTGGTAGTGAGAGCGGTACTGACGTTCGGCGCAGTGCATGTCGGCGTACCCGCTGGGACAGTGTGCGTGTGTGGCAGTAGACATAGTGGTAGTGAGAGCGGTACTGACGGTCGGCGCAGTGCATGCCGGCGTACCCGCTGGGACAGTGTGCGTGTGTGGCAGTAGACATAGTGGTAGTGAGAGCGGTACTGACGTTTGGCGCAGTGCATGCCGGCGTACCCGCTGGGACAGTGTGCGTGTGTGTGGCAGTAGACATAGTGGTGAGAGCGGTGAGAGTGCATGGTACTGACAGTGTGCGTGTGTGTGGCAGTAGACATAGTGGTAGTGAGAGCGGTACTGACGGTCGGCGCAGTGCATGCCGGCGTACCCGCTGGGACAGTGTGCGTGTGTGTGGCAGTAGACATAGTGGTAGTGAGAGCGGTACTGACGGTCGGCGCAGTGCATGCCGGCGTACCCGCTGGGACAGTGTGCGTGTGTGTGGCAGTAGACATAGACATACGTGGTAGTGAGAGTGGTACTGACGGTCGGCGCGGCGCAGTGCATGCCGGCGTACCCGCTGGGACAGTGTGCGTGTGTGTGGCAGTAGACATAGTGGTAGTGAGAGCGACGTACTGACGGTCGTGTGTGTGGCGCATAGTGCATGAGAGCGGCGTACCCGCTGGGACAGTGTGCGTGTGTGTGGCAGTAGACATAGTGGTAGTGAGAGCGGTACTGACGGTCGGCGCAGTGCATGCCGGCGTACCCGCTGGGACAGATGCAGTGTCCGTCGTTGGGGTGGCAGCGCGCGGCGTGCGCACAGCGGCAGGGCTGCGAGCAGGCGGCGCCCCACCAGCCCGCGCCGCACGCCGCCTCGCAGCGCTCGCCGCGCCAGCCCGGCCCGCACTGGCACACACCTGCACGCACGATTAACTCATTAGTAATATACAATATAGCAACAAGTTATATATTTAGCTAAAATATGTAATTATATATTTTGGTATATTATTATGTATATATATATATTTCTGTATTTATCAGTTTTTATATTTTATCAATTATTCAATATTAAATGCATCCACATCCACTGCCTTATTATCTCTGGTCAGAGCGACGGTAGACAGATAGATAATGCCATCAGGCAATAAGTCCGCTAGGTTTACAATTTTGTGTGCAAAATAGAATACATGGAGACATCTATCTATCTACCTACTACTCCCCCCGCGCTGACACGGGTGATCACAGAATAATTGACACTATCCGTTTCTTCTCTGTAAGTAAATGGAGAAGAGTCGGATAGTATTCGATGCGAATGTACACCCCTTTTTATATTAAGAATGTATTTGTGTTTTTTTTTTTCAAACAATAAACATTCATTTGTTTTCACTTTCTGTCATTGAGCAATAAAAGAGCTACATAATAAGTTGTAATTAATTAATTATATGTATTAATTGGCGACGAGGAAAAGTGTTTTAGATAGATACTTTTACTATTATATATATACTTTACTTTTGAATTTATAATATAATCCATAATAAACAAAGTAATAGTTTTGACATAATCGAAATTTGTTATAAAGATAACATTTCTCCACGAAAATCGATGTAGGTAAAAGATAGATATCTTTTATCTCTAGGAAAAAACAGACGAAGTAACAAGTAGTGTTTTATAAGAGTTGTCATCGGCCTCTCAAGAACGAAACAAAATAATTAATCTATGCAAACACCTTTAGTGTTATACAATTTAATACAAAAATGGTTTTGTTATAAGAAACTCGGGCCTGCCCCTTTGGCCGAAACATTGAAACTAAATCTAATCAAATGATTGATTGCGGGAACAAAAGTTTTCTATAAGAAAAATCGCAATGTAGTATATGTATGTGTGTTTATCGTAACTACATTCTCCATATACACTTTCATGAAAGAACAGACAGCTTGTCAACCCGATAGTTACGATACCTAAATAGATAGGTCAGTGTTGTCCGATAGCGACTCCGATTATATGTAATCTATTCGATAAACTACAAATATTGTACGAGTTCTGGTTGACACATTGTTAAATAAATTAAAGAACAAACGCTAAACAAACAATGTAATTTCCTAATCTTACAGGTGAACAGTTTTAGCATTTTAACGTTTACTAGCAGAAAGCGATGACAGTCGAATTAAAAGTTGTCATTTCAATTTGTAAACTTGTATAAAAATTATATTATATTAGGTCACAAAAATTGATAATGCATAAAAATTATCATACCACATGAGCAAAAAAATTCCTTTATTATAATTTTACGTATTGACTTTTTTAATTTTCATAGCAGTGCCAAGACAACACCTATAGGGTCAAATTGTAAAGAAATAATAATAATTTTAAATAAAGTAATGGTCTAAGATACGTCCTTAGAGAGATATGCCCTTATATATTATTCGATAATGACAACGGCTATGCTAGCTAATATATATAGATTTAGAAATCACACATAGATTGTCGAGCTAAATGTTGGGTCTAAGTTGTTAAAACACAGAAGATAATAAATAATGTGTACTATCATAAATAGAAGATATATCATTGTGTAAATGGTAATTGAACTTCAACGAAATATAATGTCAATTAAAAGTTATTGATATACATATAAAAGTAAGATATAACGAAAGCAGCAAAGCGGCATAGTCCGTTTCAAAATTACTAACATATGGACGTTGTCATTATTGATTAACAGATGAAAGTAAATATTCCTTATAAAGTATCCCTTAGTATATTGAATCTTATGTTTATTTATAGTAGGGGGGGCTATATACAATTTTCAATCGACCCAAATAATGTTAATTACGTACCAGTCACGAAATGACAGTCGGCTCCATTCTTACAGTTACACTTCTCTTGGCAGTTCAAACCGTAAGTGCGCAGAGGACATGGATACTGGCATGCGGACCCTCTATACCCGGGCGGGCAGGTGTAGTCGCCCGTCACGGGATTGCATGTCACGTTTCCTACTGAAAAAACAAAATTCAATACACAAACAAAAAACATAACGGGAGAAAAGGGCTCGTTAATAACGTGTACTAGTAGTAACCCCATTGGTAATAATGTACCATGTAAGTTGGCCTTCACGTGGTACTTGTTACAGTGGTTTGTTCCCAATATAATCATAGTAATGTATATCTGTTTGTTATGCATTAGGATTTTTTAACGGCACAAAAGAAACTTAATTCATTTTCATAATAATAATAATCTCAGGATAATTCACACAACGTTATCTAGACCCAAGTTAAGCTCGCTAAAGCTTGTGTTATGGGTACTAAACAACTGATACAAATACATAGATTGTTTTTCATAAATATATATATACATAGACCCAGCCCGATACAAAAACTCAACGTTTGATACAAATACCGCAATTTCACCTGATTGTTTTTCATAAATATATATATACATTTCATGAGTAACTATAGTCGTATTTTTAATTAGACCCAGCCCGTAAAATACAAAAACTCAGTTCTCAGTTAGATGAATGAACAATGAGTGTGAATAGTTAATCATTACAAACTGAATATAAACGTTTGCGCGCGCGGCTGCGTCGCGAGCGTCTGTCGCCATTTTGTTCGTAATTCGGCTTCTAACCTCTGGTCTGAGAGCACCGCTCACGCTGTTTTATTAAGTTTTTCCTCATGTTGTGTTTGTGGTAATTGAAAAAAAACGGATCCTCAACCAAGCATGGTAAGAAAGACGTTACCGAAAAACTTATGATACAAAACGTCTACAAATCGTATTTGAGAAAGCTGTTTTTTACCTATTGAGGCTCCCAAAAACAAATGTATTTCGAAAACAGCTGACATTTTGGGAATTGGTGTGACCTCAGCGTTTAAAATAATACAAAGACCGAAACAAAAGATTTCACCACTGAAAGCGACAATGATTTTTTTATCTGATGATGAATAAAAACAAATTTTGTAATAAGATTTTTTATTTTTATTACCTAACTATATTATGTTATATATTGTTATATTTTGGTTTCAATTACATTATGAATTGTAATTAGGACAGTCTTAAAAGTATCCACGCAATTTTTTCTTTACGTTTAAAATACTCGGTATTCAGTATAGGTAGATACAATAGGAACATAATCGTCGTAAACTCGTTGGTATGTATAAAGCACGGCTAAAATTCAAACCCCGTACCCGATATCGGCAGTTCGCACACTAACTATTCACTAGACAATCGAGGCAATTCCATTAATTCAGAGTTTTTTCAATGATTCACTTTGTCACAACACTATTTTTATTTCATCAAAACTTAAACGTCAGTTGACTTCGTCTAATTAAAAATATGACTATAGCTCCCTTGGCGTTTAAATATTTTTGAAGTTTGCGCTATACAACTGTCGCATGTTAGGCTCGGTGTGTGCGCGTTACCTCCGTAGTAGGCGGGGCAGCGCTGCGAGCAGCCGGCGCCGTAGTGTCCGGGCGCGCAGGTCTCGTTGCAGGCGGCGCCGGTCCAGCCCGCGGCGCACACGCAGCGCCCGCTGCTGGACTCGCACGACGAGTTGTTCACGCACTGGCACTGTTGCGCGCAGTTCTCGCCGAAGTAGCCCGGCGCGCACTGCGACTCGCACGACACGCCTGCACAGTGTACATAATTATGTCGAACACTCGATTACATGGAAGGGTTGGTGACAGAGTAACATTGTACAACGAGTGGTTGGAGACACAAAATGTTCATAAATTCTGTCATTTTTTTACGTAATATCTATTTATAGATTGGCCCTTACTAATAATTCTGATTAGCAGCGAGTATAAAGAATAATTATGTCGATTATATGTCTACAGGTCAACCCTAACATTTTCTCATGTTCATGTCAGCATGCTATTAAGTTACAGCATGCTGTTGTTATATTTTAGATAAGTACAGTAATAAATTATACCTTTAGAAAACCTATTTAAGCCGTATGATCTATAACAGTTATTGAATGTTAGACCATTCTTGTTTTTTTTTTAACATGCAAAAAAAGCCCATTGTAATTCGGTCAACACATTCTTTTCTCTCAAATTTTCTCCATCGTCATTAAAATCTCCCATAATTAAGTTAATAACCGCCCAACTGGCATCACTGTAATCTGTTATTCTGAGTAATTCCCCGGCTTGCCTCTAGGCAGCTAACAAGAAGCCGGCAGCGACGCACAATTTAAATCGTAGATAGAGAGTATTATTTATTTAGGTATTGGATGAATGTGGTGCATCTGCACACTGTATACGCAGGCAGATCACCAGTGGAGGTTGATAAGATAAAAATGAAGTAAGATTAGTTAGTTCATCGATTCAACCAGGAATTGACCACGATGATTTCCAGGGTGACCACATGAAGGTCTGATTGCTAACGACGGTGCCACTCATTACTAGCAATTCCCTCTCGGTACCGGTACACCTCTCCATCTTAGCGTCATACTCAGAGTCACACAGCACAACACGTTTAAAATATACAAAATAATTTTACTAAAGAAATCCAAAATGGAGATGGTAAATGCTAACCCCAAGATAACTGAGAAAATTCAACGATAAGCTTTCCCCATCAACGTGCGAGTCATATTTAATGAACGCAAGCAAACGAAGGGCTTAACCCTTTCAGGGGTTTAGTAGTTGGAACGGGTTTTGCAGCACAAAAAAGAATACAACTTTAATTGTCACAAAATATTCTCAATAAAATAACAGTTCATTAAAACATGGCATGATGACAAGTACGAGTACATTACCGTGTACCTAAGTATACGGTAAACAATATAGACAGCTTACATAAATAAAGACAAACCAAATGTTAAATGATAAGTTTTATTGATATAGATAGGTATAAGATTGTAAAATTTATTTTCCCTGAAATTTAAACAATAAACTCGGTCACCCAGCAGTTTTAAATATTGGTATCTTTGTAGTCTACTGTGCTTATCAAGTACTAATAGCCGTCGTTTGGCATAATAGCGTTCTCACGAAACTTATGTTTCACCGCATATCAAACAAAGCATTTCATTAATGATTCCTTATAAATCCGAGTATATCATGTCAATGATGTTACTTTATATAAGACCAGATTAATATGTATTGCTATCAATGGACAATGTATTTAATCCAATAAAAGATACTTTTGACATAGAAATGATACTTCCAAGAAAGAAATAATTTATTTACTTAGAGATATGGAGATATCAAATATTAGAGTAGTTAATAATAAATTTCCATTAATATATCAATAATATATCATCGCTCATAATTTAATCTTCTATATTTAGCAAAATGCATAACATTTTGTTAAAACACTGCTAAACAGATCTTCCGTTACTAAATACAAATTGCCTATGATAAAATTCTGAATTCAATTGTACATACCATATAGAGAATGTACATACCAAATCTCCTAGGTAGACCTGAATCAAGAAAATATAATTACAGCTAAATATACATATACAGTGGACCCGCGGTAATCCGGCCCCCCTTGTAATCCGACATTGTCTATTATTTGTTATTGAATATTACTTTGACAATATACTTCAGAGTGCATATACATACATACATATATAACATAGAATCTTATCACTGGATCTGTAATTTGTCGGATTACAAGATACTCTTTTGTAAAAAATTCCGGACTATGAGCAGAGGACCCTTAAGCAGCACTCTATATTTCGACAAATATTATGGTCCGACACTGCCCTGCAAAACGTTTGTCGGATAACCGGGGGTCCACTGTATATGTATATAATACAAAGAATCATCATTGGATCTATAATTTGTCGGATTACAAGGTACTCTTTTGTAAAAAAATTCGGACTATAAGGGGTCTTAGGCAGTACTCTATAATCCGACAAATTCGATAGTCCGACACTGCCCTGCAAAATGATTGACGGACTACCGGGGGTCCACTGTATATAATGTTTATCTATAATGTTGACTACAAATTCTCTGAAGCGTTAAATAGGTAATTAGATTATCGAAAAAGTAACGTTCGTTTAATTTTGATAAGCTGAGTCGACATTAAATATAAAAAAAAACAAATATGATTAAAAATCGATATCTAAATTATTTGGATTCTATTATCATGCTAGAAAATTAAAATTACTGATTTCATTGGTAATAAATTAATAGCCTAAGTACAGGTACTTCTAAGTATTATTACTCATTAAGTGATCACTGATACTATCAATGTTAATGTAAATTACTATAAGTTTATGTCATTTCATTATATTATATTAAAAAATAAAAGACAAAGTAATTTAAAGTTAAAATTGTTAATACTATAAAGGTCAACAAGTTACAATGATAATGATTTGGTCTATCAAGCGAAGCTGGGTTAACTATTTGAACAATTTTGCTGCAAAGAAATGCTTTGATAGAGAAGTACTCGTATGGAGACATATAGAGGAGACCTTTGATAACAGCTTCTAATTTATTTCGTATAGTAACTAAACATTATTTTGTTAAGTATACTATGGTTCATTTTACGGTTTGGTTTACCATAATGTGTTTTTTTATGTTGCTTGATTTTAAAGATTGTGAACTGTGACAAAAAATTTGATACCAAAAGAATATAACATGACAATAATTATCCTTTTTGTATTGTGAAATATAAATGTTTCTAAAATGACCTTTGCAGTTGAGGTCATTTATACCACTACTATCACCGTTCCTTATTGTTCACAGCTCAGGAACTATCTATCATCACTAAATTTCAAATATCATGATTTCATAAGAGGAGACAAAGAGAATAGAGCACAATAAAAACAAATACCAAGCAGGATGAAATAATCGACATACCTTTCCAGCCATCCTTACAGATGCAATGACCATTGATGTGGTGACAGGACATCGCATTGCCAGAGCAGTTGCAGGCAGATGTACAGCCCTGCCCAAAGAATCCAGGTGGGCAACGCCGCTCGCACTTTTCACCCACATAACCCGCGGTACACTCGCACTGGCCTGAAAATGAATACCATCTGTTTACATCGGTGTCAGCCATCGTTACCAAAGTTAAATTATGGAAATTTTTGAGATTAGGAAAGTAATTTGTAGCAAATAAGAGTGTATCTGCCACACATACTTTGCAAACGTATATTTGTTTACGATAGAATGTCATGAACAATTTAATCTATACATCTATACATATAAATAAAATTAAAATGAAATAACTGTTTTTTACTATTTGCATATCAATGTAAATACGGTACGTAGACCAAAATAACATTTTTTACCATTTTTGTCTGTCGGTTTGTTTGTTCCGGCTAATCTCTGAAATGGCTGGACCAATTTAAACGGGACTTTTTTGGCAGGTAGCTGATGTAATAAGGAGTAACTTAGACTACTTTTATTTTTAAAATCTTTTATCTTTTTCTGTAATTGTGAAGTAAAGGTGGAAATGAATTTCGACTGTCTTGGCTCTGATCATTATGGACAAAAAATTATAATTAAAAATAAGGGTAATAAAATAAGTCCAAAGGGACTCAAACAATTACATGCAGACAAATAAAACAAAAGAATTTGGCACGTTTTAAAAATACAATTGAACATAAAATATCTAGTCTCGTAATATCTCAATATGACCCGGACATTGTATGTGAACATATTTTTAATTTAATTGAGCAAGAAGCTAGCAATGAATTTAAAACAAAAACATTTTCAACTAATGTAAAATCAAAGTTTTGTGACTGGGCCCTAGATTTATAAATACCACGGTTTGGTATTTATAAATCTAGGGCTAATCTTTACGAACTTTACGAAAAACGAAGCTATATATCCGATCCCCTATTTCATGAATATGTAAAATCTTATTCGAAAATATTTAAAAGGGTTTGTCAGACAGCTAAGTTTCTCTATTTGGGTAAAATAATAACTAAATCTAAAGATAAAATAAAAGCCACTTGGAAAGTAATAAATAGCGAAATTGGAAAAGTTAATGTTCAAAATAGCTTTATATATTAATAACAAATTGGTAAATTCCGACACAGAGGTCGCGGATACATTCGAATATTATTTTACTAATATTCCATTAATTACGACACAGGCTCTAAAATCTTCCCCGTCTGCTGCTGAAACTTTACTAACAGACAATGTTAGCAAGTCATCAGCTGTATTTAACTTTAGACACACAACATCAGTAGAAATAATGAAAATATTTAAACAGCTAAATAATGAAAAAACAGAGGATCTATGGGGTATATCTGTTAAAATACTGGATAGTATAATGGAAATCATTGCGCCGTCTCTTGCTTTTAATTTTAATAAATATATAGATGATGGTAAAGTTATAATATATATAATATAATGAAAATTAGTAAAATCATACCACTTTTTAAATCTGTAGACAGGACTGACCCAATAAATTATAGACCTATATCCATACTCCCAGCGCTCAGAAAATTTTTAAATAAATAATCCTTATGCAACTTGTTAGTTATTTCAATTTAAATAATTTAATTCACAATAGTCAATTCGGTTTTTACAAAGGTCGTTCAACTACAGACGCAGGTGCAGAGTTGCTCAGACACGTATTTACTGCATGGGAAAATAAAATGGATGCGATAGGTGTTTTTTGTGACCTTTCTAAGGCTTTTGATTGCGTTGATCATAACACATTATTAAAAAACCTTGCTTTTTATGGCGTCAAGGACAACGCTTTAAATTTAATAATTTCTTATTTATCTGATAGAATACAGAAAGTAAAGGTTAGCAGCGCTACGTCTGACGAGTCACTTGTGCAAATGGGTGTACCTCAAGGATCTATTCTCGGTCCATTTTTATTCCTAGTATACATAAATGATCTCCCATATGCCATGCAGGATAGTGTTATTTGCAGATGATACTTCATTGATTTTTAAAGTTAATAGAATGAGTAATCATTATGACGATGTAAATAGTGCTTTGCGGCGTCTCTTGCACTGGTTTACAACTAACAATTTTATGTTAAATGCTAAAAAAACAAAATGTGTTAATTTTTCTCTGTCTAAAAGTCTTAAGGGGGTCTTCCTATGTGATGGGTTGAAAAAATCGATTTTTTTTTTTTTCATAAATTGCTCCCTTAACATGTCTAGAATACGGTAGTAAAGCGATTTTAGAAAATTCGAAGTCGTTTTAAAGATACAGCAGGTAAAAGAAAGAGCGGTTCGGAGCGGTGAGTTGGCAGTTAGAGACCGGGCCTATTGTGTACCGTCGGCTTTATACCTGGCCTCCCTTTTATTAATATATTTGTTTATACAAGTTTAGACACGTTTCTACAGACTTAAACAGAAATTTCTATTGTTATAATATTTTACCGAAGTTATTTTAGTCTTGGTTGAACTTCGAAGAGAGCAACAGCTACAAATTATTTTTTTTCATAATGAGTGGACGGATTAGCAATTCGACGCCATCCAGATTCGCTTGAAGATATGAGAAAGGAAGTTTGAGCCACGTACTATCACAAATGTTCTTCTGATGAAAACCCTCAGCATCAATTTTGTCCAGAAGGCGAAGACAGTTGGTGTAAATGGCGTAAGGCTGAAGCTAATAATGAACTGGACCAATTTCATCACGATAAACCACCTCTAATTCCGCAAGTTCAAGAAGCTATCAAACCGGTTTTCGAAGATTTATCGAAAGACGAATTATTAATTCGTTGTTTAGGAGCAGAGACACAAAACAATAACGAATCTTTGAATTCTTTGATTTGGACTTTCGCTCCTAAACATCTTCATTCTGGTCCCAAAGTTGTTGAAATTGCTAGCTACTTAGCAGTTATTATCTTTAATGAAGGTTTTCAAGGTATTTTAAAAGTTATGTCGATTATGGGATGCCCTGTTGGTCGTGAAGCCCAAGCGTATGTTGAGAAACGGGATGAAAAGCGAATCTTACGCTCTGAGCGGCGCGTAAGTGATGTCGTTAAACAAGCCAGGATTGACTCAAGAGCTGAACAATCTGCTTTAAAAGAGTTTCACGAGGAAGAGGAAGGAATACTCTATGGACCAGGCATCGCCGATTGAGAGTAAGTTGATATTTTAATAGTTTTTAACGGACTTGAAACTTTAAACGCGTTTTTCTCAAAACTGTGTTTTTCAAACTTTCCTCCATTGTATCTCAGAAACGGCTGGACCGAATTACTTGAAATTTACAGGGCACACTCAATATATGTAAACGCATGGAATGAACTATTATTAATCGAAAATTTTCAAAACTAAACAAAAGATTTTTTTATAGCAAAAAACAAAAAAAAAAAACGCCTAATTTGCAACTTTTATTTCAAATGTCTATCAAAAATCCAATTTTTTTTATATTCATTTGATTATAGGTCATTCCGTGCTTTTAAGCCTATAAATTAAAACGCCGTTTTTTTTTTTTTTCAGATAAGCCGATCAGCCGGAATCGTGGAGGAAGTGGGAGCTCTTTTTTTCGAGGCGGGGGTGTTCAGAGCGCTGTAACTCTAGTTTGACTGAATATTTTTAGCTGAAATTTTATATTTATACTGTCCAAATATGTGTTAATAAATGATAAAAAACTTGAAGCTCTAAATATTTACTGGTCGTAGAAAAAAAATCCTAAAATATCCCTAAAAAACAGGCCGTCACATAGGAAGACCCCCTTAATACTAATTGCAACATGAAATTAAATGACGAATCTCTCGTATTTATAGAATCTACTGTCTTTCTAGGAATCACAATAAATAATAAAACACAATGGGGTGCACAAATTCAAAGTCTTGCAGCGAAACTGAGTTCAGCAGCTTTTCCCGTGAGTAAGGTTAAACAGTACAATGATACTGATACTGCTAGATTGGTCTATTTCAGTTATTTTCATAGTTTACTCTCTTATGGAATATTATTATGGGGAAAAGCGGCAGATATTAAAAATATATTCATATTACAAAAACGTGCCATTCGAGCGATCTACTGTATGAAGAGTCGTGACTCATTAAGAGAGAAATTCAAAGAGGCAAATATTCTCACCGTTGCTTCTCAATTTATATATTCAAATATCTTATATGTTCATAAAAATCTTGACTTATTTCCAAAAGAAGAAGAAGAAGAAGAAAAATCATTTATTCAAATAAACTTAATTTAAGCACTTTTGAATAGTCATAACAATTTGTTTTTTATCTACCACTCGTTCGGAAAGCTGTCTCATCACAAGAAGAACGAGCAAGAAACTTGTGTGTTGCTCTTTTAAATAATCCTTGTAAGTTTACATTTACAAGTCGAAACGTGTGAATACAAACTACCAACAAGCACTAATTTTTTGGGTCAAATATAATCATGCAATAAGATTTAATCAGTCGTAGTGATAAGAGCAGACCAGTCCCTACAAGCAGCACTCGTTCACGAGTATGACGGATGAGCCAGCCATCACTGCGCTCGACCATATTTTAGGGAGCCCATTGACCCGGCCCACCACGCCGCCACATGTCTGGACATTTTAGTGAGCATGACTACTCATTCCACACGACCACGTCACAGCTACAAAAATTACTATATGGTAGTTACAGTATTCGCACTTTACATAAGGATGCATGCGGCAATCAATACAAAAGCCGCTACGCTATCATATATCAAGAAAGCAGTATGAAAATTAAAATTATAACGTTGTCCGCAAATAAACTTATTCTTGCTATATATTGCTATCATCTATAAATTCATCTATCTTATAATAGGCTTTTTTACATAACATTTGTTTAATATAAGATTTGAATTGCCTCTCTGTAAGATTTAGCGTAGACTCTGGCAGTTTATTATAGAATCTTACGCAATTACCATAAAATGAATTACTAACTTTGTGTAGACGGCATTTAGGTAAAATTAGCTTATTTTTATTGCGTAAGTTTAAAACAGCAATATTCATAATATTAATATAAAAACAGCAATATTCGTAAAAAAAAACAGCAATATTCATAATATTAATACTAGATTTAAAGACAAACTTGCTGTCCCCAAGTATCGTTTAGAAAAAGTCAATAGGTCTTTTATGGGAATAGGTATAAAATTTTACAATAAGATACCAAAGGATATATTGGAATTACCCTTAAATAAGTTCAAAACATCTGTTAAATCATATTTATTAAGCAAGGCCTATTACTCACAAAACGATTACTTGAATGACGAGCGTGCATGGCAATAGTTTTCATGTTCGGAATTTTCATTTAATGTTAGACATAGACACCTATATAAATACCTATGCATTGTAAATAAACTGGATTTAAAAAAAAAGTAATTCAATTGAGTTTCTTGCCAGTTCTTCTCAATTGGATCTATATACTGAACTGAAATGGTAGGAAAAAAAATTATAATGTAAAAACTTGACGTTCATAAGCGGCTAAAATGTCCTACATGAATAAATGATTTTTGAATTTGAATTGAATGAAATCATTGAGAGGCGATTTGACGATATTTACTACACATTCAAGGGTTTTGTAAAAATTAAATTACCCGTTATAGGATTACATGGCGCATCATTTTCGCAGTTGCAAGATCGTGCACAGTTCAATCCAAACTTGTTTCGGTCGCACGGTCGCTCACATTTGAACCCATCATACCTAAAACAATAAGAAATAGGTAACAAACAATAAGAGGAAAATACAGAATGCGAATATATACCGAGCGTAACGAATAAATATTGTAGAATTGTTTATTTTTTTATACGATTAAAGTAGGTTACTATGGCATAGCGAACCCGTCAAATGCTAAAAATAGAAATGAGATCATAAAACATTTAAAAATATCCTACACATATAAGAAATAGATGCTAGATATTATTTCATTGGTATGATTTTGATAAAGCTATGCGTAAGTAAAAATTTTTTTTAATGAAGGATATTTTACAATTTTTGAAATACTTTTACAAATAATTTCTGATACAAACCTAAAATTACGCGTTATAAAAAAATAAAGAGGCTTCAAATATACACTTGAAATAGAATTATTTTATTTAAAATAGCAAGCAAAGTAAAATATGAATAAATATTTTAATATTATTAGTTTTGGACTGAATATTTACTCGCAAAACTATTAGTTTCTATATTTTATGGGTGTAACAGAAAAATTCGAATCATATTATTTAAAATTTTTGTATAACATAAAAATAACATGATCTGCAAAAGATACCAACAAATAAACCATTTAACAATGAGATTCAAGGGCATATATGTAAGTCACATAGTGATTCATGTTACATATAATATTCTATGAATTGATATTAGAAACACATTTTGTTGTGGACTACTTGCTACTAGTGTATGTGTATGATTCAACCAGTTCAAGCCTCTTATGTTAGTATACCTAATCTATTTAATACAATAATTTAAACGTGATACTATACAAAGACTCTTTACATTAATCATAATTGTTTCTACATATTCTTGCTTCAGCACAAGAGATCTATTAAACTGGGTATATTTTAGAAATAACATATTAATCCCTTGATAAATAGTTTATACTAGATACCTATAATAGGATATTCTTCGGGATCAGTTCCCGAAGAATATCTTTATGGTCTTTATGATCTCTTTGATCTTTGTATAAAACATGACGACTATTCTAGTGTATTTTTCTATATAGTAGTAGTGTATTATTCCATATGTATATAGTCTTCGATCTAATTTATCTGTAACATTTATATTGGATCTTAATAACGTATTGTATACATTTTATAGAAGCGGACTCTGTGAAAAAAGGCGGAAACGGCCTAAAGAAAACTGTAGCACGAATTCGTTTTTTTTTAATAATATTTAAATGCTGTACAACTAATTTCCCGGATGGACTAGTAAGACGCATTGTTGTACTCCTCATTAAAGTAATATCCTAACTCTACACAATTTATCAAGCATGTTTGATTGTAATATAGACAACATTTGTGGTCTCGTTGTTTCGAACACCACCTTACTTCGAATTGCTGTGGTTTCAATACCTCGCACGATGCCGCTTTCCCAATTGTAGATTTGTATATGAATACAAATCTGCAATAGGGAAAGCTGCATCGTGCATCGTGCAACAAAAACAATCATACTCATTTGAGTATTTAAGCATTGTTTTAGTAAATTAACAAACAAAGAACGGTTTGTATATGAATTATCTATTAATTTTCAATATTTATTTCAAAGACAAATAATACTCAATATTTATTTTTTAAAAAATCCCTGTTATCGAGCTAACCATGATTCACGTTTTAAACGTATATAGGTACATAAGATATGGTACATGCAGTATATAAATGTACAATTAAAAAATGTAAATCAACTACACTTTAGCTTTTGTAGGTTCTAGATATTTTTTACTATAAAGAGAATATAATGCATATTTAATATTCTAGTTCAATCTGATCAGTTTTTAAGTAATTATACATAAACATTGCTAGTTGTGATAATATTAAATATTGATAAATAACCAAAATATTACCACCACGATTTTTTATTAAGTTCAATAACGTCGACTGTCGAATTGGTAAAGATTGAACATAAAAATGATTCTTGAATTTTATTAATTCATTGGAATATTTCTCATGTACTCATAACCCGTTCAGTGTTTTTAATGAGTAAACAACAACACCGTTAGTACATTTGTAATCAATGTGTATTATATGTACATATGACGCGACTGAATAAACTTGAAAAGGAATATCAGTTACCGTTTATAGCTTTAGTAGTCATTACTATTAACATTATGATTAATTATTGCCACATTAGGTGAATAATAACACAATTTAACTTTGATACCACTTTAACTGCGCATTAATATAAGCTGCTTCTTTGTGTATATTACATACTTACAAATATTTTAGTTACATATCAAACTGTGTATATGTGTTATATATACATGTAATATATATCTATATATGTTAGCAAACTTATTGCTACTGTTTTCTGTTATTTTATATTGTATCATTAAAATGTAAAATAAAATACATGACTATACAAAAATACTTAGAAAAAAATATTTATTGGTGAAATATGTCAACTTAATAACTTTCCCAATAGTATTAAGAGACGCCAAGGGACCCATTAATATTATCATTGTAACACATCAACATAATTAACGCTGAAACATAATAAGCGGACGTTATACTTACTAGTAATTTTACTTTATTAAAGGGGTTTTCTCCTTTAAAGAAATAATATTCTTTTAGGGCTTAATAATAGATTTATAATTAATAAGAATACGTTTTAAACCAACAACCGCAATTTATTGCCGATTGCTACAGTTTTGCTCATGTTGTAGTATTCTGATAAGCACTAAAAGTTAACTGCAAGTGCATAATGTATGCCGTGGGTTGAATTAAGAATTTTTATTTAAAGAATTTCAGGAAAAAAAAATTAAGAAATTCTTTTTTTCAGTACTTTCTGTTGTAGTTTTAATTTATTTGTGCATAGGTAAAACGAAAACTATAAAAAAGTCTATATTTATTTATGTATATAGGTAAAACTATTGACATGACAGAATGAAGTATAAAACAAGAAAATACTATAAAGCAACTATAAATTTAAATACAAATTTAGAATAGAAAATACATTTCTGATTAACCTGATACTACACTTTCTTTAATACTTTGGTACATAATACGTCAATGTTAAATATGCGGAAACAACGGCTAAGTTATCAGTACTTACTAGAAGAAACGAGAATGTAATCGGTTTTTTATCTTTCTTTTTCTGCTTATTTGATTTCTGATATCCAACATTTACACGGCAATGATATACTAAGAATCAGTGTTTGATTTGGTAGATAACCAAGTGATTTATTTCAAATATTTTTAATTCGTTTTAGGACCCTTTTGTTTTTTGTAGTTTACAGTTGATAACAAAAAAGGTAAAGATTTTATTTTAAGTCCAACTGTTTACTTTGGATGTATTTCGCGATACATTACTTAAATCTAAAGAGTGTTTTAAATGATTATTTTATTAATAGGTTATACTCTTTAAACATGAAAGTACTCGTAGTCATTTTGAAATAAAACATTAAAACACAACCACACTTTTATAACTTTACAATGCCATAACATACCCAGGTTTACAGAAACATTGACCAGTTTCGGATGAGCAAGTAGCGTTGTTGTAACAGTCGCATGTCTCCAAGCAGTTGACGCCGTATAGCGGATGCGGACACGTCTCGTCGCAGTGTATACCCCGAAAGCCAGGCGGACAGGTACATGAACCTTGCGATTAACATGAATAAAATTACATTTTAAACAAATTAGTAAGTATTATCAACATATATTATAGTAAATTTTTCAATATTGCATAGGTATATCTATTTATAAACTAGGCATATAATTATAATAGATACTGTAAATTAAATAATAGTATGTATATATGTATAGTTAAAATTAGATTATCCTAATATATCGAATTTTAGACTGAGCTCTTCTTTTAGCCTTATTAAAAATATTATAATTATTTGTACTATAATTTTCTAGCGAGTTGAATGAAAATTGTATTAAAAGAGTGTGTTGCCAATTCTATTATTTATTATATTAATTCAAACTAACTTTTCTTGGTTTAAATTATGGTTGGGTGGTATGGGTTTGTAGTTTGTTTTAATATACTTAAAATTTTCTACTTAAAATGAAAGGGACTGAACTAGCGTTCTTAAAGCATTTAAAGCTGAACTAATGGGCGTATTTTATTATAAAGTTATTTCAATGTCCTTAACTTAATGGTATTGAACTCCAAGTTTTGCAGTTATGGTATAAAAGATCTATAGAAAACTATCGACACCCGCAAGCTGTCTTTCTTTTTGTGTCCTTAGGTTGGAGTCAAATTCACGGCGCTGGGAATTTATTATGATGGTTTCCAGGGGAAACCGCACTGAAGTCAAGCTGAAACTGGCACATTGCTAGTAATAGATTCATTAGTCAACATTGCTAACCATGCCCCTTACCCCCAGTATAATGGTAATGTTGATAAATAATGAATAGTTGTTACAGATCAGAGTGCCATACCGTTGACAGGGGAGCACTGCGCTTCGTTCTGGCAGCGGCACTTGTAGAGGCAGTCCTTGCCGAAGCTGTAGAGCGGACACTGGCGGCTGCAGTCTGCGCCGCGCCAACCCGCCGCACACGTACACGCGCCGGTCCACGGGTCGCACCTAGTGTCATGTCATTGGAATGCCGAACACGAATTGTGTATAATTTATGTACTTGTATTTGTAGTTTTGGTGCAATTATTACAAATATATATTATATTTATATATAACTTAATTATATATGTACATAGATATTGTTTAGTTGTTTATATTATATATAAAATTCTCGTGTCAGTTTTCGTTCCCATACTCCTCCGAAACGGCTTATACGATTCTCATGAAATTTTGTGAGCGTATTGAGTAGGTCTGAGAATCGGGCAAGATCTATTTTTCATCCCCCTAAATATTAGGGGTAGTCCACCCCTAATTTTTTTTTTATTTTACGGCAAAACAACGTTTGCCGGACAGCTAGTATGATATAGTATTATTGTCACAGTTTTTTCGCCATGACCGCTTTTTATTTCTACCTAAAGATTAGCTGGTAGAGAATTCCATATGGAATTACGGCCCATCTGACAGCAAGCGGAATAGTCGCGGCGTCGCCTGACATTAACAGTACTACGAGCATCACGTAATCGTGAGATGATTAGTTACCATTCCAGAAAACTAAAATATCGTGCGTCTTAGTACCAGGATACACTTTGTATGCCAATGGTATGCCCGCATAACCATATTCTATACACAAATACATAAGTAACGAGTAATTTTCTTAGTTAGACCTAAAGTTGAGAGATTTAATAATAATAATAAATTGCAAAATTGTCTAAACAGACCTAGACATTATAACATTAAATAACCAATCACAACACCTGTTAGTACAAACACACATATAAGTAAATATACAGGCCTGGCTAATACAAACAGAACAAACAATCATCAATACAAATGTTTATGTTACTACGAGGTCTGAAACTACAATAAATTGAAATGTAAAAAAAGTAAAGTAGTCTACGTCTGGGCACCTATATTTCGTGTTTATCCCACCGACTAGCTTGCCTTCATGTATTTTAATTTTATTATCAATTAAATTGTAAAATCGAATTCTTTTTAGTGAATGCTCCTTTCATGTTACAGCGGTTTCTTCTTCTATAAAAAACTAGAGGCATGTCATATAAATAAAACAACAATATAAAAAAGGTGTCTACATTGTTAGAACGCAGTGTATATTTATTATATAAAATTCTCGCAGCAGCTTTTAACATTTTGAGCCACTCAGATGAATTTTGCCTGTATTTTCAAGTCAGAGAATAGGACGTAAACTATTTTCATGACTCTAAGTGATAAGGGTGGTTTACCCCAAAATATTTAAAATTTATTGCATGTATTAAATTTTATATTTTATTAAAAATATATAGTTTTCACCCTTGTATCGTCTACCCCTAATTTTTAATAACAATATTAATTTATATGTCAATACAACTACATATATTAGGTATTATAATTATGTATACGTTACTTCAATAAAATGAAATAAATTTTCAAAATTGAAAAATAATTATTTGATAAACAGAAAATTGAAGAGAAACTTTTACGTGTAAATTCCATTGAAAAGTGCGATAAAAATACTATTACAATAATATGTTCTAAATAAATAGAAACTGGTGCCAGCATACACACCAGGTTTTATTTATTTTTAATAACTCGAATGTTTATTTACTTTCATCAATATAGATAAGAGTTACTCTTATCTATATTGATGAAAGTAAATAAACATTGAATCACATAATGGCCCCGTTATCGTACATTTTCCATATCTGTATCTGTATCCACAGGTTAGACCACTGCAAATACTACTAATACTGGACTGTACTGTACTGTAAATACAATAATAAAAAATACACTTTTTTATATGGCGTACATTATTTTCATTCTGATGCAGTGATTGCTCCAGCATATATCGCTAATATTATTACTAGTGGTCGCGAAGATGTTGATATGCGGTCATAACTACCATACTGCGTTAGTAATAGATTTTAATAAAAATGCAAACAAAGAAATGTTTTGAAGAGTATCAGATAAGCAGTCACTAAATGACAATATCGAATCTGTGTAGCAATAAAAAAATATAATATATGCTTTTAGATCACTAAAATTGAACCGCACATATTGCAGCTTTTTGAAACCATTTCAATTCCCTTTTGGAATTATTGTTTAATAATATGCAAAAAATAGAACATAGGAATTTAATCTAATGATTAATTTAATGAAACAAACCGAATCATTCAATAGATTAATCGAAATATACAATAAAGTTATAATAGTTTTTCGATTGGTATTGCATTCGGCAGCACTAGACTGTCTGTGGTCGGATTAATGAAGCATCTTGCTTAACTATTTTATTAGGACGATACGTGATGTGTATGAGAGTATGAGTGTCTGAATACGGTAACGGTACTGGTTACGGAGTGAGTCGAAAGAGAGTTTAAAAAAAAACAAATATTTCAATGTTAAGTAGAAAAGCACGTTTTAGGTGAGGATCGGTAAGTGAGTTTTTTACAGAGAGAATTTTTTATTCCCTGTGTCTTAACCGAAACCGCGAGTATCTAATTGGAAAGGAATGTATGAATTGGTATCGTCTTGTTTATACAATATATTAATACAGAAAAGTTAACCCGGCGATCTCAGAACTGTGTTTGTGAAACTGTAACAGTACGCACATGTCGGTGTTGGCGGGCTCGCAGTCGCAGTCGCGGTCGCAGGCGGGCCCCCAGCGGCCGTCGTCACAGGCGCGGCGGCTGCAGAGGGCGCCGCGCCAGCCCGGCCTGCACCGGCACGACCCGTCCCGCGACGAGCACTCGCCGCCGTTCTCACACGAGCACGTGTTAAGGCAGTCCACGCCGTACGTGCCCACGGGACATTCCTCTAAACACTACAACAATAAGTAACACAATTACTCCAATGAATGAGATATACAGATATTATACGATGCAGCTTCACTTTAAATTCATAATGGATGTGACTTAAATCTATGTTGTCATTATTTGTATCTAATTGAGTTACCACATATAACATTTGTAGTTATTATTTTAATAATAACTACAAATGTTAGCTCCGGTTCCTTTGATAAAAATGCAATATATAGTTATATACATATATTTCATTTTTATTTAAGAGAACCGGGGCTGACAGTCGTAAACACAGATTATTGATTAACCTATCAAGGAGGCCAAATACCAATTGCATATATTTTTATATAAATTTTATTTTAACTGTAATCACAATCTCACCAAAAAATGTAAAAACAGAAATGTAAGTATTATCAAGTACACAAATGTTTATTTTTATGATATTACGTCGAAATGTTATATTTTAAGCAACATCCGTAATTCCTGGCCTAAGAGTTTGAGGGAACAAGTATAGAAATAAGTAGTATAGAAATGAGTACCTATTTTATACAAAAATGTGTACAGAACAGTCATTTCCTGTCTATAAGCTGTATCATAATGAAGAATAAGTGTAAAACGTGTTTTTTTTATTAAATAAACAACGATACATGTATTATATATCGTTATAAATTTATGTATTATAATAAAGTTATAATACAATAAGTTTCCTGTCACCGTCATATTTCGTGATAAAATAAAAACCATAATTACAATGACAATGGGCATACATATTTCAAAATGTATTTCTTCAATTATATATAATTATATTATCAAAAGTATATTTTTATGGAAAATAAATGGTTAATGGTTATCGTCATTAAATATATTTTAATACATTTAAAGAACATCGTAATATTATGATTCGTGATGTATGGTTTCCAAAGAGGACATCTTTGGAAACCACACAAATTAAATGTTCTATGTTTTATCAATAGACATATCGATTACAGTTATTAATACAAATAAGAGAAAAACTTTTTGTGGTCCTGGCGGAAAATTTCCAGGGACAAAGCTCATTGCCACCACACGCGTCGCAGGTTGCGGATAGCGAACGGCCTCCAGATATGGAAGTTAGCTGCGAATATTAAATAAGCAGTCGCGGACAATGCAGCGGTCTGTTGGAGAGGTGCTAGGGAGCTCGTGGCGGGGTATACCTTGATAAATAGAGCGCAAAACTCCATGATAACGGTTGGCAGTGGCGAATTAAGGCCGCCACTATAAACAAAGCTTTTATGCCCGGGGAGTTGGACCTCGTCAACCTTGGTTGGTAGTTCAAATAGGAGAAGGAAAACTCTGATTTCAAACCAAACAAGCCCTCCTGGAAGAATATTGTGAGGTGAGGCTACCGGGGAAGATCAAGAAAAGAATAATACGTCGTCCAGGCGGTCGGTCATAAAAAACTGCAGCCAAAACCATTCTCTCATGAATTTCGAGTGAACGCATCGATGATCGGATTAGGGCTGCCGGGTGCTGCTCCTGCGCGTCGCCTCGGGGGTACCCCCGAGGCGATGCGCAGGAGCAGCACCCGGCCACTGCAAGAAATGGAAAAGGGTTGTTGCACCACAACCGGCGGGTGCAACGTAAGAAGCAAGACCAAAAAATAAGAGAAGTATGTATGAGGTGTGGTAGTTGGAATGTAGGTTCTATGACTGGAAGAGGAAGAGAACTAGCGGAGGTATTAAAGAGGCAAAGAATAAAAGTGGCGTGTATACAGGAAAGGAGCGAAAGCTAAAGAGATTGGGGAAGGATATAAGTTACTACTACATAGGAAGTGATGGCAAACGGAATGGGGTTGGAATAGTGCTCTAGATAAAATATACAGGTCACTTGATGACCCTAGTGGTCAAAAAGAACTATACCGGATAACAAAAATGAGAGAAGAAAGAGCGAAAGATATGTAGCATGTAAAATGTATAAAAGATAATACAGAACAAATTTCGTTGAAAAATGATGACATAAAAGCACGTTGGATGGGATATTTCAATAAACTTATGAATGAAGAAAATGTGAGGCATGATGCTCTAAAAGATGTCTCGGTAAAATTGGTGTAGTGAATAAGATTAGTATGGATGAAGTAAGACTAAGTAGTACAGTAAAGATAATAATCTATCGATATTTTCATTTTCAAAAACCATACGACCGAACAATGAAAAATTATTTAATAATATAACCCAATAAAAGCCAAATAACAGTTACATCGCAGCTTCAAAAATGACGAATTTCCATAAAAGCATTTATACCCTACTTTATTTTACCTCCTTAAGGGTAAAATATTTTTGAAACATTTAATGTCATTTTTATTTATATTTAATCTACAACCTAAACTATAAGTTTCTAGCTTCTAGCTTTAAAAAAGACGATACTTTCATACAATCTTGTATCTCCCCTTTCTACCCCTTAATCTTAATCTCTGTTTTCGCATTAAAAAGTAAGCCTATGTCCTTTCTCAGGGTCTAGACTATCTGTGTACCAAATTTCATATAAATCGGTTCAGTAGTTTTGGCGTGAAAACGCGACAGACAAACAGAGAGACAGAGTTACTTTCGTATTTATAATATTAGTCAGGAAGTGAGGATTAATAAATATAGTTAAATAAAAAAAATACATAAAACAATTTCATACATTAGAAAGTCTTTACCTTTTCGCCCGTAAATCCTGGCTCGCACTGGCATTGACCAGTAACATGATGGCAACCCGCTCCGTTAGCACATTCACATGTTCTCTGACACTGTTCTCCCCATTTACCCGAAGGGCATCTAAGAATAAGAATAATAATACTTACGAATTGCAATACAATTTCATAAGATGATTTTCTAATGCCGTCTACTACCAAAAACTAGATAACAAAAGACTTATGAAAAGATAAACTTTATTCAAATACACTGTTTGCAAGTACTTATAATAGTCTAACATTTTATATATTTTGTAGAATTCAGAGTGTTATTTTCTATTGGGAAGAAGCGTTAAGAGAACTAAGCCATGTTGAACAAAATATATTAATTTGCATTTTTGTACCTGTTCGCACAAACATCTCCAGTCCACCCAGGTCTACATTTACAATTTCCAAACGCAGTGCATTTTCCATTATTCTGACAACGACAACCTTGCTCACAAAATTCATTATCAGGACAATTTTCACTGCATCTAAAATGATTAATAATAATACTATTCATTATTAAAAATAACGAAAATCAATATTTTCATGCAAAAGTAATTATAATACATAATATAAAATAAACTAAATAACTTTCAGATTTTTAGACTCCACACCTATGAGGAGATGTGAACAGTTCTCAAAACGAAGGATATATAGTAAGAAATATAAATAACTGTATAATAATTCATTTTACCGCTTAATAAATTTCATATCTTGGAAATCAAATAAGGGAAATTGTTGTTGAAATTGTCAGAAACAGGTATAAATTGTGGTATAAGAATAGCTTGTGGTCAAATCAGAGGATATTAAAAGACATCTAAGCCTATCCTTTAGGCAGCAGTCACCACAACTTGCGCCTTATATGGGGAACAGTCCGACTACCTTGTTACAAGTGCCACGTAAACAATGGTTTTACCTGGCTATTATTTTTATTCCCAAAAGACTTAATTAAACTGTAATCTTCATAAAACTTTATATGTATATTCTTAACGCTTCTCTTATATTCTTGACTAGTGCATGTAAAAAAGTTATCCTTGAACTCCCCCCTCCCCCCTCCACCCGATTAGATTAGATAATGTAATATCCTCCAAAGAAAACAATAGATACAGGATTCCACAAACTCTTCAATACTTATTTTTTGTGGTGCTACTTCAAACAAAGGAAAAGCAATAAGCATAAACAAAGTCCAGTTGTGCGTCAAACACAATCAATACGTAGACCATTTACAATATTATGAATTACGAGTTGAAACAAATGATTCAAATAACGGGAATCAAAAGGATATATTTGCTTTGAGTAAAGTATAAGGATGTAGGCTATTACGAACGTGATTCAGCAGAGTAAATCTCAATTCATTGAAACCAGTGCTTTTCAAACTGTGGGTCGCGATCACTAGGATCCGTGGATATATTTAAGCAGCTAACCTGAATTTAACTGTACTTCGAATAACTTGCCCTAAGCACACCATATTTAAATATATTAAATTTTTCAAGACCATTTCAAGCTCTAAAATGTATTTCATTTGAAATTAAAAATGTTGTGGTTTTTTAAATATCCTTACTAATAATATAAATAGATAATTTGCGAGTATAAATGTTTGGAATAATCTCCGGTACTACTGATTCGATTTTGAATTAGCCCATTTATTGAGAAAGCTATATAACATCCTGTTACAACCAATGGAGAGGAGTTGCAATGAAAAACGTAGCAAAAACGGAAAAATGTACCGGTAAGGATAAGGATTGTGCGGGTCGGCTATGACAAAGAAATAATTCTTAACATAATTGAGTTTATCCAAAATGAAACCCGTTATTCCTAAACTCAAACTTTAGGTAGCTATATAATGACGTTTATGATAGTAGTTAATTGTACTTTTTCGTCATAAAATTAATTAAGAAGCAAGTATTGAGACTTTGTGACGAACGAGATATCTTTCTGATGACTACTTATCAAAGTATGATTGTATTGTATGGATACCTAGCTATATCAAATTTTACATTAAACTATAACTACAATTTTAAGTATATTTATTTTAAAACAGTGGTGCCCGCAAAATATTTCACGTGTACATTTGTAGACACATCTAGTAGACAGTTTATAATAGAAAAAAAAAGGAAAATTTTGTGGACTTGGATCCTGTAAACTCGTGAACGCTGCTCAAACCAAAACATCCGTTTTGGTAAAACCAAAATAAAAAAATACTAAGGTATGAGCCATGGGCAATAGGCGACACCTATCCAAAACATAAGAATAATAATACAATAATAACCCAAAATAATCTACTAGATAACTTATAGAAATTCTTAGATAAATACAAGCAACCGTACTCATGAAAGCAAATGTGTGTACCGTTCGAAAAATAAAACCCGCGACCATCGAAAGTAAACCGCAAGACCACCGAAGCTATATATAATCGATAATGTACCAGGGTTAGCAGCTCAAATTACTTTGTAATGTCCCTGCTACTTTTGATATTAATTATTGATAGCCAAATTAGATCAAGAATCCATTTCAGCTAATTTTAAAAAGGCAGCATATAGATTACTTACAATGGACCAGTGAAACCCCGCTGACAAGCACAAGCCCCCGTAGACGGGTGGCATTTTCCATTTTTACAGTTGCAGACCTCTGTACAATTGTCGCCGAAAGTTGGAAATGAGCACGGCTTCTCACAGGATACGCCGCGCCAGCCCGGCGTACAAGCGCACTCGCCAGTCAAAACCTCACAAGTCCCCCCGTTTTGGCAATTGCAGAGGTTTTGACAGTGACGACCCCATTTGCCTACGGGACAAGCTAAGAGAAAAAATGTATTCATTTAATCTTGATTGATTAAATAACGATTCGCTGGTTGACTCTTAACTATGGCTATTATCTAACTAACCTGACACACTTTTACATATGTACATAATTCGTGATAACAAACAAAATACAGAGATAATTTCATGGCTGGTTGGGAAATATATATTAAAATTTTCTTTTAAGATTATCGTACTTCACTTTATTCTATGAATTTCGTGGAAATTACATTATGATACCATATTAACATAGAACGTGTAAACAGAGTGATATTAACAAATATGTAGACATATACCTAATATAACTGAAAGTTACAGCTGTTGCAAATAACACGTAATAGTATATAGCCTTCCAGGATTAAGTCCAATCTAAATATTACTCATAATATTTTTAGCAAAAAAACACGTAATGTGCGAGTTGAAGTAAGTACCAAATACGCTAAAATTTCATCGAAACGTTAGCTGCATCGAGTTGCTACCACCCTAATTGAATGCTGTCTAAATAACAGTGTGACATAAGATTTAACAATACATTTACAAGTAAAAATTTAATAGATATTTGCGTAACACAAAATAAAACTAATGTGAAATAAAACAAAATAAATGTGAAATAAAAATAATAATAAATTAAGTATGAGACAAACTGTGGTTTGGTTTTGCAAAACAATATACTATCGCTCAGTTATAGCGAAGAAATCGCATAATATATGTACCTACATACATAAAAAAGCAGTGAATTTCAGAGCCTCGGTGTTAGTTCCTCGAATATGTCTATTTATATCTATTTATATCATACGGCATCACTATGCATATACATACATATACCTACATATATTTACTTACATATATCACACGAGGCTCCCCCATATCCGTGATCGCAGGAACATGTGTCTGGCGCTACGCAAACGCCATGTACACACTTGTTCTGGCACACTGGCACACACAGGCGTCCCGCTTCGTCTGGCTCATACCCCGTGCAGCATCCTTCGACGAGCCGATATTTTAGCAAAGTCTGATTCTTGTACACCTCACGGAACTTTATTTTATACTTGGAACATTTCGGTGGAACATTAAAACACCATGCATACTCTTTGATTTGATACGGCTCCTTCTCTGATACTCTAATTGTGGTTATATATCTGGGAAAAAAATATTCTTACTAGATATGTTGCTCTGTAATTGCCTTTATTGGTTTATGACTCGAAATATTATATGAGATTTATCATATAATATTTCGAGTCATAAACCAATAAAGGCTATTACAGACAAACATACGAATAATCAAATCTTTCTTAACATATTAGTAACTGGTACCTATAGATTGATCAGTTCAGTGTAAACAATCATGACAAAGGAAAATTAATACTACACACAATATATTGTTACAACTAGCGAATGAGTTGCAAATATCTAAAATTATACAGTTTTCACAAACTGATACAGAATAAAATGTACACTTAAATTAAACCCTATCAACTTATAATATATACAGCCGACATAACAGGAAGGGTGCAATTCGATAAAGTTAACTGACCCGATGAACAACAATTGTAACGAGAGGTAATCAGTCATATCAATCGCTATTGAAAAAGAAATAAACAATGGGTATAGGTATATGATGGTTGACAAAGAACAATAAGCACGTACGTTATGGGTTCAGCCTGTTTAGCATTATATTTTGGGATTAATAACGGAATAAGTTTAAATCCACAGATAACTAACAATTTCAACTTATTACGTTTTACATTTACATTACAGGGAATATAGAGGCTTAAAATCTTAGTTCTCCGTAATAACGAAGAATGAGTCATATCACAGGCGTCACATAAAGTGACATCCGTTATTTGTACTGTATAGGTATAGGAAACGATTACCACTTACCATCATGTGGGCCGTCACCTTATTTGCTATTCCAACTATTCAACTATAGTCATCATCTGCTTCATCCTTATCCCATTTATTTGGGGTCGGCGTAATATGTTTTTCGCTTCCATTCATCCCTGTTCGCAGTCATCGCGTTATTTGCTTCCTTTCTTACCATATCATCTTTCACACAGTCCATCCATCTCTTTTTTGGCCTTCCTCTGCCCTTATAATCATCCACATTCATTTGTAACATCTTTCTTAAAATATTATCCTCGTTCCTACGCATTACATGTCCATACCATGATAGACTATTCTACTATAGTATAGTATAATAATCAACAGACACTACAATGGAATATTACGAAAGTGTAAACGAATTTTCTGATGTTGTGTTTGATATTTGTTTATATTTATATCTATTTACTTACATATTGATTTGTAATGGTGGTAATTATCATTACCAAATGTCTATTAGTAAAGAAGTTGTAATATAAGTTTCCGTAGTATGTACAAATACAAACACAATGACGAAATTTGTAAACAGAGGTAACCCGAAAGAATTCAATCATCCTATTACGAAAATAATGACCAAGGTCGTTGCGGCTTTCACAAAGACATCATGTAGCATGATACGCATAAAAATATCGTGTAAGTGAATCCTTATTTCTGGAATGCGAGCGATCTGTGGTTGGGTAAACACGTGGTCGAGCTAATTTTAATTCTTTATTTAATTTTAAACGTCAAACTGTGTTGAGTTTGTATATATTCCTTTTTGTGTTGTCCTGTGATTTGTTTAACGAGTGGTTTCGGTGAGTTTGTTTTTGTATGATCCACCTCCATCAATAAAACGATGGAGGTGGGTGTAGACGAAGATCCTCCTGATGGTGGGGGACCTCTTACCCATCCAATTACCATGGACTGTGTGGAACTTTCACAACCCTCAATCGAGCTTGCTAATAATAGGAAGCGTCAAGCTTCAGACGACTCTACACCTGCAATTGATGGAAAAAAAACAAAATCACCTTCTAACTCTATTCAATCAGTTTATACGAAACCTGGTTTTGAAAGTGATGCACAGTTCAAATATAGAAGTACAGACTCAGGTCCATTTTCAGTTCATGTCAGTAGAGTGGAACCAGACGTATCTGCCGGCTATTCTATCCGACTTCTTAGGTTTGCACAATTCATTCATAAACACAATATCCCTGGAATTAAAGAAGAAGGCATCAAAGCCTTGGGTAGAAACAAAATTTCTGTAGAATTCTCTTCCCACTCTGACGCCAATAACTTTAAGTAACCCAATCTTATCAAATAATAACTATAGTGGAGTAATTCCTAAATTTCAAGTATCCCGGATGGGTGTCATACGCAATATTCCCACAGACTGGACATTGGAAGAACTACTTGAAAACTTAAAATCCCCAACTAGTTGTGGTCAAGTTATTAGAGCCAGAAGGCTTAATATTAAATCTCGAAAACCAGACAATAGTGTTAGCTGGGATCCATCCACTACAGTAGTACTAACCTTTGAGGGACAAATTCTTCCTGAAAAAGTTTATTGTTTCTATACCTCTCTCCCAGTGACTCTCTACAATCTCCCTACCATCCAGTGCCGTAATTGCTGCAGGTTTGGTCACATAAAAACACAGTGCCGATCACAGCCTAGATGTTTATAATGTGGAGGTCAACATTCCGGTGATGTTTGTGACAAAAAAGAAGAGCAACCATTCTGTGTTTTATGTGATGGTAACCATATAGCCACTAATTCGACATGCCCTGAACACATTAGACAAAAAATATTAAAATTGTTATGGTTGAATATAACATTAGCCACATGGAAGCTTCAGCCAGATTCCCTGTCGCTAGGCGCTCCTATGCTGATATGACATCTACACCTCAGTCCAATATGTATCCCTCGTAGGCTTCTATCGCTCAATTATATGACCACCCTCCTCTGCAGTCACCCTACTCCTCCCCTCAGAAAACAGTATCTTATCGCAAAACAGTTTATAACTCCCCTCGTCCTCATGCTCCTCTCGGCAAATCCTATGATGCAGTTGCCCACAACAACATTACACAAACTCCAAAATGTACACAACCAAATGGTTGCGCTTTAACAGACAACCAGAAGTACATAGAAACCACTCCTCTTCCCACTCCTAATGATAACTTAATTGAATTACTTACTTGCACCTTAATAAACATTATCTCTAAATTCTCTGAAGCCTTACCGCCCAATGTCACTATCCTTGTTCAACAGCTCCTCACAAAGTTAATTGTTAATAATGGACCAGTCAGTTCTACAGTGGAACGTTAGAAGTATCAGAGACAAGAAGTCTGATCTCATTTACCTTCTTAATCACTATAAACCTGTTGTCACTGCCATCTCGGAGACATGGCTAAAACCTGGCACTCCATTTCGGGTATCAGGTCATGCTGTTCTCCGGGATGACAGGGATGATGGTTGGGCGGGTTCCGCCCTATTAGTATGTAAATCCTTTCCCTTTACACAAATTACCATACCTTCTCATAGCCCTGGCTTCCAAATTGTAGCAGTAAGAGTACTCAATATCTCTTTTGTGTCTATTTATATCCCTCACACAAATTATTCTCACATCTCAGAGTTGCAAACTATCCTAGGTACTATCCCTTCCCCTCTCATTGTGCTTGGTGATTTTAATTGCCATCACACTATGTGGGGATCACATTTTAATGACCGACTGTCCTCTTCCCTGCTGGACTTACTTGATGACCTGAATCTCTGCGTACTGAATGATGGATCCGCCACTCGACGCATTGCCCCTACCCAAAACCCGAGCTCCCCTGACCTTAGTCTTGCATCCCCAACTTTGATAAATAAACTTATCTGGCACATCCTTCCAAACTCATATGGTAGTGATCATCTACCCATAAATATTACCATAATTAACTCCACTTCCCCTCGCACCCCTGCTCCCCAACCTCTTCTGAAATACCTACTACCTAATGGACTGGGAAAAGTATTCTGCTCTCCTTGACCAAAAACTGTTTCTCTTCCCTCCAAACAGCTGTCAGCTGCTGACGACTCAATTCCCATCAAAAACTCGACAATAAATAAAATCTGCTCTCCACCATGGTGGGATAATGAGTGCACCACATCCGTTAAACAGCGAAAAGATGCCGAAAACACATACGCACTAAACCTAACGATGGACAACTATTTGGCTTTTCGCAAAATTTGTGCTAGCACGAAAAGACTCTTAGCTAAAAAAAAAAAGATAGGATGGCAGAAATTTTGCGAATCATTATCCCCACGAACACATCCTCAGTAGTCCTTCAGTAGTCTGGAAGAAGTTAAATTCATTCCGCAAGGGATGTACTAGCGTGGAAGCTACTTCTAATGACCCTCTGCCATGGCTTAATAATCTGTATAACAATTTAGCTCCTCCATTCGCCCCCTCCCAAGACTGCCTCCCAATACCATCCCCTCCTGTGTCAAATGATAGAATGGACGAACCCTTCTCATACCCGGAGCTGTGCTGCGCTCTCGACCACCTTAGAGACTCATCCCCTGGTATAGATGGTATTCCTTACTCCTTCATCCATAGGATCTCTATTTCTGCGAAAAAGAAGTTACTGGAAATATTGAATGCCGTTTTTGTATCAGGAAATGTACCGGAATCTTGGAAAACCCAAATCGTGATTCCCATTCTAAAGCCTGGTAAGGATGCATCTGATGCCAGTTCGTACAGACCTATTGCTCTCTCCTCTGTTCTGGCAAAAATCATGGAACACTTAGTAAAAAATAGGCTTGAGTGGATTTTAGAGAACAAAAACCTTCTACCGAACAGCCAATTTGGATTCAGACGTGGAAGAGGAACTATTGATAGTCTCAGTATTCTCACCAACGAAATCCCACTTGCCTTCTCCAAAAATCAGCATCTTATGCGTCTTTCTAGACGTCTCATCTGCGTATGACAATGTCCAGCTTCCAATACTCAGGCAAAAATTACAAAAGCTGAGTATCCCTGCGAGACTGACCAACATCATATGCAATCTCTTTATGGCCAGATCTATCTCTTTGCGCTTTCAAGGCTCTCTCCATCCTCCAAGACTGGTCTGGAAAGGCCTTCCTCAGGGCTCCGTCTTGAGCCCCCTCCTTTTTAATCTTTACACCTGCGATCTAGAGACATCTGTTTCCTGCTTCTGCAATACATTACAATATGCTGATGACATTGCCTTATATTTAGCTTCCGACTCCCTGCCTGGAATTGTCTCTGGCCTCAATAATGCCTTGTGGTATTTACACCAATGGCTAGAAGATCACGGCCTAGCTCTCTCCATACCCAAATGTACGGTTGTTGTATTCACCCGGAAGAGACAAATTCCCCCTATACATCTTTCTCTTAATGGTTAGAATATCAAAACCGAAGACAAGGTTAAATTTCTCGGTATCATTCTAGACTCTAAACCCTCTGGTCTCCATCATCTCACGTACATCTCTAATAAGTGTGAGAGTGCAATTAACGTACTGAAAGCTCTCTCTGGAGTTCGTTGGGGGTCTTATCCCTATAGTCAGAAGCTTCTATACAACTCCATAGTTAGGAGCCACTTTGATTACGGATGTTTCCTGCTAGAAGCATGCAATAAAATTACCTTGGCAAAACTTGACAGAATCCAATCAAGGTGCCTACGATTAGTTCTGGGTGCAATGAAATCTTCACCTAATAACGCAGTCCAAGTAGAATGTGTAGATCTTCCCCTCCAACTTCGCAGACAATTCCTTTCAGATAGATTCTTCCTAAATGCTTACCAGTACAACGACCATCCTTTGGTCGCAGCTTTAGAAACCCTGTCAGACCTAGCCTCCACATCCACTTATTGTTCACGTAAGGACCCTTCACCAATCCTCAAGAGTTTCCACACAATTCCAAAGCCTTACCTTACTCAATCATTAGAACACATCGCAACCCTATCTTTGAATATGATTATAATTCCTTAATTTTTCACCCCACAGTTCATTTAAACTTTAATATCCAAAAACACAGCATTACAGCAAATCAGGATTTTAATAAAATTATAGAGGAATACTTTAGAGATTGGGTTCTCGTTTATACTGACGCGTCCAAGTTGTCTAATGACGGCAACACTGGCGCTGCAGTATGGATCCCTAAATACAATATACTGCTCAGTTTTAAATGTCCTCCTCCCACATCGATTTTTACTGGAGAATCTATCGCCATTTTAGAAGCTGTTTTATACGTAGAATCCCACCAAATTAATAAAACCCTAATTTTATCAGACTCTCTAAGTTGCTTACAAGATATCCAGAAGTATCCATTCCATGCCAAAAACAACTCTATTATATCCTTGGAAATACGACAAAGTCTCTACAAATGTCATAACTCTGGTATAAATGTTGCTCTAGCATGGATTCCCAGCCACTCGGGAATAATAGGGAACGAGTCAGTTGACTCGTGGGCCAGACAAGCGGTGAGTATGGGCAATACCACTCATAACAAATGTTATGCTCGTGATCTACGAGCACAGGCAAAGCCTCAGTTGATGCAGGCATGGCACCACCTATGGCAAAAAACGAGACTGGAAAAAGGAAAGTATTATGGAAGCATTCAACCGGAAATACCCTCCAAACCATGGTTCTTCTCCCAGCGCTCACTAGACAAATGGGTTACTTCAGTTATATGCCGCCTCCGACTAGGACATATATGTGCTCCCACTTTCCTTTTTAAAATCAGAGTTCGTGACCACTCTCTCTGTGAATATGGCCTAGACGAAGGGACATTGGAGCACATATTTTTCACATGTCAAAACCTGTCAGTTCCACTCTACGATATGCTCCCCCGTAATATTGCCAGACCTATTAATATTCCTTTTCTTTTAACACTGGCCCACTCCCTCTAGTTAAAATACTAGCCAAATTTATTGCTGTCAATAATATAAAAATATAACCCCCTTTGTATATATTCCCCACATTTTAAAATCCTTGTCTATGTCATGTCTGTCAACCTGTTACATATATTTTATTATACATGTATTTTACTCAACCACTATTTTAATTGTAAGCTAACATGTGTTGTGTTGTCCTTATTCTTAGCATTCTCAGCCAACTGAAACAGTCCTTTCTACGAACACAGTCAAGAAAACCGTAAACCACACCACTGTGTCTCCCAAACCACGACGTTGGCAAAATCACCGACCTCATTTGGTGGAAGCCATTTAAACTAAAAGAAGAAGAAGAAAGAACCTTATTTCTGAAGTCTATTGACATTAAGGTATCGTAACACCAATTGATATTAATAAGTGTCACAATTATGCCGTATTATTGAAGAGGAACAAAAGTATGTTGTAGAAACATGTGAGTGACATATTAATTTAAAACGAAAGCAGATGTTTAAAACCGTCTTTAATAGATACAATTTCGACCTTTCTTTACTGAAATCAAACGATTATTCGTAGGATACGATTGCTACTACCATTGACTGTATACATATTATCTCTAATTTCGTATGCACAAACTTTGACCCTCTACATTGTTGCGACTTATTATGTTTTACATAATAAGTCGGTGAAAGAATGAATAATGTACGTACTCATAATACAATTTATGTTGACGTCAAATTTCATTATGAACAGATTCAGCGTTTTAGTCTTGGATTGGTAACATACAGACACACTTACTTATTTACAATAAGGATAAACGCAACTAAAAAGGGAGATACAAATAAAACACACTTAAAATCCTAAAGGGAAGCAAGTAGTAGATAATTTTACTTACGGTTGTTGTACAGTGCACACATTGGGTCCCTCCAATGCAGTTGCAAAGTACAGAAATAACAAAACAATAGCAAGTTTCGGCCACATTTCGATTTGCATTGTCTCCTTTAGTATATAGTCTCCATAACAAATTTGTTGTTATTCCGTATTGTTAACTTCGTGTTCATTTATCTAGTTCGTGCATATTTCTGTTACAGGACACTTTAATTCTGAGAATGTTGTAACATCTGAAACAAAGAAATAACGTTCATTTTCAAGATTGTACAAGTGGTGCTTAGAAGTACTGGATAAGTTAAACCAGCCGTTGCGATTTCGAAGGACAATGCCATCTCACTCATCCTTCAACCAAAACAGATTAGCTTGTTAATATCCAAGATTTTTACCATTACTATCGTAATAAATGCTAATGCAGTGCAAAAAAAAATCAATAGACAAATTGACTCTTTGTTTATGATGTTGATTAAAAATAGGATTTACGTAGAGATTGCAGACAGTGAATCATTCAGAATTTGGCACAGAAAAACCGCAATTACGTATAAACCTACAAGATATAAAATTTTACAATTTTTATATAACAGGAATTGCAAGCATACTGATGACCCGATGTAAATTGATATTCACAAACAGCTTGATGGTTAATAAAATGTGCGAACCTATGCTTACCTAATAGATCGAAAAACAATCTGCTTGAAAACAGAAGTACCACTGCAGATAGCAAATCTTGATTACGATATATGTATATACATGCAATTGTAATATGTAAAGAAGTTTATAACTAGGTTGTAATGGTAGAAATATAAAACAGAAATCGTCAGTAGTGTGAATATTATCAAAACATTATTGTACTTGAAAATTACACGAAACAATTGAGGTCGCTGTTATGAGTTTAACAGGTTGTGTGCTAACAATAAGTGTGTCAGCGAATCAGCGAACATTCGAATGGCTTGAGGGCCAACAAACAATGTTTAGAAATTACTCGAAGAATTAGAGCATTTAAATAACACAACTACAAATTGTTTTTTTTAATGCCATATAAAACATTTTCAACATCCTGAACTCTCTACTCTAAAATAAAAAAGGTTTATTAAATCTATATGACCAGTTGTCTGTTCTGTAGTAATGCGATGTTTTTAAAGACAAGAGAGTCTAACACACACTGAGCTTACACATGGTTATTATATGTCAGTACAATAGTACTATACATTTAATGCCACCTTCAACTAATTGTTATAGTAAGGCAAATAGATGCATAGGACAAATTTCTCAATGGAATAAAAGATATTTACTTAATATCTTATTAGCCTTCTTTCTGCCAAGCAGTATATATGTATATGGGCCTTTCTCCACTAACAGGAAAATCATGGTCCAAGCATTTTTTTTTTACTATATTATATAGTTTTATTTATTAAAACACATAATATATATGTTATTTAAAGAGCCAAGCTTAGTCAATATTTAGAATCATAATTATTTCATAAAATTGGTCTGAAAGTCACTAAAAACAGTCCTCTGTTATGCCCTAATTCCGGACCGAGTATGATTCGGTTCGGTTTTTATTACTTGTATTTAAAAATGTAAAATCTTATAAGTCTATGAACATAAAGAATATTGAATGCAGGTGAACAAAAAACAATTATAATTTTAGAGATTTTTTTTACTAAAAACTAGTGTTCGAATTTTGTCCGATACATTTGTGAACAGTCCACTGTCACAATTTGAATATCGCGCCACAAAAATATTAAACACTATTATGGGTATATTTCGCGTGAAATGGAACGTTAACAGTGTGAAGTTTACTCGGTCGTCATGCTGAACAAGTCTCCAAGATTTTGCGCAGTGACAACTTCGCGTCTGTGTGGGAGCCACGTCTCTGTAATGTTGAGTGAACATTCCTCTGGTAAGTCTATTTTACAGTGTTTTATGTCTTATAATTATATTTATTTAACAAAAAAATTGCTCAGAGTGATAATTTAGACCTGTTTCTGTGTTGTGAAGTAATATTTAAACTGATACGTGGTATGACATTTTTACAAAAATAACAGTCCTCTGTACAACAGTCCTCTGGAAATTTATAATACAGAGGACTGTTCAATGGGACAGAGGACTGTTTTATTTGACGTCCGTGTACTTTATTAATAATCTTTATAGTCTGCACTAACTACTGCTTGCCAATAGCGTCTTTCTTTCTTACATTGGCCTGTCCCGCTAATTCAGGTCTTTTTTTTCTATTATTATGGATTTTGGAATATAAAATAAAATACGTACCTAGTAACTAAACCATTACTGTTTTTTTATATATTGAAAGTATGTTTTATTGTTTAAGTATTGCCGCAATGTCACCACAGAAGAAACCTAAAACCAAAGAAGAAATAGAAGAGCAGAAACGAATTGCAGGAAGATTAAGATATCAACGGCTAAAAAATACCCCGGAAAAAGAGAGCAATTGAAGGAAAAAGTACGTGGAAACTACCAATGAAAGAAGGAAAAAGGTACAAGAAAGTCAGTTCATGATATGAGTCGACGTGAACACAAAGCTGTGACTAAAGAATAGAGAAAGCACTGTGCTATCTATCGCGCAAAAAAAGCTTTGAAAGAAATTACAAACAATTTTGTACGAGAAAATACCATATGATCACTCCGCGAAGTGATGCAAGTAATGCGAGAAAGCGTAATGCTAGAAAGAAACGTGACAAAATTATAAAGAATAAAGACAAAAAGTTAGAGTATTACAGAAAAAAATCCGAGAAATATAGGAAGAGATTAGAACGTTTGGAAAAAGCTAAGACAAAGGAAAATGTAGACACACCTAACACTAAACTTACCCAAATGCGTGATTCGCCAGAAGCTCGCACAGAAGCAGTCAAAAACTTGGCATTGGAGAGACCTGCAAGAGAACCGCTAATGCCGTCGTCACTACAGGAGGTGATATTGATAACTTGGAGATATTAGTATAGAGGCTATTCAACAAAGATGTTCCGCAATTACCTTGTTCACGATCGACGATAAAGCCATCCAAGAATTGACAGACGACATTCAAAATGAAACAGTTAATTTAAAAAACTTTAATGGCTCTATAAAAACACATCAAGTAAAGGCTGAAATATTAAGAAGTCCTCTGGAATTAGCTTCAAGTACCGCGAAACTCATAATGAAAAGTTTAAGTTGCACTTGTGAAGACGAGTGCCAGCATTTCAATTTAGGAGTGTTAGAGTACAAAAACAATACAGAGCTTAACGTAGATGATATTTACACAGACTCTGAAAGTGAAAACATGGACAACTCACAGGATTCCACAATGGAGACCCACAACGACGTTGTACTATACCTAGTTCAATCAACCAACAGAATTACACTATCACATCTTGATTGCATGATTGGTGATTACATCGTGGTTAAATTTCTAGTAAGAAACACTGAATATGCTGATACATAGACACGGAAGAAGGCGAACTAACAGTAACCTTCTTAAAAATTTGTGATGCTAAAGGACACATATTCAGAGGCGATGAAAACGAAAATTTCTATATGTGATACAGTATTCAATAAAGAAGAAAATTTATTTGATTGCAATTAATAATTAATATATATATATAAAAAACAGTACTCTGGGTGGCAAAACAGTCCTCTGCCGCATTTTTTTACAAAATTGCCTATAATTCGAAAAATAAGGGAAAATTACAATGGTTTCTTGTTCATATGCATTTATATTATAACTATCTATCGATTTAACATATTATATTTTTAATTTAGTTGAAAAATAGGTTGGGACAACTTTCAATAGACAAGTTTCTAGTTAGTAGAGGAAGGCCCATATCACTTATATTAAATCATTTATCCTAAGAACTATTGCTAGTTCGTTAGATCCACTTCATTGAGTCCAATGATATAACATTAAAGTGGTAGAGCAGGCAAAATAATATGGGATACCGCCTCCTTCCTGTCCTTCATCATTTGTTTTTCTTTCAAACAGCTAAATATATTAAATAAGTGAATGTTTTATGAAATATGACAACATAGAAAGGTCATTTAGTTTTAATTCACATATTTTTAACTAAAACAAATAATTTTAATACCTATATTTATTAACACTTATACTCTATTAATTGCAATGGAAATAGCCCTTAACATAACACCCCTTGACCTATACATACAGCAGGAAGCAGCTATAGCTGCCACAAGATTATACCATCTTGGTCTATGGGGCAAAAACCATTACAGTTCTCACACAACCATCTCTCGAATATGAACCCTTGATTGCCGCTCCGTGTGATAGAACTCAAGCATACCACTCATTCAACAGGAAATACCAAATACAATTGAAGGAGGAGGAAAGGGACCAATCTGCAGTAAATGAACTACGCATATACACAGATGGCTCCAAAACAGAACGGTTCAGGAGCTGGGGCACATTCCCTCGACCTCAACATGAACATATTTATACCGCTCGGCAAACACAGTTCGATCTTTCAGTGCGAATGTGTTGCCCTGACCGAGGCAGCAACAGCCGTGTACAGGTTAGGGGTCAACAATTTCAACATAAATTCATATCGGACAGTGCAGCCGTGCTTAAAGCACTACAGAACAGAAAATCCAACAACAAACTAATAATCGAGTGCCACATCGCCATGGAAAAAAATGCAACGCACAACGGAGTAATTATCCAGTGGATAAAGGGGCACAGTGGATCATATGGCAATGACGCCGCGGACGAACTAGCGAGAATAGGATCCGGCATGGTGGTTGCAGGCCCCCTCCCGCTTATGCCAATACCCTTCTCGCAACTTCGCACCTGGATTCGCCAGAGATCCACCGAAATACAAAACCAAAGATGGAATTGCAAACAATCTAAAGTGGCAATTCCAAAAACGAACCATCGGTTAACAACACGTCTACTTAATCTAGATAGACATAACCTCAAAATAATGATAGGGACAATAACGGGCCATTGTTCCTTAAACAAACACTTATACAAAATTGATGCTACAGACAGTCCCCTTTGTCGGGGCTGCTTTGAAGCTGAAGAAACGGCGGCTCACGTAATCCTGGAGTGCACGGCAGTGGCCCAACAACGAAAACAAATCCTCGGAACGGTGAGGTTTGTGAAGACACCATCTTCTGCGCTTTTGGGAGGAGCTTGGCTGGCTACTTTAGTAGTCTGGCTCTGCACGCACAACGGCCCGAATGAGAGGCTAATTGCGGAGACTGGAGCCCAACATACATTTTTTTACTCTATTAATTTTGTATTAATGCATTACTTCTGACTACCAGTAAAATAATAGGTAATTAGTATGAATACTCGATAGTGCAACAACCCTATTTAAAAATTGCAGTAAGCTGGCAGCGTAGGTAATGTCAAATTTGTCTCCAGAATTAAAAAACAAACTATAGTGTAACCAAAGAAAGAAGAGTGGAAGTTATGTTGTGAATGGGGATACAAGACAGACTGGTACTCAATGTTCAGAACATGAAAGAGATGAAGTTAGAAAAAACTTATATATTAATATTATAAAGAGTCAATTTTATTATATGGATAGTCAACTAATATATAATAGTCAACCATTACACCAATTTAAAAAATTTCATTGTTTGTAAGAAACATCAGGAACAAAAACACAGTCAGGTCTTGTATTAATATATATATATATATAAACAGGGATTTTTTCCCTATCTGACTTTTATTCCAATAAACCTAAACTAGAACAAGATTTTTCAATATCTTATTAATTTTACTCACTTTTGTAGACTTTGGTAAAACTGGCATCACTATCTGTCTGACTTACTCATGGCAAACATCCATCTCTCTCATCATTTTGCCGTAAAATTTAGAACCTAACAAGAGCTAGTGCAATTAAAAAAGAATTTAAACTGAGTAAAATGTTAGCACAAATCGGGTTACTTGAGGTTTTTTTTTACTCAGTTCTTTTAGTATGAAACTAACAAGTATCATACCATTTTACAATCCTGATTAAATGTGTGAACTTTTCATGGCACTTTATTACTATTTTTTTAAAGGAAGGCCTTTCAAAATCAAAAAATTTTGTAAATTTTAAATTCATGGTTTAAGAAATAGTCTTAAGTCTAGAAAGCTTGGGGCAATAGTGTTATTATTTTTACTGTGGTTCTAGAAATGTCATTTATAGTTACGGTTTCAAAGTATAAATGAACAAAAATTTTTAAAATTTTCTCAGATTACAATCAATTCTGTACCCCGTTGCGGGGTATTTCTTGACATTCAGTTCTGAGACACCCTGTATACAAACCCTACACAAAGTTATGAGCACCCAGACAACACCTAGGTAGACCACTAGTAAAATAAACTTGAAGAAGGCTATGTTAATGGATAAGCTGAAGATAAAATATACAGTGGGAATTATATAACAAATCAATATATAATAGCTTTATGTGATTAATTTACATTAAATATTACATAAAAATACAATGCTGTTTGTATCTAGCACAGTTTTTGACAAATGATAAAAAATCAGAAACACATGCACAAAAAATCCAGTAAGAATTATTCATTTAAGATTTTTTTGTTTATATCATGCTTTCAAGTAACTCTTCGCGCGTATATAAATACCAAATACACGTATCTTGAAAAACAAAAGATATAAATTAAAAACACCTTATTGGTTGATTAATAGTAAAACTACATATTGCTAAAAATACGGAACAATACTAGTCTAATAGTTAGTATTCAATAGAATTTTTAGATGACTGAGAACTAAAGAGTACTACGTTATTAAAATGAACAATGAATCACTGTTTTCTTACCTTAATTAGTATCAATTGTATATAATTATTCCATGTTAATGTTGAACACTGAAAACATTTTGAGATTCATAAGTTATTTATTTCATACAGGCTACAAGTCCTAGATAACATAAGTTTTACAAAAAACATAAGACATTTAAATTAATGATACTACGTATATTGAATTGTTGATGACAGCACATAATACACTAATATACAGATGAGAAAGAAAAATACGAAGTCGTAAACGTATAATATAGGCTACTTAGCACAGAACCAAAGAATATACTACACACAGAACACTAATATCCTAAACTAGTTTGTGCGTAAGTATAATTAATTGATATTTTTGTCACTGTCTGACTGCCTACCACAGATTAGACAAATTTTCCTAATAGAGAGATCAATCAATAACGATGTATTTATATCGATTTAAAGTATTCGATAAAATCTACCTATAACAATGAAAAAAAGACCATTTAAAGAAACAAATCTATAGGATACATCAAGTTCACAGATATTTCGCTGTTTAGTTCTATATAAAATTATTTAAAATCAGATAGGATTGGATATTTAACGACTTAAAAAGATCATTCCAAACAAAACGAAATAGGATTTAAGATAAAACTAGATATACTTTAACCCAAATATAATTTCATTTGAGTCGCAAATTAACATTTTACCAGATTTTTTAGTAGTTATACGTATGGTGACTTTACTTTTTATATCGAATAACTTCGTTTTGTATTTGATTCTTAGAGAAATTCCGAGCATAGGTCTTTCCAAAGCTCATTGAGCGACTTTACCGACTTTACGCTACCAGAAAGCCTTCACGATTGCACGCGCTGGCTTCCCTGCGATAAATCTCGTACGCTCCTGATAGTGTGTGAACGTGACGTGTAATTGCAACTATTATGTATATATGTAGACTTGTGTTCTGTGCTGAAAAAATGAAAATATAGTTATTGAAACATTACTGGTTCTTTTATTTTCTTAAATATTTTTATTTTTCTTCTTTTCTTTCCATTTGTAAAAATATTTAAACAGCAGTAATAAATCGATTGTTTAAGCTTTATTAATTGCTTTTTCACATCCCTAATTGCTTTTTTTATGATGTCGATTATTGGTTTATTATAATTGATAAACCACCACTTGAATATCGGAACTAGGTCGACCAACTTTTTATTAGAGCGGCTTGAATTGGATTTACTTTTTTTACACAACAAATATAAAAATAATTGATTTATTTGAATATTAAAATAATATTTTTCATTAGCTCATCATTTTTTACATCCCTAGATCTCAGAATCTTTTGGAGTCTCTATATAGTTCATCATGCTTTAATTCAAATAATCTGTCAATTTCGGATCAGTTTGTCTCATATTTCTAGATAATCTGTGTTCAGAGAAAGTCTGTTTCCTAAAATTGTTATCTTATCTTTTTATTTTTTTCTGTATAATCAGAATAAAATAATACCTATTTTATGAAATTAAATGTGATATTTCGACTTTTGATTAGTACCTAATGGTGTCGACTATACAGTAAATGTACCTGGCGGAACACATTAGAAACATATAAACTTTACTTATTTTAAAATAATGGATTCTTCATCTATTGTAAGTTTCAATAATGATACAACATTTCAGTCTACTCTCAAAGGCGATTTCAATAACATTAGCGTTCATGAACTTGCCTTACATGCAATGCGAGACCGTTGTTTACTACTGCAGAAGAGAATTGCTACTTTAGAAAGCGACAATATGCGTTTAAAGTTAGATATCACTAAGGCCACAGAATGTACGCCTTATATTCCGTTGCAAGAAGATGAAAAGTTTATGTTACACCAGAAAATTGCCGAACTAAATAAACAAAAGTCACAGCTCATGCACCACGTATTCATGGTATCATACGAAAATAAAAACTTATGGAATAAAATATCGACAATAAAAGGACCCGATAAAACACCCGGAAAGGAATACAATAAGCAGCCTTTGGTACGCACCAATACATATATTCATAGTACTCCAAAAACCAGTGCAAATTATCAAGAAAAATATTCAGAATCCAGCCTAGAGGAGATATCCTTAAAGTTAATCAACAGCTATATTCAAGAGAAATCACAACTAGTAGAGCAATATGAGCAAATGACACAGTTGCAAGACTTGGATGACAAATTACTGAATGTTGATTCTATAGGTTTCACATATATTGAGGAACCAGCATTGGACTCGCTTAAAGAAATTCATATTCACACAGAAAAATTACAGAATTTAAAAAAAGAGCTTGTTCAACAAGAAGCTGATCTGAAATTTGTAGTTTCCAAAATTGAAACAGTTTTTAAAGGTGAGTATTTTTTTTACAAAGAGTGATAAAAATGACTATTTATTATGTCATTAAGTTATAAAGTGTGTCTTGATGATAGGATTAGTACTGTTAAATATACCACTGATAGATGTATAGAGAACAGTGTAAATAATTGGATTGCCCTTCTTAATCCTAAGTATTAAACCTGACTGGACTACTATATACTAGATAGATTTTTTCAACTATATATTTGAGCTCACTGTACCATGGGAAACAAATATACCTAAAGTCCATGCAATAAAAACATAAATGAACTAACTAACAAGCACATATAAATTAAAATGGCAACATTGTTAATTGTTTTGAGTTAATTGTGGTTAAAGTGGGAGTGAGACATATACTAGAGAAATTTCTCTATATTCTTCTAAACTGGCCTGTCTAGAATTGCAGTAAATTCTTTACTAGAATGTTTATCTAAATCTGCACTAGGAGGCTCTTACGAGATTAGGCTGGGTAAAGAGAGAAACACATATGATGGTAAGTGATGACATATGCGAGCCCCTATATCCGGCGCGCAAGTCCCAAACTGCACAGTTTCTCTCTGCCATTCAACTAATACATGTAATAAGGTATCTTAAGGATGTCTGTAAGAGATGGTATTTAAGTAGTTAGTAGATAATGATTTTTTGTTTTGCAAAAAGTTTAATTTTTATTTTTCACTAGCTGCAGCATGACTTCTTCTGTATGGAATTTAACTTTATTTTTCCAAAATAAAAGTAGCCTAAGTTACTCCTTATTATATATGCTACTTGCCAATAAAAATCCCATCAAAATCGGTCCAGCCATTTCAGAGATTAGCCGTAACAAACAGACAGACTAAAATTGTAAAAAATGTTGTTTTGGTGTATGTACCATATATATATTTATATGCATGTTTACTACAACTGTTATTTTAGTATTACAAACAGACATTCAATTTTATTTGTATATATAGATGATTTGATAGATTAGATTTGAGAAATTGTAAATTATTATTGGCCTGTTTCAAAGTAAAAAAAATACAGCTCGTCCACTGATTCCTAATAATATGAACTGATTTATAATATTAGTCCAGATCAATTATATTAAGATTATGTTTTGTTTTAGATGGCTATAAATGTCAAACCTGTAAATTAACTAATACAAAAATGACCACTTCTGAAAATAAAGAGATAGAGACTAGTGACAGCTTAGCTAATTGGGCAACACCTGTGGAATCAACTAATTATAATAATTATACTGAATTGAATTCATCTGCATTCAAGAAAAATGTCACTGAAAGTAACACTAGTGAAGTACCTGTTGATAAGGTCTGTCCTATGTGTGGACAAACATTCCATAAGAATGTAAGATTTACTGAATTTCAGTCACATGTAGAAGGTCATTTTATAGGAGAAAATGAAGCAGATTCTGTGATAGACAATTTTGAGAATGTATCAACATCTTTTGGTATGTAATTTGAGGAAATACACAGTAATGATAGATCGATTCACATCAATCTTTATACTTTTTAATAATGTAAATTTGTACTTGCATATTACCATATTGTTACTCTATTTAATCAGGTGATAAATTGTAATATTTTTATTTAATATGTAAAGAAATATAATAGGTAAAGAAATATTTATTTTCATGATGATGTGCAGTGACTTTATATTATTCAGAATATATAGAAATTAGAAGTTATGAACTATAGTAAACGAGAAACTGAAGAGGAAATGCCACTACACATCCTATATGATTGTAGCCCACTCATGCATAAACGAAATTATCTCCTTTGGAAAGTTTACACTTTTTCCTGAGGAGATAAAAATCATCGCTCCTAAGAATATTCTTCAATTCTTTTCCCAGGTCCCTAGACCTGCGACAAGCGCACTTTGAAAAGGGCGAGCACAATAGATCTATGCAGTGCTACAGGTCCATGCACCTGCCAATAGCCCAAGCAACTCAATAAAAAAAATAAGCCACTCTCAGTCCCACCAACAGTTCAGTCAGTTTCAGCATCTCTGTCTATGCATTAATCATCTAAAAAGATGATGAATAAAAATTCATTTTTATTTTGTTTTTAATATATGTCAGTATCTACTCTCTTCGTTATTTCTGATGGTCGCGGCTTCGATACCAGACACGGTACAAACTTTCAATTGGTCTAGGTGTATTCTATATATGCATTTACACTAAAAAATGTATTTGTATCACATATGTTAAGCAGAGCTTGTGTACACAAGCTCTGTTTAACTTGTTATATCGAAAGCAGTGAAATCGTCAATCATAATTATTAAATTGGCAGTGATGTATGTAAGTAGAACTTACCATACTGTGTTGCTGTAATGTTGGTCTGGAGAGCAAATTAATTTTGCCTTCCAGAGGTAATCTGTGATACAAAACATGGAACACCATAATGCTCAGAAGCAGCAGTCGATGGTTGCTGCCTTTAGGCATCACACTATATAGGGTCCTTCAAGGAATTTGAAGTTGTATAAGTTAATAGTTGATGGTGCAATTTTTTTGTTTTGTCATTCACCAAATAGATAATCTGTATATATTTACTCATAGAATAAAGAAATGGTTTTTATCTCAGTTGTCTACACGGAGTCTAGTGGTTTAATACACCGTGTTACTTCTGATGGTCGTGGGTTCAATTGTTTTGTGTATTTACCACAAATTATTTCAATAAGATTTTACAATTTTTTTAATAAGTTTATTACAATGCAATTGAATGTATCGTTTTTCTGTGTGATTTATTAATTTTCAATACCTATGTTATACTTAATAATAATGCATTAAAATTGAATCCGTCGTAAGAACTAATAGATGTCACATGCATAAAGTTGTAAGACCCTAGTTATGTGAGTAATGAGAACCCGGCAGTTAAAATTTTTCCTTTGTTAAACAGAGAGAATAAATATTATTAACGGTTACAGGACGACATTTACCATTTTTATTATTTCTTTGTTATTACATTATTTATATTTTTAACTGGTTAGGTTGATTGACCTTTATTTGTCATAAAATTATTCGTGTTAAGATCCTATTTTTATTTATAAAATATAGACTATTTTTAAACACGGAAATAGCAAATAATGGTAATATCCACTTTTAAATTGTATCTCCAGATTTCAAAAGATTCCAAAACCATTTATTAGAAGTGACTTATAGTGGATATTTATTCACATTACATCTAGTATGGTGTTAGGCTAGTTGACATTATTATTAATGTTATAAATAAAGCCATGTAGGTAGAAACTCGTGAGTATAAATAAAACCTAAGTTTACTCAACATTAAAATTTATGTAATACTATTATCTATACTACATAGTAACTATACATATATTTTTAAAATTATGCCAGATCCGTTGGTTTCACAGCAGTGGAGGTAGAAGGTTGTTGAGTTGATTTCTGTAGTAGATTCTTGCTGAACCATTGGGGTCTTTCTTTTTTCATCTCTATTATCCTTTTTCCTTTCCAAAATTCATTGGGCTATAATACAAACAAATATATTTAGTTTAGTACATATTTTTTCAGTCTTGTATGATAAAAATACAGACTTGTAAATTTTGTATACCCAAAGTATAAGACACATGCTCCTTAGTAGCAACATGTCTGTCTACTATACCATGATATATAATGTGATACAACATTGTTTTATCAACTTGTTGTTTGTTTGCATATGTACTTTTTGATCTTGCAATATATTTATTCTTTTTAGTTATTAATATCTATCCATAGAGGTCTTTATTACTCCATTTTACTACAGGTGACTACCTAGTCTTACCTACCTAGGTAGGAGAGGTATTATAAATTTAATAAAGAGGGAAATAAACACATCGCAAACATAGGTCTGTGCATATCAAAGAATTGTAGATTCTGGTAAGTTGAAGAAAAAACACCACTACACATTCTATGTGGTTGTAATGAGATAAGGCAGTGTAATTACAGGATACAAAAAATGACTTCTTAGGAATGGCAATGCATAAATGGTGCATAAAGTATGTTATATGACAATGTGATGTCCATGGTGCTATTTATAAACATATTCAAAGCTGGTTAGAGTGCTGCCTGGTATCTAAAAAATAAAAACTTACAATATTTGTTCTAAACTACAGATGTTGTTCACATTTAGGTATATAGTCAACTAATTATTAAGAATCACTTGTTAATGAGATGACTATATGACTCTAATGTTTTAAAGTAGCACTTACTTGATCTGGCACTTTTTCTCCTTCATACAGCACTACAACATCTTTGTCAATAGCAGTGTTTGCTAATTTTTCTTGAATTCTTTCTTTAATTTCATTAGTTTCTATCTCAACTTTTTTATAACAATTTCCTGGTAACCATTCAAATTAAAATTTTTACAAATATAATTTATAATTTAGGTATACTTGTTTTAAATATACTAAAAATAGTGTTTTTACTTCTACTCAATACTTAACATTATATTTCACATCAATAAAACACATATCAATTGTCAAGGTTGTGGTGAATTCAATACTTGATACACCCACATCTCATTGGTTTTTTTTTAGATTCAAATAAAACCAATGAGATGTAGGTGTATCAAGTATTGAAAGAGCATGCAAAGAGCCTAGTGTCATTTCTCATATAATTTTTTAGATTGTTATAAATATCTCCTTCACTAGTCAGTCAGAAGTAGAAATATAAATTGACATTACTGTTGTTGGTGTCAGATATATTCAAACTCACAACCCTTTGGAACTCGAACCTCATGGTAAAAACTAATTGGACCACATGACTCTTGGTTGCACTTCAGAAAGTCACAGGATAGTGAAATTGAGTATGTTAGTTATCCATTACATTTCAATATACATGGCTTAATAAACATGATTTTACATTATTTGTTAAGATCCTATAAGGGACCTGGTGTGATAGATAATACTAGAAAGAAAATTTACCACATAGTCTTCCATTCTCATGATGATGACCACATTCAGAACAAACTTTAATGTTAGTTTTTGGCACTAACATTTTCCATATATATTCTGGTGAGCCATATTTCCTGTTCCATCTTTTTTCAACAGTTCTTCGGAATTTGGGAACAGCCAAAACAATACCATCTCCAGCAATATCTTTAATTGATATTTTTTTTATGGGTTCACATGTTCTTTCATTGATTCCAACTAAAGCTAATTCTGTAATATGAAATTATAATATATATGTATATAGGCATAACAATACACTTGTATTAAAAATATTAAGTAGCAATATAAAGTACAGACATTTCAATATATATTTTTTTTTCCTTTATTTGTTTCACAGTAATTTCAGAATAATGAAATTATTCTAATATATTGAATTATTAAAAATTATTATTGATCACATTTTAAAAATTTATGGGGACAAGGGGACTATTACTCATTTGCACTATTGCTAGTACTACCATATGAATTTGATAACTGATTCCATGACCATTCTGTCAGTGTACACTCTCTTTTTTCACCTCTTCAAATTTTGTTGGCCACAGCTGGCTTATGCATTTTCAGTGAACAATAAGGGGTGAGCGCAGATAGAACTACAAACCCGTGGAAGGACTTAAGTCCTTAAGAGCGGCTGGAAACCAACTCCTGCCTGACGAATACGAGTTTAGTGTGAGGCCGTTTATCTTGAACAGCAAATCGATCGTATGGGGGTTCTTAACACAGACAGGTTAACCATTCCATAATAAAGTAAAAGTACCGAAGATCAAAAATGTTAACAGTGTGTATTCTTGATGCACCCGTTCATACTTAAAGTAGAATTGCTAATTACTTAACGAACAACGATTTTTACCTTTTGGTGGCCCCCCGAACATGCTATGAAAAATAATGCGTTCAACATTTTTTAGTGCTTTTATAAAATTGTTAAAATGAATATTCATCATTTTATATTACTTTATTAAGCAACTCATAAAATTACTAAATATTTAAAAAAATAATTTTTATTAATGAGATATAAGAAAATGTATAAAGTACTGTCTACAACTATACAAGAAAAAAAAATTACAACAGCAGCAAGGCACAGATATACCGAACTGGGCACAGATAAGATATGTATGAGAAATAGTATTTAATATTTATATAGTAATGCACAAGTACGAGACTACATGCCCAAATCTCAAGTGAGCTCACTTTCAGACTGAATACAATATTATTATGCAGGATTTATTGAACGTTGTAAAAAGCAAGAAATTACATCACGTAAAGAATTTATTATAGACGAGAAAAAGAACATGATAGTAGGATCTCTAAATAAATAAGTACAAAAAGAAACATAAATGTAGTTAGGTATATTACATATTTGTAATTTAGGAAGATTATTAGACATGAGAGTTAATATGAATATTTGCTGTCTATGGTTTATTTTGTGCTGTGAACACACATTGAAAGATAGAGCGGGAAGGTAGCAACATTTTAAAATGGCGGTTGACAATCAGCTGTATGAAAGTGGGGAGGAAAAGGCGAACGTCTGTGTTTAATGTGTGTAATGTAGTTCATGTCCTCAAGCGTTATAACTATGGCGTGTTTAACTTCGAGTAGGCTCTGTGCTCGTGTTCAAGATAAGTTACTGTGTCAATTTGGACATAAAGTTCGAAGACAGACTGTATTTGTGAAACTCAAACCTCCTGGACCATCCCCGTTACGAATATTCGGAAAGACATGTCAGGTTAGATAGTATTTTTTTAATAGTTTTACTCGTTTTGAATGAAAAAATATTATGTTATCATAGAATTTACAATTGTCATGTTTATCCTAAACACACGTTATAATATTACGTTCAGTCTTGGGAAGGTCTTTTACATAACACCAAGCATGACAGTAACCTCATTCATGTCAGCTGATTAGGAAAATATGAATTTTACTGAATGAGACAAGCACAATTATGGTCTACATAAATTTGAATTATAAGGTAACACACAATTAGAGTCAAATTGGTAATATTTACTCCTAGTAATAAAAGTGAAATCTCTTCAGGTCGTAGCATAGACAGATAGTGGGTCGCTTCACGCGCCCCGCTGATTTATTGAGTTTGTTCAATGATTTTCACTGTAGTTGTGAAGGTACTCATAACTTTTACTTTCTATAAACAAGACACTGATGTCTTCAGTCAATACATATTATTATAGATCAAAATGTGCCAATCGTCCTATTTTTTATAAAGGAAGTATAACTTTGGGAATTTAATTAGTTATGATAAATCAGCTTATCTTTTTCGCGGTTTCTGCATAAATAAACAATTAGTAACTGAATTTCGTAGGTTAAGTATACAATATACCGACAAATGGTATATAGAAAGGCCTAGCAGATATTGACACCATATTTTAAAGATTACTTTAATAGATACGAGTTTACTTGCCCAATCTGATAGCCGGTCAAATGAGAAAATATTTTTTGTTTAAACTGTTTTTAAATCTTAAATACATATACTTTTTATATATACTTTATTTAGATATACGTATGTATATATCTGGCAATTTTTATTTCAATAAAGTTTTTATTTTCAAATAAATAGTATATATAGGTAGTTAGGTATTTCGGTGACGCGGCTTATTTCACTTAGGCTAGACTAGATCGTCACAATAACTATATCGTAATTGTCAATCAGATTATGATATGAACTTATTATAACTTATTGAACTATGAGTAGGTCTTGACTGCTTGAGAGCAGTGGACCTGAGAATGCAACTGGGCAACAGCATGCCCGTGCCGCGCATCGTGAGTCGCGTGCTTTCTCGAGCAGCGTGCGAGCATGCAATGTCCAATCTCGTCAACTAGCGCAAAACTTTCTAAGTAACAATTATATTTCGCATTAATATTTCATTTGCTCCTTCAAACGCAACTGATTACTAGCTGATTTCTTTGAATTTATCTACCAAGTCTTTTTTCACTTTTTTGTTTTCAAGGAAGTTTTCATAGAATATCTAACTATAGTTAGATATTTTGGACTAACATCTTTTACTTCAAAATATCCAAATACGCATAAAAATTCAAATACGTATGTAATATCACTAATTGAACAATTAAGTACTATTACCAATCTACCTACTTATTTAATGAATACTAAGTAATTAACTAATTTGTTGTAGGTACATACCTAGTTGTACGAGATATTTTAGAAGTCAGGTCGCGTTTTTTGTTTTCACGTTAATGCGACAGGGTAAATACTTGGTAGAGTCCCCAGCAATGAATAATAATAATAACTATATATTGTAAGTAAATAATTTTGTGCCTTGTTAAAATCGCAAGTTTTTAATAATCATAGCGTCTGAGGTAATTGTACTAAGTATGTATAAAGCTTTCGGAAGGAATACCTTCCGAAAGCCTACCTACCTTCCTTCATTAATGAAAACCATATGAAATTACACAAACAACAAAAGCAAAACTCGAAAACATCGAGTTTGCTTTATATAAATGTTTGAAGTTGTTAATAACAATACTATTGAACGGTTTACATATTAATTTTTGTGACATTTTGACATAAAGTGTGACTTTCCTCCTCTATAAAATATATAAAAACTCCTACATAAAAACTTCTTTGAATATAAACAACAAACTATTCCTATTCGTTGGGAGACTTACTACGTAAATTATAGATTAGTGAAAGTTGTGAGACGTTTCGTTTTAGTTTTTAATAGCTCGAAAACTGGGTAACTTTAACAAGGAGCGTTATGCAGCCTTTCTTATTTTATTCTAGTTCAATCGACGGGCATTGACCTTGTATGTCGTTATGTAAACCAATCTGCTCCATATATTTAGGCGTTCGTAGCCTGTAGACGGAGGACATTTCTTATTGCGTTAATGTGCATCTTGTGCTTATGCATGAATGTACCTAGTCTAGCCATAAATATTGTTACGAGGAGAAATCTTTATTTTTTTATATTGCGAATAACATTTATTACTATAATGCCTATTAGTATAAACATTAATATAAAACATTAAAAACATATTTACAACCTATTCGAAATTATCTCCATTGGTTAGGCATCAATTTTTATTGATGCCTAACTAAAACTAAGAATTTCTTCACTGCCAAACTTATGGATTGCTTTAGTCACTCCAAGTTATCATGGCGTTTACAGCAAGCCATACTTCATAAAATAGACCATAGCTCATAATCCTGCGGATTAAAATCGGAACTAGACGGTGGTCATCAGCTTTGATAATGGCCGGAACGTTCATTTCCAACCAAGCTGGGTGGATCGAGCTTTATGATTTGGCACAGAGTCTTGCTCAAAAGACCATTATTGTTTATAGAACATGGTGTTGTTAAGCGGGCTTTACCACCTTCTCAAGAATGATGTCTTGATATACTTGTACCGATGTTTTGACACCTATTTTACAAAAATATGGCTCAGTCACTCCCTAGCTAACATCCCACCAAACCATCATTTAAGTGGGATAATGATCACGTCATACTCTGTTGACCTGTTCTTTTTTAAATTATCAGTTAGTATTTAGTCAGTAATAATCAGTGCATCAATTATAGGCTGCAAGACCTATGTCATCTTTTAAAATACGCGACATGGTTCTAGGAGCTATCTTCATCTGGCGAGATAAAATCTTTTGCTTTCTGACAGGATTTCTTCGAAATCTTTCCCTTCCTTTTTTTGTTAGCCATTAAAATTTTGCCAATTGCCAAAAATTGTATTTGGCTCCATACTTACGTTGTGTAATGCAATCACAGTGATTCGATTTTCTTTAATACTCCACTCTATATTAATAAAACAAAATTTTTGTATATATGAACTGAACTTGACAAAATTGTGTATATAACACTACCCGTTCATGGTCTACAGATTTCGGAGATTTCGTTAGCTTTTATTTCAGCTCTATGCATACTCCATACTGCGTGAAGACTCTATCTACCTCATTTGTCTTAAACTTTAGTTTTTAGGTGACATTCAAGCTAAAAAACAAATAGTCACATAAAATACACAACGATAATCTCGCATCATTTTGAATGCTAGAATTTATTGCTATTGTACTTCAATATTACATATCCAATTATTACAATAAACTCGTTTTGTCTAAATCAGACATAAATGACGGGTCTTCTGTTGCTGTTGTTAAATACCCACCTACAATAGTACTTGTAAGAATTAGTCGAATAATGAAATGCAGTCTATAATAACATTTGCTTTAATGTTAATTATCAAGTGAATGAATTGTTCGGGTACGTATGTCGTGCTACACGTAACGTCCTGCGTAAATGAAGTTCGGTAGAAATGCGGAACACATAACTATTTGTTCAGTCGAGTCGACATTATTGTGTAACAACCTTATTTATTGTATTAACAACAAACGTCAATCGTCAGATTTTCTTTTTTATGATGTCTTTATAATTTTATTATATATGTAAAGATAAAGAACATGAATTCGCTATAGATATACCCTGACTTCTCATTCTCTCATTGTCTATTGGTGTACCACCATCGGAAATAATTATAGTAGGCATAAAAAACACTTATCCCCTATAAAAGTCGAAAGAATCAACAAAATTTATACAGAGTCGGTGAATAATAGGAGTACCTGAAAATTTGCGTTACGTATACGATAGGCATATCTTGACTTGTATTGTTTAAGGAACCATCGCACCGCTTATCATCGACAGGGAATTCGTCCTCACACGCTGCACCGTAAGTGGTCTCGGAGTGCGAATTCAGAGGACTTCCTACCACCACGTGACACCCCTAGTGTTTCAGGCGTCCATAGGCTTTGGTAGCCGTTTACCATTAGATGGGCCGTACGCTTGTTTGCCACAATCATAGTATAAAAAAAACTAACCTGGCACAATGACATAGTGCATATATATATATATATATAGGGTATATATATATTATAGGGTACTAGTGTTACATAGATACAACACAATATAGCATGCCTAATTGGATCTGTAATTTTTTTTTGATGAATATGGATTCTGATGTAAACCGCCACCACTAAAGACCACCAAACCAATCAATAGCACACATATGTAGTTGTATATAGGATTTATACAAGTAAATACTTATAAAATTTTATGTGTATTCAATAACTATACATACCGCACGAACTAAATTATCATATAATATGTACACAAAAAATAATACAAACTAATTTTACATAAAAATGGACGCCTATAATTATTATGTTGTAAGACTTATGTACATGATCACTTGGTATACCTTAGCTGTTTTATTTGAAGTGTATGTGATTTGCATAATGTGTCTAAGTGTAAAGGTTGACTGAATTATTGTACTAAATATTAATTTTCCTATTTCTTTACAGTAATCATTTAGAAATAATGTTGGTCAACTGACACTTTTTCATTCACTCTTGTCCATGGAGCTCTTACCATTGTCCATCAATCTTTTTAGTTATTGATACGACACGACTCCGACTTTTTCTTTTCGACTTGCCGACCTGCTTGATATTGCTGTGTCTTGGTCTTCCCCTTTCTCTCTTTCCATCTACTTTTCCTTCGATTATATTATTATTAACTTCGTCGTGTCTTATCAAGTGTCCCAATATTTTCCCCCTCCTATTCTCAATAATATTTATGAGCTTTTCTTTATTATATACATATATCCTTTGATTACTCCTTAATTGCATATTTTATCTTTCCAGCTAATTTTTTCCATCCTTCTCCAATACCACACTTCAAAAGCTTCCATATTGTTCCTTTTG